TACATTGCCCATCTTAATAGTAGCTGTGCCGAGACACGCGTCGAGTCTTCTCTCATCTTGAGCCAAAAGAAAAAGAGAGTGAGAGAGAGCACAAAGCCGTGAAGCACCGAGATTAAGCTACCGCGACTTAATTCAATTGCGGCCTTCAAAATAAACCGTTGTGCCGAGAGGGAGGCAGAGGAGGGGATTGCATTAAAACGAGACTGATTATTCTATTTGCGAAAAATCCAGGATTTTAGCGAGGGATAGCGAACACGGACGCGCGCGAAGATTAACAGTGCCTCGGTGTAATTAATTTCGAGAGCGAGGATTTTTTATCGTCCAGCCGCTGTAAGTGCAGATGATTCACTTTCAAAAATGAACAAAAATATTTTTCCACGTACAGGTCTCCCAACGAATTCCGCGATGGAAAATGTATTTCAGAAGTTAAAATCGTCTCGTTAACCAAACAGAAACTTTCTTAATCAAGAACATCAGAATATCGTTTTTCATGGTATTTGAACGGTAAAACAGTAATATCTTCCATAATTAATCCATAATAAATCTTCGATTCTACTTAACTTCTCAAAAAAGCAAGTCCACTATACAATAAAAATAGATAAGCTTAAATCAATTTGTCTCGAATTTCGGATGTTTGAATCTGTGTATATCCAAAGTCGAAATTCAATAGAACATTCGAAATTGAATTCATCTCCGCGTCAATATCGCAATCTGCATCCTATATGCAAAGCATACCCTAAAGTATCTGTACCCAAATTCTGATCAAAAAATAAGATTTTTTTATTTTATAAAAATCTTTTAAAACATCATTACTTTAATCCATATTGTTTACAAAACCTGTTTTCTCAACTGCCAATTTTTCAACTTCAAATCAGTCTATGTGCATTAGAAATTAGTGAATCGAACTGAAATGTCGAATACAGCTAGACAAAGACGTTTTGAACAGACTGGCTTAATCACTTTTATAAATTTCATTAAAGATGTATTTCTATATCCATAAGTATACATAAAAATACTAATGCTTTCGATTTCACAAGAATTAAATGATGTCTTAATTCTTTTTAAGTATGTATTTGACAATTGAAAAAATCTAATTAAGTCGTTCTTTTAGTTTTTATTAGTTGTAGCTCACCAAATGTTTCAATTGGTCTAAATAATTGTAGCGTATACATAGGTTTTTCGAAAATTTTTTATTTTAACGAAAACAAGCACAATATATTGAAAGACTTTAATAATTATTATCAAAATTGTTTTGAAAATGAACATGTAACTTTACAAAATAAACAAAAATAAAAATGTCCATTAGATAAAAAATTACGTTTCAGTAGAAAAAGCCACCTTAATGGCTAGTTTCAATAAAAATTATGTCACTTGTCAATAAAAATCCGCTATGGATGATGCACTGGCGAGTCATTAAAAACGGGCAAGGCTTCGCGACGCAAAAACAAGATAAAGAATTACATCGGAAGCATTGGAGCTCGCATACTCGTATGCTAAGTTAAAAGGGAATGTAGGCCGCGTAGTGAAGTGAAAAATACAAAATGTCAAAATGCCCTTGGTTGTTTGCAACTGCGCAAGTTTCTTAAATCGAGATAGACAAAAGACGACGAGCGAAGCTATTCCCTTTCGCAGACCCGGCGCGCGAGAAAGAGACGACACTCGAATGAGAGTATTAATCTGGAGCATAAAGTAAGATAAGTGGGCTGGCCGAATATCTGGCTCCAAACTAATTCCAAGCCCTAATGGCTCTGCCAATAGCAATTTCTACGGGCCGCCGAATAGCACTGATCCCAAGAAGACCTTACGGCCGGAAAACTTTCTCTCCAGAACGCGAGTTATAGATATATAGGCCTCTTCCTGTCTTTCTCCTCCCTCTCACTCTTTCCTTCGCAGCGTATAACTTTAGTCGAGCAAGTCGCTGTAAAAATAACGAGCTCCAAATGAGCTTGCGTTATCCACTACTTCCGCACTCGAGAACATTCAGCTAGACGAGTTCCTAATAAAAGGTGATTCTCATTTGGGCCTGACAGATAAGTACAGCGCCTACGAGCTTTGATATATTGTGTATAACTATGCCTGTAGAATACGATACTCGTATTTTTCACTAAAACATTGATGCTATAATATGTTGCCTACTTGTGCTTCCTTTCGTGATAATTTTTTTTACAGTACTTTGGTTTTCGCTATTGTTTCTATAAAAAATTATCTAATGAATGATGATAGTTAATCCAGATATCTTTCGTGCTCACATTTGTTCGTACTCCACTTTTTAATTCAGAAAAAATATAACAAGGTAGATCAAGTTAAAGTTTTAAAACCGCATATTTCATTTTTCTTTTATTATTTTTATTACTTATTCGAACAGGAATGGACTAAACCTTAAATGAACGAATACAGGTTACTGAACTGCTTGAGCCACTATATCAAAAAGTTCTACTTAAGATGCTTATATTTATTTGATCGAAATTACAAATAATAGATCGTTGGAAATTTACAGTAATACTATTTACAATATTTATCTTGTAAAAATATCCGGAAATGCTCGGTAAACACTTGTATTTCCTTGTGTCGCATAAAGAGTTAAGGTACTATTTTAGAACTTGTGGAAATATTCACTTACTTCGCAAATTAAAAAAAATTAAAAATTTTATGAATAGAGCTCAGTGAATATCAAATTTTAATCATAGAATAAACAAGATTATTATCTTGTTGATTCAATCATTATAACGATTTGTCTTGAAAAAATTGGAAATGAGTGGAGAAGTGAACACTTATTTTATTAACTTCTTACATTTTCTCTAAAGAAATACTGATTATTGATAGTTTATTTATACACAATAGCTTAAATATTAAGTAAAAATGTAGCAATTTGCATCGCCCAAAATGCTACTTTCTAATAATTCATCTTTTGAGGACCAGAAAAAGGAGCAACAAACTTGAATGTCTTTACAATTTCTTATGCTTGTTTCACCTTTTATGTTTTATGACTTTTTGCCTTAATTCTAAATTCATTGGCAAAGTTCAGACATAAAAAAGCTCGTGGTGTTATGTTCCTTTTTAGGATCAATCTTGGTTTCCTTTATTTAACTTAATGACAGTAGGAAAACCTTTGTTATTTAAATCTTATTCAGTTTCACTATTGTCGTCATATATTAAGTTTAATTTCACACAGAGAATCCAGCAATCTTTTGCAGAAAAAGGAATCGTAACAGAGTGGCGGGCATTATGTTAGCTAAAAAACTCGATTCTAAACAGTACGACTCTGTCTGAGACAGTAGAAAGAGTTTTATCATAATAATAATTAATAACATTACGCATAATTTTTATTGGAACTTTCTGATAGTGGAGCATCCTTCTGTTAGTGGGCTTTATTACATTTATTAATCTCAAATTACAAAATAAGAAATCACCTGGATATAGTAAGATGTTTAGTGTCATAAACTTGAATTTATCTCAATCAAAATCATCAAACTCAATTGTTGTCATTTAAATACTTACAATTCAAAATAGTGTTCTAATCTTTCTAATACTCTACTATTATGATAAATGAAATAAATTTTACGTTTTATAGGAATAGATGTATCAATAATTTCCTACTCGCTCAGCTAAATATGCCATTACGTCAGCCGCATCTAATACATTTATATGGTTGATTTCGACTTGATAATATTAATTGTGGAATTATTAAAAGATCAACTATTTTTAATGGTTCTGAACTAACTATAATAAAATAAGAAAATTTTAAGAAAATAATAATGAAATTCCCATTATTAATTCAATGTTCTTTCTTAATATAATTAATATTACAGATAATTAGTATTACAGGCTTAATAACTTGTACTAATTTAATCAAAAATTTCAAAAATACTTATTAATTTTACTTAAAATAATTAAATATAAAGAAACTCTAGCAAGTGAAACTTACTATAAGTTAGGTAATTCAAACGTAGAAGTACTATGCGCAAACTGCTTTAAATATAAAAAATAAATTTTATAACGTATAATTCAAAAAATTACGAAAGTAACTATTAAATGAGTCGTCATATGATTAATTTGATGTTATCTAACCCGAAAGGTCGCGCTAAAACATTTCTTTTTTTGAGGTCTACGAAGTAGATCCAACGACAGTCAATTTGAAAAACGGCATTGCTACGTATCATGCGTAGCATGTACGAATAACTGAAAACATCATGTATGTAATATTTGGAGTATTATGCATTAATTCCATTTATCTGTATATGTAAGCAATAATTTTTTTTGTAACAATAGTTTTGTCAATTTCTCTCTTTATTTATTCACATAATTGCAATATAAAACAAAAGTATTATCAAACATTATTACAATTTTTACCTATGCTTCGTTATCAATTTGTGATACGGTCTCGTACATTAGGTACACTCGGATGACAAAAATAATTGAAGAGTAAAAGAGGGCGGTGCGAACTGTTCAATTACGTATTGTAGTTTTGTGTTTGAGTCGATTAAATGACGCGGATCCGCTAAAGGAAAATTCCAAACAATTTTTTATTTTATTTGTTTGAACAAAAAAATGACTGCTGCAAAACGGATTCCACTTTGAATCTTTGAAACTTCCATTACTTGATAGTTGAAACACAATGTCATATATAGCGACTATTTGAAACCTAAATACATTTCTAGATTCAATATAGTCCCATAGAGGGTCAAGTTTTATATAAAAAATACACGCACAGCGTGTTTTAATTGCTCACATATATAATGCAAGCCTTTTAAAGTTTAAGTAAGATCCTAGTATTCGTAGGTTATTTTAATTATTGACTTTGCAATAAGCGTCGCGGTCCAATGTTAAAAAAAGTTAGCTTGATACTAATGCAATTAACAATGTACAACAAAAAAAGAGAAAGAAATCGGAATTTGATGCTAAATAAATCACACGATCACTCGTATCACGAGACAAAGATAGCACTGGAATAAAAAGATCGTTAACACTGCAAGGAAGCTCAAGAGGTTGTTGTCTTTGGGCGCTATCAGAACGCATATATTATGTCGCTCAAAGAAAAGAGATGAAGAGAGAGAGAGAGAGAAAGAGAGAGAGAGAGAGGCAACTGTTAATAGCGTGTACAACAGCTATTAATAGCTATCGGCATACAAATAACGAGGAAAAGCTCGTGTGTGTAATAAAAAGAGAGCGATAAGGCAGCAGGCTCGCGTCAGCGCAGTCATAGCTATTATTATTTTTCGATATGCCTATGCATCTCGCTCATTCCATAAGAGCCTGCTGTATGTCGTGCAACGTCTTGCCCTTGGTTTCAGGGGTGATTTTCAGTAGGGCAGCGGTAACCGTCCAAGTAACGAGCATAAAGCCAAGGAAAGGCGGCGAGTGACCGTAACCCCAAGTCTCGGCGACCGTCAGATAGAGCTTGGTGCTGGCAGTGAACATGAGACCGCCATTCGTGATGACGAGACATACCCCAAGTGCCTTCACCTCCGGGGCGAACAGCTCGGAAATGAAAATGGTCTGAACGATGAGGAGACCGCAGTTGAAGGCAAATACCACAAGGAACACGGCGATCATTGGCAACAGCGAGTAACCCGACACGTTCAGCGTGGTGTATTCCTTGAAGTAAAAGTACAGACCGATCACGAGATTGCAGAGTCCCGCCGAGACTCCTGACATGGCGATCAAAGGCTTGCGGCCCCAGCGGTCGACGATGAAGGTGGTGAGGCCAACCGAGACCAGCTGCACCAGGCCATTAATCACGCTCGCCAAGTGATCCGACACGCCGGCGACCTGCAAGTCCTTGAAGATTTTTTGTCCGTAAGTGATCACGGCCGTATAACCGCCAAAATGATGGCTGAAAGAGAACAGTCCCACGATGAGAATGGCCCTGGCGGTGGCGCGACCGCTCAGCAGGGTCCACGCAGACGTTCTGGACTGGCTCTCGGCTAACTTGCGACTGCTCTTGAGTGAGCGTTCGATCGCCTCGATCTCGTCGCCCACCTCGCATTTGCCATGAAGCTTGACCAGCACTGCCTCCGCCTCGTCGTGCTGCTTGGCCATCAGCAGGTAGTACGGCGACTCGGGCATGAACCAGAACACCAGCTCGAACAGACTCACCAGCGCCAAGTTCAAGCAGGCGGTCTGGCGGATGCTCAGCGGTGTACCCACGGCGAAGCCCATCAGCATTCCCAAGTTGAACATTATTGTCACCAGCACGTTCGCCATGCCGCGACTCGAGTGCGAAGCCACTTCGCCCACGTAGATGCCGCACACGCAGTAGCCAATCCCCTGTGAGAGTCCCGCGGCAAAACGGGCCACGTACAGCACCTGTGCATTGCAATCACCTTTTATTGATTTTTTTTATCAATGCTTATACAACGGTGCTCTAGCTGAGATTCGTGCTACGCGGTTTCCTTAAAAATAGTCGCTTTAAGCTTCATACGCAGCTTATATTGGTAAGCTGATGAATCTACAATGTTGAATATAATAACTGAAGCTTCTAGGCTATACATGGAAATGTAAACATCAATATCGTGATTATCCACTATTGCATTAAAGCGAATATGTGTGTACAAATCATTAGCTTTTGTGAAATACAATCCTATTATACAATTATTATACAATTCGAAACTCTACTTTGTAAAAGTGAATGCATTTCTGATGTTAGTTTGAATAAATTATGTCTCCAAAGTTCTCAAGTTTTCATTACTTTGTCCAGAGAATAAAAACAAATGCACTATGTGATTTCTGAAATAAAAAATGAATAATGAAAACTGCTCGAAAATCATATCAGCATAACCTCTACTCAATTGGCTAATGATATAAATTAGTCTAGTCGCGAGTATTGCTGTTTGATTGTTGATAACTTAATTAAATTGAGTACTGAAAGTAACAAACTCATATCGTATGATGGACATACCTGATTTCAAACAACGAACGTACGTTGTTCCGTTTGTTAGCACGCCGATGAAATTAGCAAACTTCAAACAAACAGCGTTAATTTCGCTCGGAATTGTCGAAAATGCAAGACACGCCCCTAGTCCACTCTAGTTTTACGCGTAAGTTTAGACTGTGTATTCTGCAAGATAGATTTAAGCAGCACTATTTAGTTTTCCTTCACCGTGAAACCTTTTATTACTAAACAAGGGCTAGGAGATGTATCGATATAATTGAACGTCATTTTCACATTTTTCTAGGACAAAGACCGTATAACAAGTCAACATTTCATTTGCATGTAAACAAGAAAATTCAAGCTAAACTGCTTTGTGTGCGTGAAAAGCGAGGAATGCAGTAAGAGGGGAATGGCGCGGGGGCGGGGCAGGGGGGAGCGCAACACAACCTGATGTGCATTTATTTTAAGTAAATTGCTTTGTTCTATAGTGGAATAGAGCAGTTATTGTGCACAGTACGTACAAGTGCACCTGATGGAAACATAACTCTGCGTAATGTAGCGAAATTCTAAAATTTATTTTGAAATTACGATTATGGCCCAGCCCTTCTGTTTTTTATTGTTAGAAGACTGTACATTTATCAGAGTAATAACGAAGATTTTAAGCCATGGATGAGTATAACAGTACTTATTCTTGAATATTGCACCAAATGTTACACTCACTGAAAATGTTACTATAATATACTTAGAATCGAAAAACTTGCGATATTATTAGCAGCTTAGGTGTGATGAATAAATAACAGCAACTCTGATGCAAATTCTCAATGTAATACAGAAATCTCGTCACGCTCGTCCCAGCTAGATCATAAGTTACTTTTATCGTTCCATAAGACGGCCATGCCATGACATTGCAGTAAAGAACTACGAGACTACTTGACACTTTTACGCGTTGAAAGCATAGCTAAGCTTTTTTGGAATGCTCGCATCGTCGCGAACGAATAAAAGCAGACTCCGATTTCGATTCTGCGTTCGCTTGTGCCTCTTAAGTTAAATTTCAGAGAATTTCAAACTCGCGCTGAGACCCTTCACATTTCCTCCGAGCTTATCAATTTCAGGTTGAATCAGTGTCCTATTAGCGTATTTTTATACAACTTATAAGTGGATACCGAAACGATGGGAATATTCCTTATTCCGCGATTCATGCAAAATTATCATAATAATCCTATCTATATAATGAAATTAAATATCAATAAACATACAAGATATAATAATTCGAAGAAAAGAAGATTCCATGGAAATTCCGGTCCTGATGTATTTTTCAAAAGCTCATAAATATATCATAAAAACTGTTAACGCAACCGAAACTCCTCGAAGTAAATTTATTTGTAATTTACGTAATTACTTGGTAGGTTGTGTAATGCCGCTATAAAACTTATTTTATTTGTTCTCAGCATAACTACGCACAATAATTCCAAATGATACCGACTAAATTATGTTAATGAAACAAGTCATTAAGGGCTTTTCAAGCGAAACACGACTAAGCTATACAAAGCTAATTACCAAGCAAACAATTAAAGTTATGAAGTTTACCTCTGTTTCTTCGTCGTCGTGATTAAAACAAAATTGTATACATACATTTATTTTTTTAACTAAATTATCTCGAAATTTTCAACTATTTACCAAAGAAAAATATTTACTAAAAATCTAATACCTAATTTTGCATGTTACTATCTGAGCAACGACAGTGGTAAACAACGCTAGAGTTTCGTTAACGTTACATAACCTCGTTACGAACTTTTGATATACGATTTTTACGATTTCGCCCTCGTCATACTCGTAGCAAATCCAAAAACTTTCAGAGCCGAACAAACGACTTCTTCTGTCCCAAATTTCCTATTGTCTGCGTTATATTTACACAATTGGTTACATTGTAAATAGGATTTTACTGTCCAGTTGAAAAATTATCGATTCAGTTTCTTTGTTATGGACGGGAAATTGAAAAATCAATGCACGTATGATCAATACATCGGGAATATTTACTCTTCAGATGCTCGCAGTAATCATCCTCAGCTTATAGAACGCTCGGTTCGTGCTAGCTTGCCTTGATTTGTACTGTAATTATTGCACCCCATGGTCACGCAAAATCCCGCCGACGCTCTCGGTACACAATGTATTATTAACTGATATAATTTATCGCTTATTTGGTGAAACAACTATCTTTTATATAAAAAATTTAAACAAGCTAAATGTTTTAAAATACATTATTCAACGCATTTTTTTTTCAAAAATAACATCAATACAAGTAAAACAACGCTACTTTCGAAAAAAAAAGTTTAATTTCGTTATCTTTAACCACCCCAGTTTAAAATTAGTACTTGCCTTTGTAGGAAGTATAGCCAGATTTATATTACTATTTAATTACTTTTCATTTCGTATTTAATGTGAAAAAACGTAGCAATGTGTTTTTCTTTTTTTTTTTTTTTTTGATAGATAAGAAAATTAAAAAACTTGACAATATTTGTTTAAGTGATCTAGTACTAACATAAATGTTGTGTAAGTACTGGCTAGTTGACACAAACAATATATTAGATTGCACTAACATGTTACTTAAATTTAATATTTTTCTACGATAGATAACAGTATTCCCAAGTTGACATTTTTTGGTAAAATATTGCTTCAATCACATCAATATTGAAATCGAACTATTCTAGGAATAGAGGGTTTCGAATAAGCCCTCCCCCATTAAAGTCGGTTCAACCTTTCCACAACAACGCGTTAAAAAAATTCAGTTCGACTACACGACCACCTTTTTTAGAACCAAATTCCTGTTGAAGTCAAAAAAAGGACATATGCTTTGAAGCACATGCCTTATTTTTAAGCAGTACGTTACGAGTGAGTAAAAAATGGTATAACGAAGTTACAAGTAACGACGTCACTGTCCATCATTAAGAAAAATATGAAAATAATAAAACGAAATAATCATTTTCTAATTTGCCTATTATATCAACTGCCTATATTTTTTGTAAAAATTATATCATTTCGACGTAATCGGCCTTATTCTTTGCTAAAACCAAGCTAGTCACAACTTACCCAGATATTTTGAGCGGTAATCATAAGGGTCCAGCTAACGATCATTGGCAGACCGGTGATGAGGATAGTATTCTTCCTGCCTATGCGATCGACGATAACAGAATTCAAAGGCGGTGCAAGTGTTTGGCCAATGGCTATGATGGACATTAAGGTGGATACTTGAACGGATGTCAGCTCCAGTGGTGGCTCCGTCAGCTTGACGCTTGCTGGCGAATTCCAACCCATCGACGAACCAATGCAGAACATTAGAATAGAACCTATAAATTCATCGCAAAGACATGAATTTTTTCTAGGTTTCATATTATTTTTACCGTGCAATTGGTGTGAAACTGTAGTACACATCCACGAATATTCTTGTCAACTTTCTTTTTACCAGTAATTACCTTTTCAACGGAAAAAAATCTTTTCCAATACATCGAAAAGTGATATTTGTAGAATGGAAAAGGACATTATCATCGAAAATCGGAGCAACAGAACGAATGTCATTTATCGATTATGCAATCATGGAACGATAAAATGCAGCTCAAAATTTCTTCGAACAGTTTGTGTGCAAATAGCAACGCATTTGTATGCGCAGATTATTCAAAGCAGGCTTTTAAGTTTGCTTTTAGCGCTTTGTCGTTCGACTGTCAAAAATTATCTGACATTTTCAAAATTACCCTTTTGCAAGTTAAAAAAAAACCTAGACTACGAGATAATGCTCTCCTATATTGAATGCCATAAGGTGCGGTATTTTTGACGATGCTGACTCTGCGTTCGATAATTTTGAATTTGTAAGAGCAATCTCGTAATGAAATGAAATTGATGTAAGTGCTGCTTTTATATGTGTGCTTTTTTTCAAAATTAAATTAGTTTGCTCGTGTAACAGGTAAATATAACTCTGTAAGGTTATTAAGATAGCTTGGAATATTTACTTAAATTCTATTTAACTCGATTTGCTTACAAGCATATGACTTTTACCAGGCGGAAAATTTCTAAAATTAAATGTCAAACTGAAAATGATACTCGATTAAAGTAATCTTATGATTGACAAATAACGCGATTGTACAAAAGAAATGAACGTGGTCAAAAGAGAATTTCGTAGTCAGGTGGTATATAAGAGGTAGTACTGTGGAAGCACATAAAGATAATAGCCGAGCGCTTCGTGCAAGAATCGAAAGCTGGAAAGTTTGCAAGTCAAAAGGCAAGCATAAAGCACGAAGTAGAAGGCTTTTGTTGAGTTTCGTGAAGAGGTAGCTGCTGTAGGATGGAAGGAAGAAGTTGGCTTAGCTTACAGGCGAAGGTAGCCAAGTATTCCCAAGTTCTGTTTCCCTCCGGGCTCGCGTATTTTCCTTTTTCGGCCTCGCTACCCATGTCGCTTTCGTCACCTTGTTATATCGATTGGCCGCCACTGCTTCTAATTTATTGCGATTCTCACTGCAAAATAAACTTAGTCATCATTATCAATATCGAGTCGCAACCTTATAAAATAGGAAGAATCATTACTCTCGATTAACATTATCACTGAATCTGCTCACGTCGATCGTAAAAAATAGCAGTTTTTTCAACAAACATAAATATTAAATTATATATGCATATTAAATTCGATTTTGTTTAATTTATATCAATTTCATTAGATAACGAGCACAACTTATTAGAAAGAAACTTGCAGCTGGTATACACTTGAGTTTCTCGCGCGTTTCGAATAGGGGAAAGCAATGTGAAACTGCAATCAGAGCGGTTTGATTCGACTCCCTACCCCCTCCTCCCTCCTCCAAGTAAGACTCTTATAATTTTCTACACAGATTACCGTTAAGCTGGACCGAATGATTCAGCCGAGCCAAATTGAAATGCTCTCTCTCTCTCTCTAGTGTTCTGGTTCGCTTCCACGAAGTTTAAATGGTACCAAATATCTTTTCTGCATACGCAAATCCATCCACATCAATTTATTGCGTTATTTGAGCTCCATTTTAATTTTCCTTTATAAGCTGAGCTCATATAGAATCGTACGCAAAATTTAATGAGTTTTCAGAACTAAATAAGTTATGATATGCTCTATAGATGCGAAAGTTTAAAATAGAGTCCGTTTATTTTTGATCATACAAATATGGCTTCGTCCTTGACCAATTTATAATATTCGAGTAGACGAGCCCGTGCTCGATTTAAAAGTAGTTACATAATCATCATCGGATAAATGCAAAAACAATACTCACCGAAATAGCAGTTAACGTTAATTATAGATGGATGTACAATTTATGAACAATGCAGATTACAATTCAAAAAAGAAGACTATGAATAGAAAATAACATCTGGTAAGTATCACAATAGCTGCATCACTGAAAAACTGTATTAATTTTCGACAATGACATTTCCTGACTGAAACGTTGGAAAAATGAAGAATGATCACGCCGATAAGAAGAGACAACAATGCGCGCACATACACTCTCGCGCGCGGGGTAAGATGTTATAAATTTATTGAGATTCGTCAGAATGCATAGGCATATATACGCCGTGACGTGATGAGATGAAAAAGAGAAAATGTCGAGATAAAGTAGGCGCCGTGGCAGGCATAGCACGCGTATCGTGAGGAGCGGTGAAAGTTTAATTACCCGATTTGATATACGCGCCTCGTCTTCATTGATAAGCGCGAGAGGAGAGAGAAAGAAATTAATATAACCAGGGATTAGTTAAACTCGCGAATCTTGGCGCCACTTCGACGATGATAGAGGTTCAATATGGTTGAGAAATTTTCCCAGTGATCTTTGTTTAGACGAGGATATCGTTTATGTATCCCTGGCGCTATTTATGTTTCGTATCGTTACCGACGTTTCTATAATTTACTTCACACGTAAATAACCGAGCTAGACTGGTATGACTAAATTATGGGCTGCTTTATTTTTTGTTAGCGATACAATATTATTCGGTATTGGATCTCAGTTTTATCAGAAATTTGATGAACAATTTTAATTCATTTTTTCTCCAGAATAATGCACATGCACCTATTATGCGTAAACTACTATAATTTGTAATTAGCAATGTATTCAACATATGACAATATACGAAAGTAACTATAAAAGAAATTAATGCATGATTTTTTTTATATCATCTCGCTGTAAGTTATCAGATTTTAAGCCAACTCTCCTGTTTTAGATATACAAAAAGAGTGAAACCAATACGGAACTATTCGTAAAAGGGTATTAAATATATATAAGATGGTTCGGATTCCGCCTTAAAATGTAGGTCCAGTCATGATGCGTGTAAAACTTTATCCTCCTATACCATTTTAAAAAATGGTGGGGAAGATGAATTTACATATTCATGACTATAGGGAACCAAGACTAATGCATACAAGTACCTAGTTTATCTCTGCAGCGTTGCACGTGGAAGTAGTTTTTGAAGTTACAATAACAATATAATAAGTCGTGATATAAATTAGAAATCATCCTGTTTCATCATATTTAGCCTGTACACGATTAAGATTCTCTACTTAAGGATAAATTGGCCAAGAAGAAAATACTCATGTACAGAAACTGATCTATGTCTAAATTTAAAACATGAATCATAAATATGAATTGTAGAAATTATAATTAGAAGAATATTGTCAGTAAACGTATTATCTTGAGTAATATTATTTTTAACAAAGTGCAAAACTTTCCACAAAAACATTGATTTTAAGATAACGATGTTTTATATATACAAAAATTTTAAACATAATATACATTGATAACGTAAAACTTATCTCAAGTTGAATGATTAGTGTATAGTTTTATATATTATTCAAAAACTGATGAATAATAAATTTAGTTATAACTTTATGTACAAATTATAATTTTTACATTTGTTTTTAAATTAAAAAATGGACAGTTCGTGTATACGTCCATTTTCTTTTTGGTTAATTTCGCTTAATAATTAGAAAATTTAAATTGCGCACGGATTTTGAATACGCATACCTGCTACGGCAGTGCGACGCTATTGCATTATATTTTTGCTATAAAGCAGTGATGGTTATATGAATTTAAATCATTCTCGAAGGTGAAACCCATTTTGCAGCAGTCATTGAATGAATTTACCAGCTATTCCAACTTCTCTTTCGAATATATGGCATTTAAACTAATCTAATATGTCGATCGCCATTAAGTTCGTCTTCTTTTAATCTCATATACATCCACTAGTCCACCCTTAGTATCTAAATAAACCAAATGCCGCCTAAATTACTTTACTCTTTTGAGTTCACCCAATATTAATTGAGTCGACAATTAATAGTAAGTTATGAATAAACATTACGATAGTGCCTTTTATGTTCTGCGTCTTTCTATTTTGATGCATAGTTAAAGTAAAATAAATATTCCTTACTCCAGTTATCCAATTGAACAATTTTTGTTTAATTCACTTCTTAATATCAATGTTTCTACCTAGCGGTCGCATTGTCATATTGTATCTTATAAAATACTAGCTTTATTGTAGCTTAGAGTACAAAAAATTTTTTTGAATATAGATTTCATGACTTATTTATTGATGTTTACGCATGATCGAGATACGTAAAAACACTCTTTTCCGCATAGTCCCACATTGGGCCTACTGTTTTTGAATTTTCAAATGAGGATTGATTTATAGTAAGTACAATTACAATATTTTATACTAAATATACAAAAATCATGAATATTGAGCGATAGGTTATTTTTAAGCTGTTTTCGTATAAGCTTTATAATAAGCTAACATACGTTGTTTAAAAAATAAAAAAAGATTTTAAAATACAATAATTTGCGTAGAGAGATCAAAACGAGATATTCTCAATTATTCAGATGTTCCATTTCGACTTGTAAAGTTTTCGGTACATAAATTCCAACCGAGTGATCGCAAACAGAAATAACTATTACTTTAGTATTTCACACATTAATTCAGAAGTAGGTTGAATCTTCATGAAATGTTAATATTGTACGAAGGAAAGATGTAATTATAACTATATCAAAGCAGATAACGTTGATGATATTTCAGAACTTTGTGGGAACCCATTTATTAGTAACATACACTTAATCAATTGTAGATAGCGATTTCGATTGCCTTAAGACAAGGTGATAGTCAAAAGAATAAAATCAGTCATAATCAGATAGCTATCATTCAAAAACATAACTGCCCAACAAGCTATATATCAGCTATAATACAACTTCTCTACAAGATATATGTTATTTGCAATCGCTGAATCATGATCAGACATTTTTGTTCAACTCAAGCTCGCAGAAATGTATGCTTGCTTGTGTGTATATATATATATATATATATATATATATATATATATATGAAATTGGAAAAGCTGAACATGCTCTGACGCCTCTTGGAAAATCTACGACGAACGCGAAAGTAACAAAACTCGCTCGGATCAATACAGACACAACAAATCCGACTTGTCAAGAAGTCATGCATACATTCTCACGACGAGAAGCATCAAAAAAGGTAAGAAAAAAAAAGCTGCAGTACTTGGGCGAATAGATGCAAAGCTCGCGAGCATCATACAACAATGCGAGGCTGGCATACGCATAGGCGCGTGCAAGTGCGCATGACCTCGGTTCTTTTTTCGCTAGGAAAAAGCATTTTCAAAAGAAGTGTCGCGTATCAGTTGTCGGTCGGTTTTTCGCTAATATATATACACATCAGCGCGCGCAGCTCTCCGAAACTCCGGCCTCCATTAGCGTTGCCAATGAGTATGTATGTGTACTCACTACTCGCGTGCGCGCCCTAGAAATAAACCAAGTAGAGTCCATACACATGTAAATTATGCACTATATGTACATATTCATACAAATATAGGCCAATAACCTTTTGCTCCGCGTGTATGCGTCTATGTGTAAATATATATATAAGCTATATGCTTAACGCATGCGATACACGAGCAAGATAAAAACCATGAGAGACGCTTTACGACCAGGGATATTTGCAATGCCCTGCTTACTTTTACTCTGCCTAGACATTATTTTGCGACCCGGGAAATTTAAAATCCGAATTACTTTTGACCAATAGATATCGATGACACCAAACGAGGTTAAATCAAGGGCTTATTTTGGCAAGTTTTGTCCCAGAAAAAATTCATTTGATACCATCAATGCTCAATCAATTAAGTTAGCAGGTCGTAAATTAATATCTAAGCAGTGCACATATATTTAAATCTCACTTCCACGCATATAAGATACGCGAGCTTTTCCGCACCAATTTTAAATGCCATTCGGATATTTTGACATTTCATTTTCAATTTCATTTATTTCCAATAGTAACCTGAAGTCTAATCATTTGTATTTTCCATTTCAAGAATAGAGTTTAATTGTAATCAATTCCTCATCACTGAACAGTAAATAAGTACTCTATCGATTTTATTAAATATATATATATATATATTTTTTTTTTACTCCAAGTTTATTTACAATCTGTCTCTTAGATTGGAACAATAAGTAAATGTGATTACTATTATGATAAGTTAATATTCAGCATAAATATTCAGCAGAATACTCCATTGCGTATTCTATATTTATTTTTAGCTTGTATGTACATGAGATGGATTTTGCTTTATTTATATTTTTATCAATTTGTGTTTCTTAAGTCTAGTGGAAGTGATCGTTGTCTTAAACAGTTTGCCAATGAGTTTATTTGGGTGATAATTAAGTGTGTGTGTCTCTCTACGCACGCACACACACACACACACACAGATAAAACACGTTAAACATTTGGTACTTACGGTAACTCTCTATAATCTACATATTTAAGGCTCAATTTTTTTTCCGCTATATTTATTACAAAATAATCAATAGTTGCAACTAACATTTTGTTGTACACTCTGAAAAAAATTAGTTTTTAAGTGTGAAGTTAAGATTCAAAACTATTTTAAAAGTATTTTGCAATAATTATTAAGATTAATTCTGAGTTATGAAAAATTACTATTTATTAAAAGAATAAAATATATTCTATCTTCTTAATTTTTAGCATATACAATATGTACAATTTAATTATGTTCAGTACAATAATACATACAGTATCAAAACTTAAAAATCGGTAACACGACCTTTTCGTTCCCAATCGCCATAACGTGTTGGTTCAGGTCCTTTAGGTCCATCTTGTTCTCCGGTTTTTGGATTGATATTATCAGGGAAAGGCTCTAAAGGTTCCTTTTCCTGATAAGGATGCATTCCTTCTTCAAGCTCCTCTAATTTTTCTAATTTTTAAAAGATATCGAAAAGTAAAAAATTAATAAGACTTATTAAGTACTATCAAAATTAATAAAAATAATTATAAGCTCACATACCTAAAGGAGCTTTAGCCCTCAAGTGTTTTGTACTAGACATTTGCTCTACCATTTTATCTTTTTTTATTCCGGTTGCTCCTGTTAATCATATACATATGAAACAAACAATTTTATTATTTAAACGTATAGAAATAAATTCAGCTTACCCAAAGGACGTGTTTCTTGAAGTTTTTTTCTGAATTCTTTTAGTCGTTCACTTTCTTTCTTATTTTCCTGTTCTGTTGAAGAATGTTGTCTAATGCTTCCTATAAATTTAGCAGTGACAATAACAATCATAGTAAAAATTATTTATCACAGTAGCTTGTGTTATCGATAAATATTTCGAGTATGGAATACATTTTGAAATTTATTTCATAATTTCATTCCACCAATAATGTACGTAACATATTATTTGGAGAAAATTTGTCGCGCTTTCTCATTAATGATTTGTCTAACAGAAAAACAATTGATGTTTGAAATGAATATGATTAGTATATGCTCTTGTCTTATAGATTATAACTAGTCAAGTTCGGAGTATTTCATGGAGTCGTTTCTACAAAAAAAAAACCTATAAACCAAGCATGTTTTTTCCAGCTGTCGTTTCTATTTACATGATGCAATATTTTTTTATCTTATGAAAAAGAGAAGCTGACATAATGAAGCCAGTTTATTCGTGATATGATTGGCTAAAAGATAGTCGTCTGATCAATTGTGCGTTGTGTGTGTGTGTGTGTGTGTGTGTGTGTGTGTGTGTGTGTGTGTGTGTGTGTGTGTGTGTGTGTGTGTGTACGCTCATAAAAGATTACTGCAAATTTTTTTAAAAGTGTTTCAACATAGTTGACGTAAATTTAATATGAATTCATTGATTTAATCATACCAATTTTAAAATAAAAACCGACTGATACTTTGACAGAGAAATAATTGAACTTTGTTCTATGCGACAGTTTAGCTTTAAATAAGCAAAGTAATAATAAAATATATAAATCGATAGATTATTACAATAAAATATTGTACAATGTCTTTGGCTTTATTTAATTTTTTTTAAATGCATTAATTACAACCGTAAATGTCTACCGAAGTTATCGCGAAGGAAATTATATAGAGAACTATATTATTTTTAGAACTTATAACCTTTTCTTATCGTGTTTTTCAAACTTTTTAATGATGACTTTTCAATACAGGACTAGGAGTGATAAAAACTTAAAACTTCCGTGATAACATTTTAAAATCATGAGTATTAACGTAACTGTATATTTATTTACCAATAAATAGTATCGTCAGCTATATCTCATACTAAATCGAGGGAATATTTAATGCATATACACGTTTCGAATTTTCTATTTCGCTAATAAGTTTTAACCTATTATTAGTGCATTAAAATAAATGCCAACAAAAGACAAAATGATAAAAGCGTAAAATATCATTATAATTACATTTAAACGGGAGTGCTGGAAAAGAATTTTATCTTTTAAATTTTCTTCTCTATGACTGCGCGAAATCCTCCGAAATTGACTACGCGTAATTTAGACATTATTACTGATCAATGGTATTCTTTTCGAGCGCTAACCATAACTATCTTTTTTAAGCCAAATCGATAAATCATTCCAGGAAAGCTGGGACAAACGTTTTCCATTCAGTATTCCATTAAAGATTAGTTGGAAAAAGGCATTCATGAAATATTCTGACATACTTGCGCATGAATTATTGAAATTTTTGTAAATTGAATTTTGAACAATCCTCAGCATGTTTAATCACTACCAAATTATTTTTATTTTTATGAATTTTCTTTTGTTAAACGTGTGATCCTAAAACAAAGATTGAGGTTAGATGACAGAATTTACGAATTTTATATTTACATGTTTGAAAGTAAGTCCAATTTACCTTAGATGGTACTATACTTATAATTTATAATTATTAGCGTCGTATTAAACTACTATATATCATTATTTATTGCCATAAATTTCATGTAATTAGATACAGCAGCAGACTACAACAAAGTGCAAGAAATCGCAATAAATTTGATATAAACCAGCGCTACTGTCTAAGCGTGCGGGCGTAATAAGAATCATCTTTTGAAATCCTTATAATCATTTCAATTGTTTATTCAATAAAAATAAATGAAAAAATTCCTATAACCTCAAAAATTGCATAATTCTTATTGAAGTAAATGTATAAAATACACCTTATTCTTCAAAATGTTCAGATTACATCAAGAATTGTTAATAACTCCTAACTTGATCAGAAAATTTACGATCCGTAATACATTAATACATTCAATATTTTCTAAATTTTATGTTTTAAACCATTTTTAGATCTACCTAGAAATGTGGAAAGTCCTGTCTACGTAAAGCAAAAAAGCGAATCCGAAAGAATGAAAAGATTTCAAGAAAAAATGAAGCTCGAAAAGATATCAAGTAAGAATGAATAAATCTTTTTAATATCTAGTATAAAATCTGATCAACACTTAACGTTTTAGGAGTGCAACCAGGAATGCGTTTCGTAGATTTAGTATTAGTTGACACTAATCCAAATGATGGCGAGCTTATATCAAACAGCGAAAGAAATCCAACAAAATATGGAGATTGGCAGCATAATGGTCGAGTGACTGATTTTTGACTGGTGAATATGAAATAATACAACACATTTTATAATCTTAATAAAAATGTATTTCTGAAAAGTATTAAATGAAATTGTCTGTATTATCAATAACACATATGCTTTCATTTACGCCATGTACATTATTCTCAGTACTTTCAATCGAATATACATTTTTTCTCGCAAAGAAAGTGATTGAAGCCCAGTTGGTAAAACATCGTTTTACTCTGAGATTCATACAAGATTACTACTCATAGTAAACTGTAAACAAATCCACGACAACCATATTAAGTAATATAATAACTTAAAATTCATTCATAAGAATATATAGTAATGTATATCAAAACAAATGTTTTCATCATACATTGACACGCACTGCATCGCTTTATGTATATTCACAAGATGAGAAAAATGAATGTACTTTACATGTATACAACAATCAAATATACATTTCTCATATTTAATGAACAGAATCTTTAGATAATTTTTCTACTGTTTGAAACGAAATGACGGATGAAAATGAAACTTTATTTTATAATAAATTTATCGACTAATTCTTTCAAGCCAAATAGTTTTAAAACTCCGAAATTAATCACGTCAGTCTTTCGTTGCTGTTTAATCTAAAGAGTCTATAGAAAATTTAAAAACGCCAAGCTGCGATAATGAGAAATCGTAGCTGAAAAACTAAAAGAAAAACTAGTAATTCAAGAACTACAAAGTCTTATTAATGGCTAGAACGTCACGCATCATCATATTTCTCAAGGTCCATAAGGCATTTACTACATTTCCGTGATTGCCTACTCCATTTCCGAGCCATTCTTCAGGTAATTTTGTAACCTCCGGAATTTGTGTGTTCTCAGATGTGGCATTTAACTGTTTATCCCAATTCGATATGTAACGGTTGTCAGACGTTAATCCTTCAATGTACCTATGAAAACATATGACATTAACATATTTTACATTATAAATAATATATCATGATGTGTAAACTTGAAATAATTTTCTTTTACCTTAAGTAAGCGTCTGAATGTAACACTCGACTAGGGCAGGGAGGTACCGCAATAAATAATGGCTCGGGTTGTTTAGAAGCTGGAATATTATTCGTTTGTGTAGCCGCTGCTATCGTTTCTTTTAAAAAAGTTGTATTGGAAATTTATTACGTTATTGAAACGCAGCACTACATATATAAAAAAATACAAACCAGTTTCCATTGGAACTGAATTTGAAGATCCCTTCATAGCAACAAAATTCCTGCTTCTTTCAGATGGTGGAATTATCCGTCCATTTGATTTAAGTATATGTACCTCCTTTACATGCCGAGCAAGTCTTTGCACACTTGGAAATGGAGGCACAGATTTTTTTAATCGACCACAGCCTCGCCATTGACACTGATATTCCATATCTGAGTAATTTTTTCATTTAATGATCAATAACTGAGAAGAAGTAGCTTACAGTAAATGTAATGTGAATAAATTTACCATTTGCATTTGCAAAATAATTTTGGACATGTCCTGATTGTTCTGCTACACTGTGTTCAATGCAATCTGCCATATCTTCAAACTGATAATCACAATTCTCCCAACAACACTCATATACTACGTCTTGTGATGAACCTGACCCTCTAATCTGTCCACCTTCTTCATTCAGCTTATTTGCTCGTTCTTCCCACATTGTTTTTTCTAAGGGTGGTAACTTCCGCCACTAAAATGGAAAATATTATTGTATGAAAATGAAACTACAATGAATAAGTGAACCAGTACATTGAAAATTTTAAGATATAGCGTCGTCAATAGTAACTCAAGAAATTTTCAATATTTCTTAAGATTTTTATACATTTTTTTATAAAAGTACTATATATCGATGTAAAATGCTTCAGCTATAATTTAATATATTTAGAAAATTAAGAAGAATAATAATCACCTCATTACCAACCAGCCTGCTTATTTCTCCAAAAGTCGAATCTGGATTATTTTGCGTGACGGTTGTTCTCATTTTACTTGAGTACAAAATATAACCCGTAACTAATTTCTTACCCGGTGTTTTCTAAAATCAGGTAAACAAATGCACATTATTTCATCTTTACTTCGCTGATTTCGATAACCATAAACAATTGTCAAAATTAAGCGCTAAAGTATATTCCATAATGGTGCAATTTTAACTATGAATTAAATGTTCATTATGCTGGCATATTTCTGCAAAAACAGAACCAAACAAGATAACGAAGGAGATGATAATGTATGAATGAACCAAAAAAACCAATGATCGATGAATATTAGGCAGCATTAATAGATTAAAGTGAGAGAGGAGAAAAAAAATAAAAATAAAATATAAAATAAAAGGCGTAATGAAAAATGACGAGGGTAGGGCCTACCTTCTTGGACGAGACGGGGGTTTGAATGTTGGAGAGCACCGGTTGAGCTTCGGCGGAGCCGACCGACGGTGGAGCATCCAAGCTGTCCTCACACACTCCAAAGCCCATTCCCATGCCCAGACCGTCGGACTCCAGCTTTGGATAGTACGGCGATGCGTCCTATTATACCATTTATGCTTCGTTACGATATCGCTTTGGACTACTCGATTCGAATCAAGCATACGCGCACGATTTTTTAATGTAATCTTTTCTAAATTTATCGAAAATCGATAAGAAAAAATACGTTCCTCTCCTCGATTTAATTTGTTACCCTATTTGTTGGTATTCAACATTATGACGAACGCGAATATTTAAAATGTCGTAAATTTTATTGGTAAAAGTCTGAATAAATTATAAAACGTAAAAGCAAGAACATTTTATTTCTTGGTAACTTTGCACATTGTGTAAATTTATATAATAGATAAATATGTAAATAAAAAGTTAATAATCTAACCGAATATTATAATTTCTTGAAAACAAAACAAAATATTCTTGCCTTAACTTCCCGAATTCTAAATATTCCGCGTAGTTCGAAAAAATATTTTGAAATCCTCAGTTTGCTTAAATTAGAACGTAGAGGTGAGCTTTCTTGGAATATTATTATCATACATTTTCTCATATTTATGATAAACCCAACAGGTGCTCTGAATATTTTTATTCCATTGCAAATGTAAGGATGATAACTTTAAAAAAACAATAAACTTGGAATGAAGTAAAACAAACGAAACCAACAAAACGTGAATATGCCGGCATAGGAGACGATTCATGCAGAATTCAAACTAGTATAGTCGGTTTACATGTTATGATTTTCATGATTAATACATACTTATTTACATGATCCTACAAAACTTATATGATTTGATTCTAAAGATGCACAAACGACCATAATAGTTAGAATATTAACGTGATGTTAAACATGCATTAGCAATTTGTTAGTTATATGTTACACAAATGTTACGCTATCTTTTAATTACCATTTCATACTGACTCGACGACGATCCAGCAGACTTACTCTGATTTTGTATTTGATTTGCGTCACTAGGCACCTATAATAAACATCAACATATAATAATCTTACATAGAGCTAAATAAAATTGACGTATCAAAAAATGAATTAAACATAATTTGAATAAATATTATACACTTCTCACCTTGGTAGGATTAATTGGCTTGCGGAAGAAATATATTTCATCTTCTGTTACTTGATTAGAATGAACATACTTTTTCAAACCTTCCACGCCAAGCTTTCTAAGAATATTCTTGTTTTCATCAAACATAGATTCACAAATAAAGATGTCATCTTCAGGTATTTCTGTTGGTCGGCCTATTATGATTCAAAAAAAGAAATACAGTACGTAGCAAATACATTGATATGAATGCTTGATCTTACTGCAAGTGTATTCTCCATAATCTAGAACGGCGCATTTTCCGACTATCGCAACAATGGGATGCGTAGCCTCAACGGTTGATAATAACAGTTCTTGTTTATAAAATAATTTTGTTGGCGCATGTGTAATTTCTGTTGGAGCCAATAAAAATGGCCCTTTAAAGTAACACTTATCACTACAAATACGAGAAATGTAATGAAAGAAATTTTTAGAATTGTAAAAAGTTTAAAAGTTAACAATTACTTACTCTTTGGTGGACCATATAGAATCAACTTGAGCTATTTGTTGTTTGCCTCCATCGGTTGCTGTATAAACAAAATCACCTAATTTTACATGTCCTATGCAAGTATTGTATTGCTCATAATATGTATTTTCAGTATCATCAGTATTGAATAAAACAACATTCTAAAAACAAAATTAAATTGTTATATTAAGTTTAAATATAATTTTTTGTTTCTGTTTTTATAAATGACAAAATTTTAACTTACTGGTCTTTCTTTTTCGATAGATTTTTCATTTTCCTCCAACTCAGCAATTTCCTCTTTGTGTTTCTCTAGCCTTTCTTTATAAACAGAAATAACACGTTTTGGTTCCAACTGTTTATCTCTTGGAATCAACTTTAGATGATCTGGATCAAAGTTCCAAACTTTAATTTTTTTAAAAGCTCGAGCTTTTGTTGAATATCTTGATTCGCACACATATACATCTTTTTCAGGAAAGCCTTCTGGTATCATACGAAAATAATCCTTTACACTTAATACGCAACACCGCCCTGCAACTTTTGACAATGGCACGGCAACGTGAGCATCGCTTTTGAAAAGCTCTTTATCCAGGAATTTCCTAGAAGCTACGTGATAAGTTTCACTTGGACGATAGAATAAATTTCCATAAAGCATTTGTTGTCCTTCTGGATTTGTCCAAAGCCTTTCAATGAGTACAACGCTATTTTCCATGCCACGTTCTGTTGGTTCTATATATGCAAAATCGCCAGCTCTGTATATTTCTTGATTGAAGCTCATTGAACCTCCATTATCACTACTAGATACACTATTACTGGTATCTCCTTCCTGAAAGTTCTGGTAGAAAAATTAAATATGTTATATAAATTATGTAATATAATTCAAAACATTAATTGCTCATCTAGTGAGGCATAATTTTTACAAACCTTATCATTAGCATCACAACTTTCATCTTCATTTGATGTTATAAGCTCTTGTTGAACTTTTGTTTTTTTTAATTCCTCCACTTGATTAGCTAAATCATGAACTGTGTAATTTAAAGCAGGAGAATGAAGCAAATCACCATTTCTTGTAACTTCATCTCTTGTACGAATAAAGAAAGCTTGAAGTTCTACACTGTCTTCAAATACTTGAGAATCAGTACGTGATAATTTTCTTGCTCTCTCTAAGCAACTAAAAACATCTTCTTGAAAATGATCAAGCCTTTTATAAACTCCTTTATCTAAGCGTCGTTTAATCAAATCCAGTGACAGTCCTCGAACCCTAATCAAAAGATTTTCATACATAATTAATTCACAGAATCTGAAAATTGGCTAAAGCTATAGATTACAACATAAATAATTATTTAAAAGAAAAGGTTTTATTAACGAAAATTGTATTACTATGTTGTTCGAAAAGCTTACAAGCTTAAAAATCTTTTTTTTAACAGAACTACTTACTTCTTTCCATCAATAATATCATGTTCAGGTAATTCAGCCATAGAATCAGAATAACAACGTCCTTCCTCATCTTGGTGATTGTACAGAGCAGTAAATACTGTTGCCAATATTTCTTGAACTGCAGATGGAACATCAGGTATACTTTCATCATCTTCACTCAACTGTAATTTTGTTTGAAGAACTAGCCTTTGCAGAGTTAATGCATCCTAGAAAAAGACATAGTATTTTAATATTTATTGAAACTTGTTATCTTTCAATAAAATCAGCTGAATAGGGGTAAAAATGACTGCAATATAGTTATATTTTTATAGGCTATACGACTAATAAAGATTCATTAAGTATATTAATGCTAATAAACGCGTGAATGCCTGCCTCATTTTTTTTGCACTTTTTCCTCGAACGCTGATCTATATCTCGATCTCGCATAAGTCGGATCGAGCACGGTTTGATAGGTTCTTTCATTATAGGAGAACCAATTTCATCGACGCAAACCATTTCCGCATCTGAACAGAACATTTTTACTAAATGCTACGGCCTTGAGTATATAATCCAGTGGACAGTGTTTGAGAGTTCCAATAATTTGACTAATTTTGCATTTTAAACTTGATAACAATGAACAAGTATTAGCACAACCCTATATAGCCTTTTTTTTCAACAGTATGGAATAAATTAAAACATTTTAAAACAATCAACACGAGATAAAACAACGCAAGTACAGTCTAAAACTACCTCAAACAAGCATCTTGTGAAAACGAACTAAACGACGTAACCTTAAAATGAAGGATCATAACAGAGAAGCCATTTTATTAGACAAGCGGGACATTTAAATTATATAGTCATATCTAAACTATAATATTTATATCGATTAAAAAATTTGAAAATAACTTAAAATAACAAAATCTAATAAAATTTTTTTTACAATTTAAATGATTTTCAATAAACTGTAAATTTCAATGGTATGAAATATAGGTATAAAATATATGAGATGAACTTTACTATTCGTATCTCAAATTATTAATTAACGTAAAAAAAAAACATTTTAGATATAATAATAATAATTTAAACATTTTAGATATAATACTTAAAAAAATATATTTCATAGAAAATAAATTAACAAATTTTTAGAGCTAATCAAACGACTTTAACAAATCAAACTAGTAATTAAAGTTTAAGGCAATAATTGGTTAATTTCAAGGTTTAATTACCAGTAGTTTCAAAGTTAGAAATAATTTGATTAATTATTATGTGAAAATAAAAAATTACCGTCCTAAAAGTAGTGCTTTTGTATTGTCATTTCCATTTTAAGTATTGAAATACTTCAATTTCACATTTTTATACTAATTGTTTATATAGAGTAAAACTAGGTGAAAGTATAATGAAAATAGATACGCGTGTATCTGAAATTTAAATAGAAAAAAATATAGGCTGTTTCAAAACGTTATTCAAATAGCTTCTACAACAGTGCATTTCATAATCTGAATTTGGAATATACACAAAATATACATATTAATATATTGGAAATAATCTCTAGTTCAGAGATTGTTCTCATATGCATATCTAAGAAAATAAAGAGTTCATTATTAAGTATTTTAGTTCGTGAATTCAGCCCTTTTCCGAAAAAATAATACTTTTGTTCAATCGCATAGTTTAAACAAATTATAAACTAACGGTTTTGAATCTGAACTAATTTTTTTTATAGATTACTTGACTTATTTAAAAAAAAATAACGGACGGAATATATTGCTACATTAGTATACATTATAGCAATTACAGTATGTAATCTAACAAAATCAACTTAACAGAATCTGAATGAAATCAAAAAACTTCTCGTGTAGATTAACGTTTATTATTCATATTCTGTAATTGATCTTTTTAATGTATAATAATAGTCTGGTTCGTTCCATATTCTACACGATTTTATTAAACGCAAATTTGGAAATTTTGTTTATTTAACACAAAGTTTGTCTATTGTATACGAAACTTAAAATAGTGTTCTTGAAAAATTAAATCTTATATTATATCTTTCTACAGAAAAATTAACAAATAATTAATTGGCGCAAAATATTCTACACGTTAGAATAGTACACTTGATCATTTCTGTGATAATGAACAGAATTTCAATCATACAATTCTGAAGAAACATTTTATGTAGAATATTTTGGGCCAATTATTTTCCAATTGAATATTTTGTAGAACATTTATAGCTTAAATAATATCTTCTTTTCTAATAAATACTACTTTGTTTTCTATTAAAAATTAAAACACAACACAAATAAATAAAATTAAAAAATTCGTACAGAATCAAATCGTGTAAACGCAGTATCTATACGAAACGAACCCAAGCATCATAATGTGTTAATTAGTAATTTAATTTTTTCCAAAAATTTTTTTCAAAGTTTAAAATGAATTATACAAACCTTGTAAATTTGTGAGTCTGGTTCATTATACTTGCAGGCATTGTCAAACATAAGAAGTAAATCTGATACTAAATCGTCAAGAGTATCATAACCGTTATTTTTCAAAATAGAAGCTATCTTTTCCATATGTATAGGATTTTTAATAACTTCATAGTAATCAGGATATTCTTTAACGCTTGGTAATTTCATAAATATTGAAGATAACTGTCTTCCTTTGGCATCATGGTAATCCTTAATGGTATCGTACATAGTCCGCATTTTTTGTAAATGCAAAGGCACAACTTTTCTGGGTCGCCTATAATTGTACAAATTGATAAAATCTTTATTTTAACAAATTCATAGCAAATAAAAAGAACTCAAAGTCAAATTACTAAATATCATACCCAACATGACGAGTTGGCGTTGAACCTGTTGATTTAGATTTAACATCTTGAAGAGGACCGAGTTCTTTAACCTTATCCATCAACACTTTTTCCAAAATTTTTGCATCTTCATAAATCATGGAGCCATTTTCATTATACTGACGACAATTTCTAAACATGAGCTACAACATATGGTGATGGAAAAACGTTATCATAACACATAATGACCACAACTAATATTAGATTGAAAATGTAAAATATTGATGTATTTTGTGTACATAAAAATTTGCCGTTTATCATTATTCAAAACTAAATTAATTTTAATTTGATAAATTGGCAAAAAAATACTTTAAAACTAATATAAAATGAATCGTTATTAGAAGTACTTAGACAGAATAATTAGATATTTCAATATATTTATAATTTCAAATAATTATATATTTAAAATTACTTACTTTGAAGTCTTGAATTAATTCGCCTTCATTACGATACTTTTCTGCTTTAATATTTGCCTCAATTGTTAACATATCAATTGGTTCGGTTATGACTTGATAATAATCAGGATATGTTTTTTTAGAAGGCTTCTCCATGAACAATAATATAGGCTGTCGCCCATCATCAGTCTAAAAATTAAATTATATCTTTGAAACAACTTTCATTGATTTATAGAAATGAAACCTAATAATCAAGTTTTGATTTTCTATTTAGTTAATGGACAATAAAAAAAGTTACAATGAATAATAATATTAAATACTTACCACATATTCCACAACACACTTTACAAGTTTGTGTAATCGTTTTTTTAGAGGTATATTATCTTTGTACTTTCCCCGTGTTAAAAGATTTGAAGCTCTTTTTACAAGCTTGGGATGCGAGTTGACATCATTTTCTTCTTCAGATTCGGATTCCTAGATAAAAAACTTTCAGTAAACACACAAATGTACTAATTAATTTATAATGTAAATATAATTATAGAGTACCTGATCAAATTCCAATAATTCTTGTACTTTTTCTTGCATAACTTTTTGTAACTTTACTGCAAACTAAAAATAATCGTTCTTACTCAAATAAAATCTACAAAATATTTTATTATTTATGTAAATATGGATATTACCTTGTACAATCTTGATGTATGAATATTATATTTCTTAGCATTTTCAAAAACAATATTCATATCTCCAGCAACTTCACTAACTGTACCATAATCTCCTCTCTGCAATTTGAAAATACAAATATTAAATAAGCCTACATATATTATAAAAAACCTCATAAAACTGAAAATAGTTCACCTTAATTTTTTTTCGGATTTGCAGTAAGCTAATTGGATTTTTAATCATCTTATAATAATCAGGATATAATTGTCTTGAAGGCAAAGTCCAGAAAAATTCACTCATTCGCAGACCTGTAAGAAAATGTTTTTCTTTTAATAGATCTAGATTAATAAACATGTGTAAAATAAGGATTGTTAAATAAATCTTGAAAATGTTTAAAAAATCATAAACCCACAAACATTTTCCGAAAACTTATTCATCAAACAATAATGAATTTATCTCCAAATATTAAAAATATAATTAACATATTCCAATTAAAATAATTTTTAGCTATTTATTTCATTGTTATTACTAATCATTATCGAACACTCATTTTGATAATACATTTTATTATCAAAAATTTATAGTTGATAATGTATATTATTTGCACTGTTATAGTCTTAATTAGATGCAAATTAATTTTTCAACATAAGTATATAATTTATTTGCAGATTGCCCAACAAAAAATTGATCAATGTACTATCAAGTATGCTATTATCTAATTAATAAATTACCTGAACTATTAGGTGCTGTCCTGATTGTTTGAAAGAGTTGCCATTGAGGATTATCACTCTCTTCTGTATCTAAAGGATCTTCTTCTTCGTCATCACTTTCTTCATCTTCATCTCGTAATGCTGCAGATGATGCTACTAATGCATGTGCTGACCGATTACCTCTTTTACTTCTTGTAGATAATGCAGCAGACATTGACTTTGACAATGATGCACTGATGTCTGAAGACTGTTTTTTAGCTGCTATAGTAATTATTTTTTTCAATAACTTAGCATCTTTATATATCCATGAACCTGGTTCATTGAAATGACATGCATTGCGACACATCAACAATAAATCTCTTTCCATCTCTGATATATTATTGTATGCACTATCAAGAATTTTGTTAGCAATTGTTTTAAGATCAATAGGTTGATCTATAACTTCATAGTATTCAGGATAGAGCTGTAAGCAAATTTATTTTAAACTAACTAGAATTACTTAATAAACTTAACCTTAAAATATAGTTAAAATTATTTAAAAATATTTGATTATATTTCGAAATACAAATTTGTGTAGCAGAGTACCCACGTAGAAATTTTATATAACTTTGTGAATAATAATTAAACCAAACAATGAAAACATTAACAAAATATAAACAACTCACTTTCTTTGAAGGTTTCAGTAAAAATGGAGCATGGAGTTGCCTACTACTGTCTGCAGGATCTGTTGCAGTCATAACTACACCAAATAAATCCTCATAAGCTTGTGTGTCATCATCAGGATTAGTTGAGCTTTCAGAAGTGTCTTCTGTGTCATCTTGCCTTGTAATCCTTTTATTCTATTCAGATTCATAATTATAAGATACATTATGTATCTTTTAGTACAAATTTTTAGTACAAATTTAGGTTGATAGTATTGAAAGTTACCTTTAAGCTCATTCTGCCTCTAATAGGTTCATCTTCATAGTCATCCAATATCCTATTTTTTGTACTCACGCATAGATCCCACAATTCAGTGGCATCTTTATATTCTGGAGAACTACGCTATAAATTGAAATTGCAAATTTAAGATAAATGCCAACTTTTATTCTTTAAAAGTATTGTTTACTGGAAGATAAAAAATATAATTTATACAACACTTTTGAATAATCATTTCAACTAACCATGTAGAATGCTTTTGTATTATTAACCATCAACTGTATATCAGCTGCCAATTCATCCATATCTCGATATTCATCTGTTTTTAATTTTTGTTGAACTTTTAGAAGATCTATAGGATTTGAAACTACATCATAGTAACCAGGTTCTTGTCTTCTCTTTGGGACACGTATAAAAGCATCACACAATAAGGAACCATCTTCCTTTTTGTGATTTCTGATCGAATCATACAATTGATAACATAAATCACTCTGCAATAGAAAAATTATAAGATTTTCAATACAACTAAACAAAATTATAAAAACAAAGTTACAAAATTGTACAATAATTTATAAAATCAAATAAATAGTTAAATGTTGAAGTACTTCTTCAAAAATATATTACATTAGAACTACCAGTTGTGCGAATTTCACTCATAATTTAATTTCATATTGTAAAAAGTACAGAATTATAGTTTCATTCAAAGCAAAGTTTAGAGCATTCCAAGAAAAAAATATTTTAATATATTTTCACTCACTGGATCCAATTTTTTCCTTCTTTTGGATGGTTCTGGTATTATATCATCAGGGTCATCCTCAGTGCCCCGACTAGCCACAGAAGAGGTCCTTCTTCGTTTATTCATATTTTATAACCTGCAAGTATAATAACCCAACTGTCAGTGTAAGTATAAACACTCGGCTGATAATGAACGTAAAAACAATCAACTGAAAAATAGATACAGTTTTAGCGGCAGCCGCTATCCCGGTAAAGATGCTGCAACACGGGCAGCGTGTACAAACAAAATGTTTTCTGAGGAAAAGCGTGCCCGATAGAGAAGTGTCGTGAAGGACGTAAGAACACAAGCAACGATCCTTTCGAAATTATCGCGTTTTCACAGTCACGTCTGTGGGTCAGGGCGATACTTCGGAGAAAAGCCAGCCAGCAAAATAACATCGCGGCTGCCGCGCCATCATAAAATGCTGCCTGCACGCACTCTCACTAACACCATTTTACGCATACTGCCTATAAAAACGCACGATAGATGCACATGTGTGTGAGCTGTAGAAGTGCCAGTGCCAGATGCCTTCGTTTCTTGCTTGTATATATATATATGTGTGTGTGTGTGTATATACAAATGCACACACTGAATATACTGTGTATTGGTGTATACATACCACGGTAACGGACAACACGTCGAATGTCGAGCACTGCTACTCTGCTTTTCTCTCAGTTTCGGGATAACACGATTTGATAATCATTTTCTGTTAAAATATACTTTAAAATAGTTATGACATATGATGTATTACTTGCACTAAGGCAATAAAATTTAAATATATTTTAAAAATTGTAAGGAAGCCTATTAAATTTAAATAGTGGTTCGTAAATTACTAGGTGTAACCACAATCAAGTCGAATTATACATCTTGCACAAAAACAAATGCAAGAAAAATGCCATCGCTCATTAATTTCATAACAATTGCCTTTTTCTTTTGGCGTGCGTGTGATTTGCGTTGATATCACGTGTGAATACTATTAGTAGGTAGCAGTGGTGTTGAGTGGTGCCAAGTTTAGTCGAGAAAGAGCCACTGCTCTATCACTGCGCTATTGCGTGAATAATATATTAGCAATTAAACGTCCATCGGGACTAACTTTAACAATGATTTTGGTATGTTTTTCTTTTATTTACTATTTGTTATGAAACGCACAATTCGTGGACGCCATATAGCTTTCGTTAGGCTTTGAGTTCTGCGCGTGCACCAGTTCATTCAGTTTCGACGCCATGTTGCATCATGTTTTGTGGTATATCGCGCCCTAAAATGTGACGTCAGGATTCCTCACTTCGACGTTACCGAACCATCAGACACAGATAAAGGAAGTTAGAGAGAAATTGCAAGGAATAACTTCGAAAATATTATAGAAAAACTGCGAATGATTAACAACGATAGAAAAATCCATTAACAAATTCACGCAATTATGTTTTCATTAAAAAAACAATTTCTAATATCAAATACCTCAAATTCGGTGTTCTCGAAACTACGTAAGCGCTGTAATAGGTAGATGTTAAAAAAAATGTTTTCACTCGTTAGTAAGAAAACCGCGCAATTTTTCTGTGCTTTCGGTTTTTCGATCAGATTCTCTAATTATAATTAAATAATTATTTTCTTTTTGCGTTTTCTTGGCTAGCATAGTAAAATATGCGAGCAGATCCGCGCATGTGTCACTACATTCGCTACTCCACAACTATATTCGAACACCAGATGTGCACGAAGGCGTAAAAATGTATTCGTAAAATTAATAGAAAATTCCGCATATGGTTTCTTCAAACCATGCACAAATCTTTGGTAAGATAACATTCACTTTGTTTTTTTACCTCAGGATTCTTCCAACATCTGATATCCGATGGCTCTTACATATAGAAAGTCCCTGATCGTTTAAATTTGAATTGTTTAATTTCAGATTTTTACGAATAATCTAAATGTTCTAAAAATCTTTATTAAAGAATAACAATTTACAATAGTTTTTTAGGATAGTTATAATATACATGTATGTGACTTTTTTAATAAGTTTTAGTGAAATACATACTTATTTTTATGTCTTATAGAATACTTACGTTTTTCTAATGGTGTCAATAAGTGTGACATTGATTGACATTAAGTGCACCATGTGTTTGTATAGTGTGGCAAACATCGTCACATAAATAAAATAAGGACGAAGTAGCTCAACCCCCATCCATTGATCATGCATTATGTTTTTTGCTGTTTTTACAGAAATAAACGTGTGTAATCGTTAGCAAAAATCACGTACAGTTTTTCTGTACTATCAATTTCGTAATTATATATAAATACTTAAATAAGTTTTTTATCAGCGTGTATTGTTAAAGTCTAGATCTATGTTACCGATTGATCTTTCAAACGCGCTATGTATGTATTGTTATAATGAGAAATAATATTTATTCTTTAACGGATGGTTATAATTAACATTTGATTAGATAGAAAAATGGCTAACGATTCAACGCATTCATTTCTATAAAAACTGTATTAAAAAGTTACGTAGATTTAATTTCTATTGTTCTGGGAATGTTCAACTCTTGCAACTTTTTCAAGAACAAAATTAAATTGCGCGAAATTGTTAATGAGTTTTGTTATCCTTTGCCAATCACGCACAGTTTATCTATAATTTTTTAGATTGATTTTCGTTAATTTCCAGCTAAGTTCCTTCACCCTATAAGGGAGTGTCCACATGGAGTTCCTCTTCCTTCCCTTACCCCAGCCTGCAAAGTGTAATGGATAGTGAAAAAAAAATACCATTCGAAATATCTCTAATTGAACCCTCTAAAAATGCTCATTATTTTAATTGAACCCCTTCAGTTGTCCCAAAAAAAATTAAAAACCATGATAATTTTTTCGTTTTTTGCAACTGTGATATCTTTCGTAATACTTAATATTTTTGCAAAAAAATAAGGCAAAAAAATTGAACCCATGCTCGTTTTAATTAAATAAAAATTAATTTTAATTAATAATTAATTTTAATTAATTTTAATTAATAATTAATTTTAATTAATAATTAATTTTAATTAATAATTAATTTTAATTAATAATTAATTTTAATTAATAATTAATTTTAATTAATAATTAATTTTAATTAATTAATTTTAGTTTAAATAGATGGGTTATTGGGTTATTTGGAAAGAACATACAATAAAATTAGATTGTTATTTTTGACATATATATTAATAATTTTGAAAAAGTAAGAGGGGTGCAATTAAAACGAGCAAGGGTTCAATTTTTTTGCCTTGTTTCTTTGCAAAAATATTAAGTATTACTAAAGATATCTCAGTTACAAAAAACGGAAAAATTATCATAGTTTTTAATTTTTTTTGGGACAACTGAAGGGGTTCAATTAAAATAATGAGCATTTTTGGAGGGTTCAATTAGAGATATTTCGAATGGTATTTTTTGTTCACTGTCGATTACTCTTTGCTGGCTGGGGTAAGGGGGGTGAAGTCTCAATTTGACCTACGTTAGTATATAACTATGTATATAGTTTTGCCTGTTAGTAAGAGTTACGTTGAAACATGCACGTACACTTGTTGTTCTACAATCCGTTTTATAAATTTTTGTTAAAAACGTTTGTCTGATTATAACGAAACAGAAGATAGATTTCTTGTCAAACAGTTGAATTATAATTTTTATTATTACATAATTTGGAAAAATTTGAAAAATTACTTTTTTTTACTTTACATAGATATTTAATAGTACAATAGTGTTAGCTAGTAATGTACTAATTTTTTTAATACTCCAATATCAAAATAACTTGTTTCAATTTGTAAAAACAATATTCTGCAAAGAGTAAAAAAATCTTTTGATTTTTGAATATTAAAGCAATAGCTAAATAAAGATATCATTTAAAATTTATTTAAATTTTATTTTTAGTTAAACATGTTGATGCCAAAAGCATTTTTTCACTGCTGGAAAACAGCTCTGAGTAGAAGATTCATTAGTCAATCTACTAGAAATTTTGAGTCAAAAATTTCAGACACTAGTAAAGTTTCATCATCAGGAGCAACTTCCTCATCTTCAAATACAAATGGATCAGCTTCTATCATTGGTAATGTGAAGCAAGTTGCAAAATAAATTTAATGATTATTAAGTTTTTTTATTTATTAGATAATTTTTATTTGTTAGGTTCAAGAATGATGGCACCATCAGCTTTTGATAAATGGATACTAGTTTGGATGAAAAAATATCCAAAAGGACAAGTTCCTGATAGAATCAAGTAAATAAATTGTATTGTCATAATACTTAAGATGAAAAGTTTTAATATTCTTTTTATATTTCCTCAGCAATTAAAAAGCCAATCTATGATCTACATACTATCAGTTCAAAAAATGAATTTTGTAGTATGTAAATCTACTTTATTTTATATTATTACTCTAAAACTAATATTGAAACTTTCATTTGAACTTTTATTAAGAAGAACTTTTTAATAATATATGTTGTTTCTGAATTTAGGGAAGAAGTTATATATCAAACAAAAAGCAGAGCTCGTATAAAAATAGCAAATTATATGATAGCTATATCTGTCATAATGTGCATTGGAGCAGCTATCAGTGGTCGAAAAGCTAGAAAAGACGGAGATAGTCTTCATCAAAGAAATATTGATTGGCATAAGAAAGTGAATGAGGAGCATACAAATCAACTTGCTACTAAATCCTAAATTTTATTAAAATCAATATGTAATTGATTGATAAATAAACTTAATATTTAAGATAATATGTATTATCTTATTATATCTCAAAAATTGAAGAATTAGATTATTTTGTTTCAATCAATTTTTTTTAATAAATCAAATCTATGTACATACATACAGCACCGATTATCTTGATTATTTGAAAAAAATATGATGCATTCAAATCAGCTATATTCCATATAGATATAATTAAGTTATATTTACAACAGAATTTGTTTGAAAATAAAAATTGTATTGGTAATATTTATCATAATTTAATCCGAAAAATGTATTACATATCCAGCAAAGATTGAGAAATGCACAGATCTTTTAAAAAAGAATATATCTTTTGTTTTAAATTCATGATAGATATTACCTACATAATTTTTAACATATTTAGTTTCTTAAATTTGTTGTCTACTATTTGCCACTGGATTATTGGTACAGTTCTTTTGTACATTACTTAATATGTTTTGAACATCAAAAATCAAATTTTATGATTCATTTTCTGGTTTATAAAAGCCTCTGCACCTTTCATAATAAACTTGAGTTGTTCTTTTTTTAATAACCTCTTCAACATTCAATTCTGATTGAAGGAGGCGTAAAGTACTTTGCTCTTTTCTTAAATTTTTTATCAAAGTCGGATCTTCTTTCCCAGAATCTCTTAGTTCTTTCAATTCTTTCACTCTGTCACGAACAGAATATAAACACTTTTTAATGGCAATTTCTCTTTGAGAATGACCAGTTTGTATTTGCTGGAATAAATCTTTACACTTATGTTTTGGATCAATTTGACCCTTGAATGATTCTGTAGGTATTGTAGTGTTAAGTAGATAGATAATTTTGTCATCTATTAGCCTCATTTTTTGCAAAGCATCCTGTAAATTTGAACATATTATAAATCGTACAAATAATTTAATTCTTTTCGATGAGATCATATAATACTCATATTTTTCATTCATAAATAAAAGAATACACAACATAACAAAATACATATCTAGTTATGCATATATATTTTTTTACCGGTTCGCTAAAAGTGAGGTTATAAATTGTTCAAACATTAAAAGTAATGTGAAAATTAGTTTTCTAAAAATAATTAATAGAATATCCCCATAATTAGAAAAATTATTATGCTTCAATTAGTTGCATTAATTTTTTTATGGTGTAGTACCTGAAATTCTAAAAAGTCCCCGCACTCCATAGTCGATGTTGACGCCATTTCTCATAAAAATCTATCCCCGAAATCCGAATCCCGATCTTACATATTAGAAGATCTTAGATCCAAAGTGATAAAACAGAATAGATGACACCGTTTAAATAGATATTTGTTTTAAGCAATCTATTTTTGTGGTAAATGAAATCATTTAAACAAATATAGAAATGTGAATTCATTGTCGATATGAATTTTAAAATAGAATGTGCGAGAGGCGTGAATAATGACATACGTAATTATGAAAAGTTTGTTCATCAGTTTTATATTTATATCGATATGTAATACAATAGTTTCGCGCGTATTTATGACGTAAATGTAATTCTTGTGATAATAAATCAAGATTGTACATAAATATGTTTAATTAATTTATTTCCTGAAAATATTAAAATAGAGTTTTATAATTATATTTTGCTCGCGATAAAAGTTATCTGCTGGCATGAATAATAACTAAAAAGTAAAATGCGTAAGTTGTTTATATTACCACAGCTCACACGATCATCAATAAAGTTATGCTCACTTATAGATAAGAAAAGTGAACCAAAATCATGAGTTTCAATAACTAATATTTTTATGAATTATAAAGATACGTATTATGATCTTTCAAGAATTTCAAATACCCCGCATGGTTACTTGGACGAATTGTACGCCTTCGAACGTAAACAGTTAGGACTTAATTATTTTTACTAATGCTATCATTTATCGCAAATGTACTATAGATAATTTGAAACTGTAACACAATAATGCAAAACACAACTTAGTAATTGTCAATTTCCAAATTGATGCAGTAAAAATTTTATTTGATAGAAATTTTTATTTCACTTACCATTTTTAAGAATTGCTGATATGAAAAATTTTTATTGAACATTTGTAATAATTGTTATTGTTATTGTTATTTCAATTATGAAATCTATTGTGTGTCATAAAATATTTGATTCGATAGCATCGACAATATTTCACAGGTGGATGTGACAAAATATATATAAAATTTGTAAATGTTTATGATTTTTATTAGAAGTAAAAGATTTACAAACAGAAAATTTTATTAATTCGGAGGGGGGTTACAATTAAAATGTGTTTTATATTATTTTGCTGCAGTTTCATAGAACATCGTGACTCTAGTTAGTGGTTTAGATTTTGCCTTAAGCTGTAGATTTAGTATTCAGGTTGGCACTCTGATTCTTTCTGTAGAAGTGTTGAATTAAATGACTTCTTACCTGCAAACGACCGTAAATGCCGCGATCCCTGTCACTCTCACCAAAGAAGCAATATTATATTTATGAATAATTAATAAACCGGTATTCTAAAACTTGAAATTATACATTCTTGGTGGACAAATTAGTTTTTAAAAAAATCGCAATTATAGTTTTCCCAGCACCCGATTTTGATTATTTATTTTGAAGGTGAATAACTAATGTACAAAGTATTTCTTTTACACATTTGTGACACGCAGCTCTCGCACAAATTAGTAGATACAAATTAAATAATCATATTGATAAATGGATGCCCAGTTCACAAAACTGTCTCAGGGTAAGACCCACGGCTATTTAAAAACCATAATCATATATATATATATATATATATATATATATATATATATATATATATATATATATATATATATATATATGTGTGTGTGTGTGTGTGTGTGTGTGTGTGTGTGTGTGTGTGTGTGTGTGTGTGTGTGTGTGTGTGTGTGTGTGTGTGTGTGTGTGTGTGTGTGTGTGTGTATTACAGTTGTGTTCGCCACGCACGCGCACAGCACATATTATAGCTGGTTTGTGCAATCATGTATAGTACATAAATGAACATTCGCAATGGCTACAAGTAAGAAAACGTGTCTTGATTATCACGAGAATCGATGGCCAATCCACTGGCAGTGAACGTCTCTGGACACCAACAGAGTGGGAACGGTATGTCGGATTCCGGGGGAAACGACTTCGTCAAGGCAAGAAAGTTGACCAGCCAGTCAAGCTTGACTTGAAGACTGCAGTGTTCGCTCATCCGTCGTCAGAGACTTGAAGAAGAAAAAACATACGATTGTATTTCTCTCGACCAAAATTTGCTCGAAAAAATTAAGTAACCTGATTACTTATTAGAAGCCATCTGTTATTGTTTTCATACTCCGAACAGCTGTTCCGCGGGAAACGTCATGGTGGCTGCTGACCTGACCAGAAAGTTTAAGTGATAAAAGATCAAAACTATTCATACAGCTTGGTTATGACCTTTTATTGTCGTTATTGAAGTGTAGCCGAGGAAATCGTATTGCTTGCTGAAATTTAACGTGACGTTTGGTGCGTATTAATTTTTATCCTATCAACTCTCCAGCTGATTTTGGATTTGTAAGTTATTTTACAATATCATTCATCGCTGCGATGACTGTTTATCTTAATCAGCTCCTTATGTTGGATCTACTCCCTTTTTTTCTAAGTTAACGTTATTTGCATTACCTTATTTATTTTTACTGGCATAGAAATTCGTAGAAGTCTGTAAGTGAAATTATTTATACATTCAAATAAGACATGTCTAAATGAATTAATAATAGGTAATGAACTCTTTGTTGAGCCGAGTTTTAATGATTTGCGAAAATTAATTGTAAATTTGCATCTTTATGTGCATGAATACTTACACTTATATATACATAAATTAAATTGAAGTACTAATGTTGAACGCGGAACAAAAGTTACTATAGTGATGTAAAATTCTATACGTTATTTCTTTATTTCTTTCATTACATTGTGGTCCCGCATTAAAATATTTTACTTTTGTAGATTGTTATAGCTATATAATATTTTTCGTGAAGTGCGTAACGAAGCAAATATCATAACTTGCTAATCTTTGCTTTCGGCGGCTTTTGGGTCAAGATCTCGGGATTACATTTAAAATGCACCGCATTTCGCTAATGTTTTACTTTAATTCTTAACTTAAGAAATTTCTATTATATAGGTAATTGAGTTAGAGATAAAAATTTTAATTGTTTATAGACTATTATAAATTATAATTTTTAATATTGTTAAAGGGGTGCCCTTAAATATTTCTCCTTTTTTTGTAAAAAATTAGAGACTCATGAAATGATTCGAGAATAAGAGTAAACTTATCATATTTGACAATGTCATTACAATATTCTAATTTTTTTGTTAATAGCTATTACCAGTTTTTAATAACTTTCTCCCTTCAGGATGATTTGTTTAATTGATTTCCATATTCTATATGTAACTTATTTTTTCAATAAATTAAGTACCAGTTCATTAATTCTTGATGAAAATTACTTTGTGAATCCTTATTGACATAACATCTGCATTAAATTATTTTAAACTGATGTATGGCAATATTATAACATTTCAAGCTCGTAATCTTCGCATATGTTGTTAAACAACGTAAATTGAGTAGTAATAATTTCTTTTTCTTATAATTAAATATTATTTTTATAAAATAGTAATTTTTCAATAAAAAATATTAAAACATTTACACTTTTTGAATTTAATGCTGCATATTAAGGTTTAAAATCAAAGCTTACGTCGGAAAATCTTATAAGATGAAATGTCGACAAGTTTCAATAACAACTTATCGTCGGTTAAGCAGTTCAAGGACAGCTTACTGTCTTTGAGGCAAATGTAGAAAAGAAATTACTCATATACGATATTTTCAGTTTTTTACATCAATACCATCATTTTTAATTATAGTTTCAATCAAATTAGATAATATAAGCTTATGACGAGGAATCCTTTTTTAATATATTACATTTTATTGTCATTGTTATTTTTGAAGCCAAAAACTGCAGAAATGAAAATATTAGCTCTATGAGTTGCAGATAAAATTTTTTAGTATAATTTGTTGATGCATCACATTTTTTTACTTTACGCAAAAACTAACAAAATTTTCCACTGAAGTCTGTAAGGGTGTATTTCATGTATTTGTTTATGTTTTACAGATAGGCAGAGGAATATTACCAGAGGTTTGATGCTAATTTAGTAAAGAAAGCTACACTAAGCCGTCACAATGGTTCATGACAACGCTTTGCACGGACAAGTTGCTTTAATTGGAAATAGGTATGTTTCTCTTAATAAACTTTTTTTATTTATATTTAGAAAAATAAGCAATTCCAAATATCTGTATTCTATAAATATCAACTGTTAGTTTTAATAAGCAAAATTTAAATGATGTCAGTTGATTAATATAAATATAAATCACTTATGTAAAAAAATTTAGCTAGGTGTTCAAGCTTCATCGATGAGTTTGTAAGTGTTCCTTTGCCTATATTAAAATATATACGTTATGCTGAACCTTCTTATTCGTGATTTAAATATGTTTTAATTGCACGCAATGCCCACGTGCAGCTTAGTTATCCACTATAAAGGACCGATAAATACTATTTAGTTATAATACTAATTAACGTGCATTGAAATCTAATTTGCCGTTGTTTAGTACCCCATGAGATTAAGTTTATCAAATACGGCAAGTTGTTAATAATTAATATAGTTTTGCAGCAATGTTTTGAATGAAAATAACAACCGATTCCATATAATGAATCAATCTTTGTTAAACTAGGAATATACTTGACTTCGAGGATGCATACAATAGATGCAGGACAATAGTCCAGGCATCATTTTACGTCAAAAGAAAACGCGTTATTACGAGTGTCAAGTGTACATTGTATTTAAAACGTGCCTTTAGTACTGGTAGCTAGTAATGAACACCGACAAAACACATTCAGGTATAGAAAAACGCCCTTACATATAATATAATAAAAACTTACTACCTATTCAAAACAAAAGTATCGTAATTATAAATTTAACAAAAATATTTGATTGTAATAAATTTATGGCATCCTTTGAAAAATACGTCATTGTGAGATTGACGCTAATTTTACTAGAAGCGTAACCGAGTTAACATAACGTGTTATGCTCTTGCACGAACAGTTCGCAAACGTCATTTTATCATCGTTCGCATTGCAATATAGCATATAGCTAACCATTCAGAAGAACGTTCGAGAAACATTGAAAAAATACTTTCACCGAGTATAGTACGATGCAATGTTTCTTCCGCCAATGATTGACTTAGTAAGAGTGCAACATTCTCAATTTATCTTTTATTAGAAAAACAAGTATATATCTTTGATCAATGTGCATAAAATATGAGAAATTACTTAATAACTACCTTAAACTTAAAACTAGATAATCAGTCAATGTAACTAAAATATCTGTCGTGTTTTAATTGAATAAGTATTTTATGTAACGATTTCTAAATTATGAAATATTTGCAATTTTATTTTGTTTTACTTATTACTGATTATTATTATCCATACAATTAATTATTATTAACAATAATTTTTATCTAGTCTGTATGATTTGTACGTTGCTTTAAAATAAATATTTTTATTTACAATGAAGCTTTGTATAAGCTATATTAGTACTATGCTAATACTATACTATCTTTACTAAAAAATATCTAATCTATTGATATAATCATTTTTAGAATAATTAGCATTTAAATAATACAAAAATTATGTTGTTTCCATTATCGAAGAAAATTTGACGTCCCTTTTGAAAAAATGCACCACAAAATATTTTGCCTTAACACTGGTTTGATAAAAGATAGTTCACAACAGATGCTTGTTACGCGTATGATTTAATAGTTACATCACTTTGATATTGCATTTAGAAAATGGAATATCCTGATATAAAAAAAAATTAATGAACAAATATAATCTAGTCAAAAATTCAATTTTATGCTTTATATCATTGATTATAAATAAAAATTATTTGGTACAAAAAATTATATATGCGATACACAAATCCTTCTTCACGTGTATAAAAATAAACATAATTAGAGTATTTGAATAAATCACCTAGCCCATGTTATTTGTAAGAAAGTTGGATCTGCAAAATATTTCGCAATTTTTTCTCGTCCTAAGTGAGGAAAATCAGGTTTCTCCCGTTATTTCTAGAATGAGCTTAAAACAGTAGTAACAGCAGTAACCACTGCAACGACTTTCGCGGCAAAACATTTTTTCAACGCAGCCGCAGTTCCTTTATATATTACAATCAGTATCATGAGTTGTGATGCCATATATTGACACAATTACATGCATTTTGCTCGACGCGTGCAAATCACGCACAGAGCACATCTTTTTTTACACCTCATGAGGATTTATCAAGACCAATGTATCTGCTGCTGCCAACTTTTTTTGGTTTCTGCAAGATGAGTACTTTTTGCAGGTATTATCGTCTGACTTTTACATATAATTCAAGTTGGTAAATAATTACGTAATTGACTTTCGAAACAGAAAAGTTTGGAGTAAATCGCTCACAATAATATTTTACTGTGCATAATTTCAAATAATGGAAAGTTTAATCATCATAAAAATTATATACATCGTAGAAATTCAATTTAGATTTGAAAGTTTTACATCAGTCTTATAATAAGTCGTATGTTCAAGTGAGAAAATTTTTAAGCAATAACATACATTTCTACTTTAGTTTATCAATTATTCAAAGTGAACATTTTCTTTATTTCTGTATCAATTTGTTTTATTGTAGCTTTCGAAAATTATACAAGCGGATTCGAATTTCGGGTAATTCAATATTCTTTTTCTTTTAATTTTTGCTTATATTTTTTGCTGATTTTTTGGTTGTTTATTATTAATTCTACAAGATCATAATTTCATACCGACACCATCAAAATATTTAACAAGGAGTATCTGAAAAAATGCAATTAATTTTCTTATCTAATAAACCGCTTTTATCTTAGAGAAATGAAAGTCTTTTTACCAAAGACTTAATGACCGCAATACCGAGCAGAGGTGACGCTGAGTCCAAAGTCCAATGCTCGAGAAGACTTTTTTTAACTCAGTAAACGAATGTTCTCCTTTCATTTTGTCTGACAAAAAATTAACGATTCTGCGCAACTGGTTTTATCGGCTTTCTACCTTCTTTAATGTTTTGCTTTATTCTACAGTGATGGTGGATACATGATAAGTGATTGCACTTTAGAAAACATAGTATCACTTATAAATTGATGTTTGTTCTGTAATAAAAACAATAAGATTTTTTAATAGCGTTGTATATCTTTAGAGACAGCTGGCATTTTGATTCAATTCGTTCGATTGCTACCCGAAACTTCCAATCTGTAAGTCAGTATTAATTATTTTGTACACTTAGTAAACAAGTTTTCTTGGCACAAGAGAAAAATCTTTTTTTTAGCGAGAGGAATCCTCACATGTTAAAGAGATTCTCTGTAAATAAGATAATTTTTTTAGTTATTGTCGTGGAAAATTATTGAAATGTGTATTGACAATTAAAAAAATTATTGATAATCTTTTATGAAAAAATCGTTGCCATTAATTATACTCATAGTTTAGCAAAACCTTGTAATGTTAATTTACAATAAAATAAAAACTTTCTTCACGCGTACACTGGTAAAAAAGACCGATAAAATTGTTTTCCTACAGAATTGCTTGGATCGAGGAATATTTCACATCTAAGAAAAAATGACATACGTTACACCAGCGCAAAAAGCATAATAATTATGTAAACGCTTTAATCGTAGTACTTTATTAATGGAGACTTTGACTTACGTGGCTAAACCGTGACTGTCAAACAAATTAATATTCAGGTCTTGATTCAATAGGGTACAAAACGTTCACTCGAAATGTCATCGTTGACATCATTAAATTTCATAAACACTAATACAGTGTGACGTGTTTTCAAACAGATGATAATAATTGATGGAAGCAGAGTAAGTTGGTGATAGGTGTGAGTAAATTCAAAAAAGTGCATTTTCTTAGCGCAACAGGATGGAATAATTTTAACGGAAGGGAGTTTACGCTTCGAGTAGTAGGATGGTAGAAAGAGAAATGCTTTTGTTCTTCAAAAAGATTTCCTCTTACTGCAAGATCAGCTGGAAAGGGTAATCCTCTCGCGACAAAAGGATGCTTTTGTGAGTCTAATAGGGAGAGAAGCGTATGCGACCACGGTAAACTATTATAAGATAACGTAACACAAAGAAGGCGTTTAACCGAAGAGACACACGCATGCGAATACACATGTAGACGTATAAAAAGTGCGATGCACGAAACAATAGGCCACGGTATATACTTTGCAGTGAGAGTGTGCGCGCCCCCACCAAAGAAACAACACACGTACACACACTGTAAAACGGCAGCAACGACGAGGTGCCGTCGGTCGGTCGGTCGGTTCGTCGTCATCGCAGTCCATCTCGAACCGCGAAGCCGCGAGTATATGACAATATACACCGTCGTCGAGCGCGTGAATTGTCCTCATTTTTCGTTGTATAATTCATATACATTAGACTCGTGCGTGCATTTGATGTGCATGCGAGAATTGGCAAACTTTTCAACGTATTGTTCCAAGGATCATGTAAGTGTTGGTTTCATTCGGTGCATCAATTGCTTTCCAACTCGTATCATATCTTCCATTACTCATTAAAAAAATCATCTTTCAATTGCTTCCTCTTGTTCGATAGTCTTTGTTGCAATATCTGTTTTCGGCAGGAAAGTTTCATCGAAATGCGTGATGAAATGTGCATATGATAAGTACGCTTTGCTCATTATTCATAGCTAGTTACTACTTATAAATCTGCGATACTAATGAGAATGAAAAAACAATTTCTAGAGAAATAATATTGACTGTGAAGCCTTTGTCTTTGTTGATGATACCCAGTGTGTTTTCAGTCACTTTCGGAAACGGTTTTGCTCACGCTCTATACACTCCTAAGTGAATAATTCATTGTTCATAGCTTATATACTCTTCATTCTTATTTTACTCGATTCGGTCGATTTTCGGATTCAAAACAAAAGTACATTAAACTATGAGCTCAAGACTATGTTACAGAATTTTCTATCGTTCGATATGCGTTTTCACTAAAATTCTTCAAATTTAACAAGGTACAGATCAAATCAACGTATATCTATATTTATTCTTCAAAATAGGATCGGTATTGATCACCCACATTCTGTAGTTTAGTTGCAATTGCAAAATAAATAATGCTATGCTCAAATTTATTAAACCAATTTATTCAATCTACCAAATATTTTCAGTGCTTGGTAAAAAATATAATTTGTTTATGGAACCTCGTAGTGTCAGAGTATACTAAATAAACTCGTACAAAACCTTTTTATTCGAAACACACTTATATTAGAACAAAATTTTGCCACTTTTTCCAAGAAGTACAATTATTTTTGTATTTGAAAGTATCAGAACAAATACATATTCACAAACTGAACAAATAAAATTATTTAAGATATGCATCAGACTTTTAATCTTATCATATTTAGACTATTTATCTACATTCACTGGTATCAGATAAATAAATACGTCGAAAACATACTTTGGAACAAATGTCATGTTATCTGACCATTGATTTCATTTAAGAAAGTTTAAATATCATGTATCAATAAATCTTTTGATTATCTTAGAAGCCAAAGTTGCTTCACTAAGAAAATTGGATTCATCACATCATGTGCATCATTGAACAATAAAATTAAAACTGAAAGGCAAGAAACCGAAAAATGACTTGGTATTTCAGGCAAAAGAATAACATAGAAAAATCATACATAAGTGTTCAGTAAAGGAACGAATAAAAAGCTCTTAAAATAACAAAATCGAATCATCAATTGGACATTTACCGAGTAGCAAGGATTCACGATGAAGCTTGAAGGGAATAGTTCACATGAAGATGATGGCAATGGAATCTTATTGCAATCTAGGAAAAACTCGGCGGTCAGACTGCAGATCGTGCCAGCCAAGCCTAAAACTATTACCCACTTGCCCAAACGGCCACCTGTTGATCTTGCGTTCTCCGACCTCACGTATAAAGTGCGAGAAGGACGAAAGAGCAGTAAGTATATTTTATTCTCGTCTTTCTTGTTTTCATTTCCCTACTGTTTCATTATATTTATATAACATTGCAAATTATGCCTCGTGTACCGTGGTAATATCACGATGATTATCTTTTTATTCAGACTTATTTGTGGTATCTGCAACATTTTGTTATGAATGCTTTATTCTATTATATGTAGATTATAAATTATAATAGTAATAAATTTTAAGAATTTTGATGTGAAAATCATTCAACTTAAATTATTCATTGGGATTTTTAAACAAAAATATAATTTTCAATAAAAGCACAGTAACAAAATATGCATAGAAATGTCTTGATTTCTTTTAAAAGAAAGTGAATCGTAAGTGTATGATTATATCTACGTAAAGTTATTTCGAAAGATAATAAATTCAACAGAGGTTTAATCAATGTAAATATAACTATAGTACTCCAAAGAAGAAAATGTCTTGACACTTATTACAAATTGCAATTAGCAATTAACCATCTTCGTAGGTTATTAAAATAGAACTAAGTTATGCGTAATTATAAAAAAGTAATGAAAGACATAAAAAAAGGTTTCAGTTAAACAAAAATAAATGACGTTTTTTATTCTTATGCGATATAAATCATCTTTTTTGCTGATAAAATAAATTAAACTGTTGCTAACTTTTTATTAAATAAAAAATTTGCCACTTATTTAATGTATAATTTCAAATTTCTTTACGTTCATTCAAAACCTAAAAGGAGGAAGTAAAAACACGAACAGATTTTAATAAATATTAAAAGATTTTCTAAAAATTATTTTTAATATAATATTTTTATTATAAGTATATATTTTGTTAATTTTTAGTAAGTGAATGATTTTTATTTATTACGTACACTATTAATCAGACTAATTTAAAAAATTTATTATTGTTGAAAAATAAGGAATAATTACATTAAAAAAAGGAACAGATGGTTACGTAACATTTACTTTTTTAATAGAAATATATTTAATCGAATCATTATTATTATTATTTTTTGTAAACACGATATATTTGTCTCTATACTGTTAGCTCACATCTTTGTTATTTTCACGTGAATTCAATGCAAAAAGTTTTTTGACTTTTTAGAATAACTTTTACTTTAAGAGAAAACATTGCTTGATGAAATTACGCACCTACGGCGGAAACACTATAATAACACTACACTCTAGTAGATTGAAACAGGTCAGAACATCGTACATGTGCGCGTTTGTACATACTGTTGTTTCTTACAATCCTTTTGAAAGTTCGAATCGCTATAAGACTGCGAATGGTTGCAATAAAATACTTTAGAAATACTAAATCGTTGTATTTGCTCAACACAACTTTTAAGCGATACGGAAAAAACGTTGCCGTATAACAAAATTTTTTTAAATTCTCGTTATAATATTTATTTTTCCAATTAAGATAGAGTTTAATAATAATTGTTTTTATAAATAAGTACGATATTTTGCTGATCTTTAAAAACTAATGAGTATTTCTCCACAGCTGAAAACAAAAGTTATGAATATCATCACTTTTCGTTCCAGTCACAAAGTCAATTCCTAATATAGTTTTAGAAAGCAGAAACTATAATATCACTTGTGGTGCACTATGGTAATGAGTCAAAAAGAGAGAGAGTACAGCTATTTTTGCAACTTTTTTATGCAACAGCATTTGCGTGATAAATGTCTCATTCCAGAAACTTTTCTTCCGCAAATCTCATTTAATCAAACCTATTTAAACAAAATTAAAATCTGAATGCTTTCTATCACAAAAAATATCGTACATTATGAAAACTTTTGAAGGCTTCGAACAAACATTTTTGAAATAAATATATGTAGCCATCCAATTAATAAAATAACTTTACGAATGATATTATAAATGAACTTTAATTTAGATGATTAACTGATATATAAAAAAGTTAATAATTGCCTTTTGAAATCTTAGGATTTTGAAAAGGATTATATAGCTGTTGATTGAAATGAAACCTGATATGATGGTGGTGTTTTAAAACAAATTAAAATTTTTTGGTCATAATTTATATGCGAACAGATTTTACAGTATACGAAAGATAATTTTGGCACATAAACCGTCATTACTTCTGTTAATAACGGCTCATAGTTCGACTCTAGCGACCTCCTGTTATGTTTGTGGAGTTTTTTTTTTTTTGTGGAATGAAAAAAAGTCTTGAACAAAAAACATACAACTTGCAGATTGATACATAAACGTTTACGCAAACGACTGAGAATGTAATCTTCTGACATTCAATGGTGAAATAATTCGATTTCAATGTCCACTAGGAGAATTATAAGATTTTTGCAATTTGCCTGTATGTCTGATAGTTTTTAATGCATGGCAAAAACAGAACGTTTATTTTTTAAATCGACAAGGTACATTATGTGCATATAAGCATATTTGTTAGTTGTGTGTCTTTTCACGTAGGTTGTGTGTGTTTTTTGTGCAACTCGTTATTTTCCGGGTTTTTAGTCTCGCCCAACGACGATTTGATTGTATACTCAGACATGCAGCGATGTCATGTTACGTGATCTCGCGTAGTCTGTCCAATATACCAGAAGAAAAAAATTATAAAAACAGGGATCATTGGTAACGTCTCTTGCTTATAAATTATCGTTATTGACGTGTACATTGCTAAATATTTAACATACATTGCAGACATTGTATGCGATAAATAAAAGTTTGGCATGTATGATGAAGATATTTCCAAATGCTTGATTTTTTCTGCAATAATGCATATGTCCTAAAAAAATTGAAGCACAAATGATGTATCCAAATAAATAAGGACTAGATAAAAACAAAGTTAAATTGTCAAAGTCACTTTAAAAGCAGGTTACAAAAAAAACATACACGATCGTTAACTTACAAATATGTCATATCGTCATTCCTTCTAACCACAAGAAAAGAAACCGAATATGTGTGTTTTTGAAAAAATAATAAGCATGTATCATGGTTTTCATGGCCAAACAAGTGGAGCACGACTTTTAATTCAGATTTAAGCTCACACGAAAAGCAAACAAGTGTACCAACATAAACAATGAAAAAAAACACGATGATATGCTTCTAAATTAGATGTACCAATTATTTTTATACTAATGGACGCACCAAGTAATTTTAACGTCAAAACATAAGTAATGATACTGAACTAATTGGTAATTTATATTACAACATTGCCGATAAAAATATATTATGTTTAAGAATCTAATGCTTTCGTCATTAGCGGAAAAATATCGAGTGAAAAGCAATGAAATTATGAAATTTAGTTAAACCATAATACATAAAAGATCCAACGCTTTCATTACTCGTAGTAACAAACATCTACTTATCATCTCAATTAAAAGATAAATGGATATTTTTACAAATTGAAATATTATTCGTTTAGAAACGCTCGAACAACATTGTTGATGCACGATAAAAAAATCTAAGTAAATGTACATAGTTCTCAAGCATCTTATCTGTGACTATCATATTAAAGAGCAATCTCGGGAAAGAAGTTTAGAACTCATTGACCATTTTGCTTTCGACTCTGAATGTCGATAAGCAATTGAACTAATTGAGATTTTATAAAAATAATAGAACGCCGCGGAAATAAACGTCAATCTACAATAAATGCATTTAACCAAGAGAGAGAAACAGCGAGAATCAATATAATTATGTAACGCTTTGCTAGTTTAGAAAAAACTTATCTTTTGATATAACACGATTTCAATTATTTAGAAAAAGTCAGCGAGCAAAGTTACAAGTCAAGTCACGTAAAATATCAAGCCTCGGAAGATTTTATGATACCCACTGATTTATAAAGCTATCAGTAACATTTCATTTCTAAAATTATTCAACCTGAATACGACGCTGTCATGTTAAATAATGAGACTCGCGGTTACTTTACTATTAATCGCTCTTGCGCAATTATCTTCGGATGCGGTATATATACTCAACTAACTTATACTACATTTAGTTGAAGGCAATTTCTCAACCAAACTTGTCAATAATTTATCAAACGTCTAATTATCGATCGATCGAGTTTCTGCAGATTACCAAACTCTTTATCGCCGAAAAGAAAGAATGTTCCAAAAATGTTAAGCACGTTACCGTAAGTGCTCAGTGATCAATGCTTCACAGTGATTTTAGAAATCTTTACTTAATCGAACAAAGATAAGATTATCGATTCTCCAAGATTTGTGAATAGAATATTCCTGGTTTGTTTTTACTTACAATCCCCAAAGCAAAGTTCAAATGCGGGCGAATTCTATACGAATACTGACTCGTTCCTCGAGCAATGAATCATCAGCTTAATTATCAACAAACTGCATTTTCCTCTCATTGGCTGGCGCATATTGGACTTTGTTCATCCACATAAATAAGCGTGCACAAAACAGCTTGACCGTACTCTTTGTTGCGCGAGGATCGTAATTATCTTCTCTCGATGACCAATATTTTTTTCTCCATCACCAAGATATCGTCTTTTTTTTAATGCAATGTCAAATCGCTTTTTCATTTTAATCTTTTATGTTCTATTTTCCAAGTTGATTTCAGTTATATATTTTTCTTTCGCATAAGTTGAAAACACATAACAGCATGTTGATCTTGATTTTTTTATACGAAGTTGATATCAAAGTTGTAGTGGCTTCAGTCCACTGCAACTTTGATACGGAAAAAGAAATAATTCTATGAATGATGATTAGGAATATAATTATTATATACAGGGGAGCTGTTTACCCTGAAATCGTTTAACATTATTATCTCTTCAATAAAAAGTGTTTCTGTCACCGTGAGTACTTCACAGGGAAAAAAAAGTTGATTCATGTAGTTACTCGAAAAAGAAAAACATACTAATGTAAATGAAATATTTGAAAAGTCATATGAGTAATAATTTAAACTAAATTTTCTTTTACTATTTCAGATGTCAAAACTATTCTCAAATCCGTCAGCGGAAGGTTAAGATCTGGAGAGTTGACGGCAATTATGGGTCCATCTGGAGCTGGCAAATCAACACTGCTCAATATTCTCACAGGATACAAGTAAGTGTTGTGTAAAGCTGCACGAAAAGTAAAAAATTATTTTACCGACGATAGTAAATATTCACATAATGAGATAATATCCACATTGGCTATCTCGACTTGCAGTATGTTATAAAAACGGTGCAGCAGCGATAAATTTGTACGCGGGGATTGATGACTATATCATTCGCAACGCGTCAGAAAGGCTGTTTGATAGTCAGTCCACGCGCATTTTTTGACAATCCTTAGCAAAGGTTGCAGCGTTCTAAGATGGCCAGTGACGCAAATGTAAAAAAAACTGCACTATAAGTAATCGTGACAAACATACAAAATTTATGCAAAACGCCCGAATATCATAATGGAAATTTACATAGATGCCTATATTGTTCTTCTGTCGATGTAATCGGTATGTGATCATTTGTTAAATGGAAATGTTTAACAAATTTTCAAAGGATGATGGAAAAATTGTAATCAGAATCAAATGATTCGGGTAAAAGAGAATTGACTGATTGTTTAACAACATTTACCAGGATCGTGCAATAAGTCCGTGACTTTCAAATGAAAACACTATTTATTTAAATAATTCCAATTTATTCTTCAAAATTCATTTTTCAGTCCTCCTTTCAACTCTATACAATTGTTATAGCGGTGCTCAAGTTTTGTTATGCCCTCTCTAAAGTAATTTTGAGGAAACTTCTCAAAATGCTCATTTGTTGCAGCAATTATCTCTTCATCTGATATTTTACCCGCTAGCCAAGTTTACATGTTAGAAAACAAAAATAATGTGTGAAAAATAAAATTTTTTTTCGCCAGATAGGGCTATCTTTTCTTCAGTATAGCATTAAATCCATCTAATGGAGAGGCATAATATTCTTCTGTGATCGTTATCGCCGTCTGATAATCAATTAATATTACACTAGTTGAGTCCCAAAAATAGAGTCCATGACTTTTCCGACTAATCCTATTGTCTTCGCTTTTTTGGCATAGATTCGCCACGCTCAATACACATTGTCGACTGTATTTTTCGTTTCTGACGTATAATAATAAATCTATGTTTCATCAACAGTAAAGTAATAACGTCGCAAAAACTACTTTGAATTACATTGAAACATGCTCAAACATTGCTCAGACGCTACCACGCAAGCTCGATTGTTATCAACTGTGAGCAAGCGCAGCACCCATCTTGCAGATAGCTTCCTTATACCCAAGCATTCACTTAATAAATACCATGTGCATGCTACTGAAATGTTTAGTGCCTCACTAATATCACACACTTTTAATCGATAATCAGCGAATATAATATCATGGACTTTACAATATCAGGATCGTTTTCTGAGTTGTTACCTCTTTTGAACGGCCAAGAAGCTCAGCATCAGTGATGCTTTTACGGCCGCAACAAAGTTTAGTAAACCATTTTTTAATCATGCCAAGCGATGAAGCAGAGTTTGCGTAATACTTCTTTTTATTCAGTTTCTCTGATTAATTTTTCTTATAGAAAATAACACTTTTTTCTATGCTTTCTTTTATACACTATCGTTACTTAGCTCGCTTCGCGCGTCTTTTTATTTATTTTTTTTTCTGTTTTTTATTACATTATTTATATCATACAATAATACATTTACTTAATACTTAATAGCAGCATCTTCTACAGCCTTAGTGTTATATTAGTATTAGTAACATATTAAAATATCGTTCTTTTATTGTCTCGTTGAAAACATCCGTGAACATTCTTCAAATTTAATATTCTGATAATTGGTTTCCGTTTCCTGCTTACCTCTCACTTTCCAATGTAAAAAAATAAAAATGTAATTTCCTCCTTTTTATTCTATTCATTATTTCTCTCTTCCAATCACATTTATCAAATTTTAAAACGACACTATTAATCTCAGAGTTGCCACTCAAATTATTAATTCGTACTAATTATTCCAGCCTAATTTGAAAATATAACCCCTTATTTTCTGAAAACGGTTTATTAACTGTATATTTCTATTTTTACAAATTATTATCCATATTAATTATTCATAAATTAAATTTACTGTTAAAATATCAATCTCTCACTTCTAGATAGATAATAGAGCTATTTCCAAGTATACGAAAATTAAAAATTTCACGTTCTTTTCTCGCATCAACCAATTACAACGTTGGATGTCAGCGACTCATCAATTTTTTTAAGATAAAAAATCATTGAAAAACTAAATCCAAACAGCTGTAAAAAATTTTCAAACCACCGTATTGATTTGAAATTTTGTCAACCCACTGAAACTTGATAGGACTCTAGACTATCAAAAATATTATGATAACGGCACTATCTTTTGAAAAGTGACGGACTTACCAAATGACCTTCGTATTTACTTTTCCATTCATTTTATTTTTTAATTTCACAACCGAAAGATTAGAAAATATAGCTTCTTTTTCGTATAATCTAATAATCATGGACGTACTAGCTTCATTACGATCATTGACATATATGTTTAAGCAATCTTCCACTTTATATGAAATTCATGAGCTAAATTACTAATATATGCATAAATAAACCTACAAAATCGGTTTGGCAGTGCAATGACTTGAAGTTTAGAATTATTTAACAATGGAGGTCAGATTTCCATTCATCATCGCTTGGTCTGAACACGAAATTCTTAATTTCAAATATCAATCACCTTTATTTCTTACCAAACGATTAATATTAAATTTATCCATAGTATATATTTTACAGTTATCACTGCTCGATATAAAAATAAAAGTAACTTCAAACCTAACGGCGTATTTATTTTAACAGTACATAGTCGTATACTAGACAGAATTTTTCATAATGATTTTTATAAGCGATGTTAGCAAATAGATTAATTACGAAAAAATTGTTTCTGTTTTCAGTTGAATTTTATTGTTTAAAAAAAAAGTCACTTTCGAAAGTCGCACGCGGAAGAAAACTCGTGCGATGAGTGCTGCGCAGACATAATGTCCACGCGGATATCGCGTAATCCACATTTACTTTCCTTCGGAAGTCTCACGTACACAAACGTACATTTACACTTTGGAGAAGTGAGCGATTTCACTTTCTTTGGCCCATTTTTTCGTTTCGTTCCTTTTTCCATAACTACGTTCACGTAATATGACTTTCGTCGAAAATTGAAAATAAGCTTCTATAAAAATTTATAAACGTAAAGTCAATAACGAATACACGGATAAACTATGTCATGTCACGTTTCTCATTCAATGTTGCAAACTGAGTTTTTTTGTCCAGAGACGTCGCGTTTTTATTTCATATTTTAAATCGCTATGGAAATAAGCAATAAGGAAAATTTCTTAATCGACTGGCAATTCAAATGAGCGAATCTTCGTGCACTCGTATTAGTGTATCTTCTCCGATGCTAAAAAAAAGTAAAACGCAACCTGATTAATGGTGTCGCGCCAAACTGTTCTATTTGTGAGCTGTCGATAGCTCCAGATTTCGTCATGTGATTAGCATAAAGCATTGCGATTCCTCGCGTCGGGGTCAATTTCATGTCAAGGCAATTCAACTCCTACGTATATATACACGCGCTCTTCTATCTTTTTTCCGACAGTAAGATTTCCGTCTCTTTCGAGGTCCTCCTTGGCGTTATTGAATCCTTGCGAAAAAAAAAACAAAAAAAAACAAATAAATTAACATTTTTCAACATTGAATTTCCTGTTATCAACTAAGTAGCAGAAAAAACGTTTTCATCGCAAACACGTTCCACTAGCGCAGAGCGTGTATATAGTAATACAAATATTCGTCTATGTGATGTTGCTTTTTATTTATATCAACTAGCTCTCTCTCTTTCTCCCTCTCTCTCTCCTTCTTTTCTTTCTCGACATGGTGCTCGTATCGAGAGAAAGAGATCGCTCTATTTCTTCAAGAACTGCATTGTATTTTAAATAAGTATTCAAATATTTTTCAATGCCGCTAAAGAAGAAGAAAAAAAGGCACGTGTTCGCATCAGCAAACCTGTTTTTTACTGCAATACTCGCTTCGCATTCTGTACAGATGAAACACGAATAAAGTAATTTCTTTCTTATATGTCGACATTGAAATGCTTGGGAAAGGACTGTAGTTTTTTTTTTCTTGAGTTTTCGAGGCAAAGCGAGTTCTGCAATACCATTACGCGCTGTGTAATAACTTATATTTTCAAGTGTGAAGTCAAGCATATTATATATAAATATATGGGTGCGTGCGTGCGTACATGCTCAAACCTTATTAATATAAACATATTACTAAAATCTGAGTGAATTATAAACCAAATATTGCAACAGCCACACTTATCAATATAATTAATGTAATATCGCAAATGAGTAAATTCTTAGACATTAAAGCCTTAAGAACAAGTCTCTATGCACTATTTCATAGCATTGTCACTTATCACATTATTGCCTGGGAAAAAGCTTGTAGTAACACTTTGAACAGTATTCAAAAAATACAAAATAAGAAAAAAGTTAATAAAAATACTATGTGCTAAAACAAATAATTTAACGATCCGTTTTACAATATAAGAATACTTTTTATTAGAAGTGATAGAAGATTTATAACCTACTAATCGAATATACTAGATCGCAAAACAAAACTAGACACGACATAATCATCCCTAGTGTTAATGAAACATAGGTCCAGCAGATTCATCAATGTGTTATCAGTAAAATTGTTAAAAAGATGGTTTCAAATTAATACAGACACCCTCACTGATTTAGACGAAGAGAACATATCATTAAGATATTAAATTTATTTATGTATTTATTATATAAATTCATAGCTATTAATTTATGAAGAATTTCATAACTCGTATTTTTGCTTATTTTTTTTTGTTATGTTCGCCTTGCATATAGTTATCTTGTTTACCTTTACATAATACGTCGTAAATACATTATATTTAAATGCAAAAAATAATAATAATAATTTTTTGAATAAATTTTGTGAATTTATTAAATGTAGCTAATTCTTTACAAGAAAACTATAATATAAAATTACATTTGATTGTAGAACGACTGGCATGGAGGGTAGCATTACTATGAATGGTCATGAAAGGAATTTAAGTGCCTTCAGAAAATTATCTTGCTACATCATGCAGGATAATCAACTTCACGGAAATCTAACCGTTCAGGAAGCTATGAAAGTTGCTGCTAACTTGAAACTGGGTAGGCACGTCAGCATCGTCGAAAAAGATATGTTGGTAAGGACAAGAATATCACCACAATCATGAAGCTCAATGTTTTTCACTTGAATTCTTATAATCGCGTAACCTTTCTACACACGGGTGTAAACCAACTTAAAATAAAAAAGATCCAGACTCGTTACGCACAGCTAATCTCAGAAAAATTGAACAGTGCAGTTCTTTAATTTATGCCGGTGACAATTTGTTCGTTATCCTCGTGCCAATAATAAAAATTATATGTGTGTATGTGTATATCTTACTTTTCTGTGTGTTTAATACAGATTGAAGAAATTTTCGAGACTCTCGGGCTTGCTGAACATCGGAAAACCATGACCTCAAATTTGAGCGGTGGCCAAAAGAAACGACTTTCTATTGCTCTCGAACTTGTCAACAATCCGCCCATCATGTTCTTTGACGAACCAACGAGGTAAGCACTAAATATTTAGGTAGATGGAGTTATTTCAACGTTTTGTACAGCTTTAAAAGATAGAAATCTTCCACAGAAAGTATATTCGGATAGGCGCGTCCTTGCAAAAAAAACATAATACGAACGGATAAAATTTTATTATCTACTAGCATCTCAAGCGATCGACTACATAAACCATACGAAAAACAAATTTTACACACAAGGAACTCTTCTCAAAGCTCATTTTTACGAAGGTCAGGCAAAGAACATTCGATTACATACGACGCATTGTCTTTAGTTTTTCTTCAAAATCGCATCGAAAAAATGTTAATGCGATTTTTCCTGTCGTGCACTGAAAAACCTCAAACATGAATGATGAAGCGCACATTATTAAAAAAATTCAAATAGCACCTGCTGTATCTATTAATACGTTAGAAAAAAATATATAATGAGCGGTTTTATTAAATTAAAATTCTTTTTTACTCCGTTATATTGACTCATATTACACCCTAACAAAATATTATTGATATTATATGCTTCATGTAGAAATTAGTATAATTTACGTACGTACAAACAAAATCCGAAATATGCATAGACCATTTTTAAATTTGAGTTTAACCGGTTTATCATGTTATGAGAAATAACGTCAGTAAGGATTAAGAATGCCATAGGTATATTGCTTGAATTTTTCTTTCGATGTTAACTTAAAAGTCTTAAAAAACGAGAATAATATTAATTTGTCAGAAAAGAGCAGAGAAATTTTATTCTAACTGCCATCATTTTGTTTTATTCTCTTCAAAGAGAAAAAATATTTAAAAATTTAACTCAAATATGGTTGTAGAATTTGTTGGAGAAATGTAAAGTATAGTAAATGGTGTATACATGTTTTTTTACTTTATTTTAATGTAACGTAATAAAAGTAGTCAACAAAAAAAGAAGCAATCTTACTGGACAGAGTGAGGATCCAAACCGGCTTTCGTACGTCATAGCCGCGTCATTTTTCGTTTTTTATGTCTTCGTACATACTTGATATTAAAACAGATTAATTCCTGCGACACACAGAGTCTCCTCGTAAAAATCACTCGTATGCATCGCTAATTCTCATGGCATTACGACTCGTAGCAAAAATATTCTCACAAAATATCAATTACAAAAAAGTAGATTATACGTGCATCTTATGTGTTTTATTATGAGTAACGAGTTTACAATTGTGTATTACAAAGTAAGACAGTAACCTTGTTCTTATAAGGTCAATTTTTTCTAATTCATTTCCAGTGGTTTGGATTCGTCGTCGTGCTTCCAGTGTATTTCATTACTGAAGAATTTGGCCCGTGGTGGTCGTACTATTATTTGTACAATTCATCAACCAAGTGCTCGGCTTTTTGAAATGTTCGATGCACTGTACACTCTAGCCGAAGGCCAGTGTGTTTATCAAGGATCAACCTCTCAACTCGTGCCTTTTCTCAGCTCGCTCGGCCTTAACTGCCCTAGCTATCACAATCCTGCCTCTTTCAGTAAGTTTATATAAGCCATTCACTATTTCTTCCGACGCTTATTATTATACGTCTTGATTTACTAATTATAACTATGAGCACTTATGTCAGTATCTAAAATATGACTTAAATTTCAACTAAGCACTAATGAAACTTTATTTCAACTTTGTAGTAATTGAGGTGTCGTGTGGTGAATACGGAGATAACATCAATACCCTCGTGAACGCAATCAGAAACGGCAAGCATGATATACGCGAGGGCTACCCATTCCCAGAGAAAGAATTACTGAACAATTCAAGCAATAAAGATTCCGAAATGCCTTCAGCTGATGTTGTTAATCCCAAAGACAAAAACGATGCTAACAGCATTGAAGACAAGTTTAGTGACAGCAAGCTCGACGAGAAACTCAATGGTGGCATCAATCTCAATTATAGCTTCAGGAACGATATTATCAAGAACAGTAAGTCATTCTATAATACTTGAATGATGATTTTCGGATTAAATAATATCAAATTCGATTTGGTTTTTTTAGGCGAAGTTGCTATTGTCGTCGATAAGGACAAAAAAGACAATGTCACAACTTCTTTGCTCGACGAAACCTTGATAACGACTCCCGAGAGATATCCTACGTCCGAGATCGTTCAGTTCTGGATTGTGCTCAAGCGAACGCTACTTTTTAGTAGACGAGATTGGGTGAATATCTATAGAAATAAAATCATTGTCAATTTTATATTCTATCAGTTAATAGAAATTGATTACTTTTCTTTCAGACACTCATGTATCTACGTCTTTTCGCTCATATCTTAGTCGGATTTCTAATTGGAGCTTTATACTATGATATTGGTGACGATGGTTCTAAAGTACTTAGTAATCTTGGATTCTTGTTCTTCAACATGTTGTTCCTAATGTACACTTCTATGACTATTACTATTTTATCATGTGAGTTTTATATTTGTTATACTTTTATATTTGATACTTTTTATGTTCTTACTTTGAACTAGAACATTAACGTTCGCATATCTTATTTCAGTCCCTCTGGAAATGCCAGTTTTATTAAAAGAAAATTTTAATAGATGGTATTCCCTGAAATCCTACTATTTGGCGATTACAGTGTCTGATATACCGTTTCAGGTAAATTCTTATGCACCTATAATATTTTACGTGAATGTAGATGACTCATAGCAACTTCTAACTTTCTTAAAATTTCCAATTTTCAGGCAATCTTTTGTATTATTTACGTGACAATTGTCTATTTCTTGACAAGTCAACCACCTGAGCTCTTTCGGTTCAGTATGTTCTTAGGAACATGCCTTTTGATATCTTTTGTAGCTCAATCCGTAGGTTTAGTGGTCGGGGCAGCTATGAACGTCCAAAATGGCGTTTTCTTAGCTCCCGTGATGTCAGTGCCTTTCTTGCTATTCTCCGGCTTCTTTGTCAGCTTTGATGCCATACCAGTATACCTAAGATGGATCACTTACCTCAGTTATATTCGCTATGGCTTCGAGGGAACTGCTCTAGCTACTTACTCCTTTGGCCGCAAAAAGCTCAAGTGTTTTGCAGTGAGTATAAGATTTCTTGAAAAGAAATTAAACTATGAGTTTGAAACATTAGAGCATCAAATAAGACATTGAACTTTTTTCGATTCTAGGAATATTGCCACTTCAAAAAACCACTAGAAACTCTTGAGGAGCTTGATATGAAGGATGCTGACTTTACACTTGACGTTCTCGCTCTTTTACTGATCTTTCTCGTACTCCGAATTGCTGCTTACTTATTTCTTCGCTGGAAGCTCAAGTCATCGCGATAAATTATAAATTAATAATATTTTCTAACAATATAATATTATTATCGTGTTTTTTATTTAAAATTTCGCGCTACTCACAGCATTTTAACTGAATTTGATACGTACTTTTATCAAATATGTAGCATTAATATGCGCTTTTTTCTTCATTTTTAATAGAAAAAAAAATTTTTTAATACAATGACAAGACGAAAATATTTCATAATTTTAACGATATTGCAATGCGAACATTAGTTTTATAGTTTACGGTTTTGTTACTCTCTACATAACGCTGTAAAAACATGATCATAGAAGAAATGTAGTTTAATATACTCGAAAAATTGTGAGCAACTTCAATCGTGTAAATTATTTATATATCTGCTTTTACACGTAATGTTTAGTCCTTAACTATTATTCAGGGTAAATTTATTCTTCTTTTTACTCTATATATATTATTTTATACAATTAACAATATTTCTTTAATAGAATATTGACTAAATGACGGAGAAGATAAAAAAATAATGTTTTTTATAACCATTCTTTTAATTTTTGGTTTGCTTCTAGAAATATTAAAATAATTTTTCGAAATTGTATACACATTCCAAAATAGGCACATATATTTTCGCTTCCGATAAATGAAATCAAGCGTAATTTTATATCCTTAAATGGCTGTGAGTACGTGAAATTAAGATGGAACAAATTAAAAGTTGTATAATTATGATGTGATTATTGTAAAGCAACATTGGTTATAGCACGAAACTTTTGTCAGGATTAATTGTAAAAAAAGTGGAAACATATATTAACAATGTTATTGTGCAAGAGAAAAACATTTATCTACAAACAGAACTATCGTTTTATGTATTTTGGTAAATGAGAAATAGGCGTTTATCAATGATATTATATAGTTAATTTATAAAGGAAAAAGTTATATTAAATTAATGTAGAAAAAAAATAAAATAATATTCCTTATGTTAAAACTTAAATAGCAAGTTCGGAAATTGAACAAATGTAATATAAATTTTGTTGACTATGCGGAGGCCTTCACCCTTTTATCAATACTAGTGTAAGATCATTCTTGATCAAATCGAAAATTGCAGGACATTTGTAATAGATTTTTAACAATATTTGTTATACGAATAAAGTACGATTTTCATAAATGTAAAATATTATTTCAGGTCACGTCCGTAGAAGTTTTTCAAGTATTTATCTGATCCAATAATGACAACGAAAATCATCAATAAAAAAATATTTGAGAAATAAATACCATTAAACATCTTAACAATGACTATAAAATTTAAGCAATAACTTTATAAAATATGAATATGAATTACCTTACTTTCAATTCAAGATTAAATTTCAATAACACGTTTTAAAAATTCGTCAAAAATCTTTTACTAACTTTAGAAAATTTGTTGCTGAACGTTGTAGTAAGCATGTAATAACGTTACGCGTTTCGTTGTTTTTGTTTTATAATTTGATTGAAAATTGTAAGAGCTTGTGTTTAGTACTATTAGCATAATTTTGTAGTTCGAAAGAAAATTTGAGGCACGCTAAAAGTGCTACATATTTTACAAAACTAAATGGCTGATTGATCCTTTTACATTATAAAATACTATAACGAATATACTTAAATAACGTGTATAAAAGAATGTATAAAAATATATAACACATTTTTAAATATGATACATGTAAAACACTTGTATTTAAGTACCAAACAGATATTCAAAAAGACTGAAATGAAATTACATTAATCAAAAACTTACTTTAGATAAATATAATTTTAAAGCTTTCTTAAAAATGTTAAAACTTTCTTAAAAAACTAGTAAGTATATCTTAAAATTCTCTCGGGAAAATATTCAAAGATCTCTTCAATCTCTGGAGACAAAAGAATGGTAAGTTATATTTGTCCTGCTCAATTCAACTTGCAGCTATCTAGGCTTCTCTGGATTGTAGTCCATATAGTTCTACTAGAAAAACGCACTATTTTTAAATAATTAAAACTTATACTATTTTAAAATTGGTAGGCAATGAAATCTTGGTGAAATATACAGAAAATTTGCGGATGCCTAGTAAAAAAATACTATGAACTATTTGTAGTAAATCAATATTGCTGCGATGGAACAAAAAAAGTGCACGCATTTCTATTTACTAAACGAAAATTTGATTATTCAACTATTTGGGAATGGAAATGTCAACTTATCGGAATATTCTAAGAAGCAAAGAACGTAATATTATATTATTTTATGGTGAACGAAAGTTTTAATAATATGATGAAATTCTTATCAAAATGATCTAATCAATATAAATGTAGTAAATATAGGTTAACGACCGCTAGTTGATTGAAGTAAACTGGTAGATGCTATAAGAAAAATGAAAATTTACAATGTACATCTTTGATTAAAAAAAATTGCTTTAAAATTAAAAAAATTGTATGAGATGTAGATTATTCAAAATAAATATTCAACAGACCATTAATAAAAACTAAAAAAAAGCTATATCCATCTATATGCTCATCATCCGTATAAAAAATCAAAGTATAATTCGTAACACAGATGAAAATCCTGTCGAAGTGCTCAAGTAATTTTTTAATCTTGTGTTTGCAGCGTAATCCACAATAGCAGCATTTTAGTTTTGATTAAAAAAAATTATTTGTATGCAACAATTCAAATTCAACTTGTACTTTATGATTCGTATAAAATTTAAAGAATTATCATGACAAACAAAGTCCGATCTTAAATCGATATTTTTGAATTTTCTTCGTCACATCTAGATTCAAAGAATTCAGTTTTTTCAGTATCGCGCACAAGTCTGCGCACCCTAATTGCATTTCATTTTTTTATATTTTATCGCGCCACGAAATACATAACTTCCGCGTAGACATTCGACAGGCACACATAACGACTTTTAAATGCAACATGTTCCTGCATTTTAATAATATTTCACAAATGTCATATGAAAGGCAATAAAACTGCTAATTAAAAAAATATCTATTTTATCGGTTTTTTGACTGACAGAGTCGGACGTATGTACGATTTAACCAGACAAAATATTTGTACGTTTATTTTTATATTTCATTATTGGTTTGTATTATAAACTTATTTTCCCTACTAGTCAATAGTCGATATTTATATAGGTTACGTACAAAATAATTTTTTTTACAATGAAATAAGTTTAATAGTAAATATCCGCCAAAAAACGAAATGTCTAATATAAAATTTAAATAAGTATACTGATAACCCCATGAAAACGATTCAAACATCTTGAAGAGAACAAGTTTCTCTTTTGTGCTTGATCGACGAATACGAGAATAATGATGACATTGAACTGAACTGAAACTATAATTAACTGAAAGTTCAGTTTCGATAATAATTGAATTAACTTATTGAATAATTTATTAGCTGATTAAAGAAACAAGCATTGCTTTAGCAGAGGGTAAATGCATTACAAAATTAGCTGGACAAGATATCATCTTGTAAAAAATCGCGAAAAGGAATTTTCATTTAAATATTATTTTATATGAATTTTATACTTTTTGTAATAAAAAAACAAGGAACCATTTTTGAAGTCAATTTTTTAATCTGTGACACATCATTTGCATACTGTATAATACATTGCATACGGCAAGAGCTACATTGAAAAATTTAGATAAAATGTTGATGATCTATGAAGTTCTATCGATCATTGAAAGGTAGTGAATCCATTGACAATACTTTCAATTTTTATTTTATGTAAGTGAATCTATTCTGCATTATTGGTGAAATGGAAAATTTTATTTAACTAGCAATTAAACTTGACGAAACTAAAGCAATACAACTTTATATTGGTGTATATTTTGTAATTTCCAATATAAATTGTTCAAAACAAGACTAGTAGTTTCAACGTAATCAATTTCTCACAAACAATACAAAATTGCGATCGATCATTGATTAGCGGTACAAATGGATTTTATTATAATTATAATTCATTCATGAATTGTAAATAATAAACTTTTTATAACGATTTCCAGCATCATCATCAATGATAGACTGTATTCAAATATTCTGAATAATCCTTCTATATCATTTTTATTTTCTCCATAGTCTACTTCTCTATGACGACACCGTAATCTATCTGAGAGTTTGAGATCATCCAAGTTTCGTAATCAAGCCGTCAGATTTTTTGATAACTCACAGACAACCAAAAAAATTATGAAAACTACTACACCAAAAAACTGTCATAGTCAGCGCGTCCGAATAAATCAATCAATATTTATTGCAGATAAAAATCATACAACACAGACCTATGACGCTAGTTAAAAAAGTTGGAATTTTCTATCCTTACGAATAGCTCAGTTCTAAAACTAAGCAAAAGTCCCGGAGAACAGTGCAACAAACAAAAAGGAAAAGCGTGGCTGCGGAGGGCGCATGAGGAATCAAGCAAAGAGTGCGTGCCTGGTGCGCGGTCACGAGCGAAAGACGAGTACGAGCAACAAAAAGAGGGAGCGCTCGTTTGCTATTCCAAGACCGCGCGAGTAGCCAGTGCTGCTGCTGCTACGTCGCGAGCCAGCCGCTTAGTTGGTTGAGCGCAGTTACTCCGTGCCCTGCTCACTTAGCCGTCACTGTTCGCTGCGCGGCTGACAACGCGAGTCAGCGAGTCCTACGACCTCGCACTCGTTATGCCGCTTCTCTGACCAGCCAACCTAACGCACGACCATTCCCTATCATGTAAGTTTCTCAAGACCTTCCAATTTCGCACGTTTGCTTTTTGTCCATGCGCCACTCGAGAGCTTGCGAAAGCTCGATACCGCGAGACGAAATAAAACTAAGTTCCGACTGTTCCCAATAAAGCCAATTTAATCAACTGCTCGAATGCTCTCTCTGCCTCGGCAGTGATGTTACGCTCCTCGTGCCGCCTACTAGCGATAGATAAACTGATATTGAAAAATCGTTTGTACCATCCGATTGAATCATCGACCAGACGTAATTAAACTTTGCCTTCGAGCAATAACAACGCAATTCCATTACTCCCAACACTAATCCGAAAGTTGACGCATTTTGTTAGGCTTCCGCATATGCATATGTTTTCCTATAATTTATTGTAACGAGATCGGCACAAATAAGCTCAGTGCGCATAATGTCAATCGATTTGAAAAATAATCTTCGTTGGTACGCGCGATAACGATCAGCTTATCCGATGCCACGAGATTCTCGCGGAAGAGGAGAAGAAAGAAAAAGAACAATACAGAGCATAGACCGTTGGCATAACGAGGAGGCGTTGCACAGTACATTCGGATTCCATCATAAAATGTACTCCCTTGTTTCCCTCCTCGCGATAAGTGGTCTCTCTCTCTCTCTCTCTTTCTATTTCCTGCCACTTGGCCAGTTGTAGATGTATACGTGTCCGTGTATACCATCTCGATGTATATACGACAATGTGTCGAAGCATTTTTCATGCTTTCGCCGCGTCGTTGTCACACGCGCTACATTAATTCAATGAGAAACGCTAAATCGAACATCGGTATAGGTATACTTGAGTCCATTCTGCCATATTGGCTTATCTGCATGTCATCCATGGTGTATATTTTTTCAACTGGTTGCTATTTTTTATTTTTCTCTGACGGGCAGGGAAATTACATTTGTTCTTATCTCCGTGCCAATAGTGACTTTAGCTATGCTAATGCTATAAATTAAACGATGATTATGACGGTATCAAACTGTGATAAGTAATATGCACGGTTATTGCATATTTAGATGTAGATTAACGAGATGAAACAAAAAAATGTTGCTTGAATGTCAATACTGAAAAATGATTAACTTATAAATCGTTAGTAACGATTCAAAGTAACAAGAAAAGCTGTACGCTTGAAAATTATAAAAGTTACGATGCATGTAAAATTACCTGAAATTGCTAGTAACAGAATAGTTGCATGTTCTTTGTCCATCGAAATGGGATTGGAAACCATAGCGCACGATTGAAACATCGGAACTGACTTTATTACAATGAAAACGACAGTTCTGTTAATGACCCGATATTATAAAGTCACTTATGCGTTTTACGTTATTGGGTTACTTCACGTGTTTTAATCGAATTCATTTGGCGAATCCGAATAACAGGATGTAAATTTATAAGTTGACGTTTCAATCGGATTGATTCGCTAGTAATGCAAATCAAATTCAAATTTCTTTGAGAATTTAATGTATATAAATTTCAAAATTTCTAGAAGACTTTGATACTGTATTGTAGTCTTACCTCAAAATTGATACGTCGTATAGATACGTAATAGAAAACGAAGAGGCTAATGCTTATTTTAAAATGGAATTTAATTAAAACAGCTAATAATTTTCAGACGGTTTCTCAGAAACCTTACTTTGTCAAACTGTATATTACATTAAGTGTTCAAGAGTCGTTAACTACAAGCAATTTAAGAAGCCTTAGGTAAATACACATGATTTATTCAACAAGTACGAGTATGTGAAAAGCTCAATTGATTGCCTGATTACCATGATAAACTACTTGAACACTAATTTTCGTGCGTGTTTTTAATAACGCATGATTCGCAGAACTATCATGATTTTCAATGATCGACTCCTCGGATATAAGACTATTCAAAAAGATGTTTGCTTTAGAAAAATCCGCTTTTGGCATATTTTCGCTGATCAACCTGAAAAGACTAGTCGGGTATATGCGTCCTAAATCATTTTAGAAATCATATCTCTTATTTCTGTTCAACATTTATTCATTCATGACGTAATATCATTTTCTGATCGAAAACGTGAAAATTTCTGCAAAAAATCTAAAAAATTACAAATTCAATCGCATTACTTGTTGGAAATACGTGATAAAACAGTGCGCGTTCCATCGTAGATTTACGTATTAAAAAATAATTTGTTGCGTACAACCAAAATAATGTAATGATTCGTTAACTCAAGGATATGCGCGTAATCACGAAGCTTGTATGTTCACAGAAATAATGCAATCGTACTAAAGTTTCGCTATTTTTTTTCGGGCAACGATTTTACATTATTCGTTCGTCTCGTACACAAAACTTGGAATCGAATAGTTTTTCTAAGAAGCACACATTATACTTTGTTTGGTAGACTGTCCCAAGTAAATATGTTGACGCTTCCCTTTCTCCACGTCAGTTGACAGCTTTTGCAATGTGCTATCAACTTGCGTTATCAAAATAAATGTCAACAGCCATCTGCTTGAGTAATATTATTTGCCAATTAGTGGATTTTTTATCTACTGGCCTAATCGTCAAAGACACACACTGAACTTTGGACAAGTTATTGACTTTTTTCCACGCATCATAAAATAAAAGTTATCAACAAACTGACGAATCTGTTTGTGCGCGGGAAAAAGTTCCACGCATGCTCGCAAATCAAATGCACTTGATACATTATTTAATACTTTGGTTAATTATACGCGATTAACGTTAGTGTATACGCTATAGTATATACCAAACGTAGAGACTAACCAACACATCAATTTTAGCACTGATTGCACATGTGCCAGTGACCTATTTGAATGATTATTTTGCTACTTCTTTATCATTTGCGGACAGTTGAATGTAGTGAAGCTTTGTATTAAATTCGCGGCATAGTAAATGATGCAGTATTAGTCAATTTACTTAGCCGTGAACTTGCGACGAACCAACGGTTCTCTTACTCGAATCGATTCCTTCACAATATCGGCGATGATTAACGTCATGATTACGCTGATAAATTTCAACGAACAGGACGTCGCATGAAATTTGAGCAGCTTAAAAAATGGAAAGAACGAAAGAAAAGAAAGGAAGCAGTTTGGATGTGCGAATATTGATATTGACGAAAGATATCGACGTGTGTCAGTGACCTGCGAGAGCGAGAAAAGAGCGGGGGGTGAACAACCGCCTTGAATTAGTGAATAATTAAAAACTTGGCTCTGACGTTTAAGATTTGTCGTAATTTTTATCCTTCCTCAGCACTCGAGAGAACAAGAGATGTGCGACGACCTCGCTGCCTGATGTGAGTGTGCATTTAATCCAACTAATCCAACGAATCAACAGCTATGGAGAACGCAATAGTGACAAGAAAGGAGCCGGCAAACGGTCAAGCCGTCCTAATGCCGCATATAATCAAATTGCCAGCTGTCAATATCGAGTTCAACGATCTCACATATACCGTGCCCACGGGCAGAAAGGGTAAGTTTCATACTTGTTCACAGCTGCATGGTAATTGGTAATTTTCATTAGCATTCTCTTTCCCCTCTTTCGATGATGCGTTTCGGATTGGCGCTATTAAGTAAACGTGCTAAAATTTTTGCTTTTGAAGTCCAATGACTTCATTCTGTTCCGACTTTTTTTCAGGTATATACGCTACACGTAGCTTATCTCGCGTCAATAACGCATTTATTCCATTCTGCGTTGGTCCAATTTCCAAATATCGCTCTTAGTATATTTTACGGGCATACTATTACTTTCTCGATGTTATACTATAATATGTGGCTAACTCAAGAGTAATTGAACTCATCACCACGGCATTTGCGGCAAGAATCACGCATTTTTTTTTCAAGCTTGTAATTCTTTATAGAATCCCAAAACTGTTGGATGAAGAACGTGTACTCAATTTAAACATTCTAGCGAAACTGTAGCGAATTAATACCGTTTTTATACAATATATCAGGATATATATAATATATATTAGTGTTATTAGTCTGTGTGCTAAAATAAATAAACATTCTTGTTCTAATCTAATATAATTGTTAAAACTTGCTTAACCGTTGATAAGATTATAAAACAATATTACAGTGTTATCTTAATAGTATATTCATGTATCCGCGAATAATTTTGTGCGATTGTTAGCAGATTGAATATTCGGATTGAAAAGATTACTACCCGTTCAGTTCGCTAGCCCGACCTATTTTCAATATCAAAGCTTATTGAAAAATCATTTTACAGCTCATGGTTGGAAATTAATATCGAATTATACGTTAAAAATATTCCTAATGTATTATTTGGATTGCAAGGTCTTGTGAATAAGCAGTACACACTGTAAAACATCTGCTAAAGTTTGAGTAATCGTTCTTGTCTCATCATCAGATCCAAGTAAGGTCATTCGTTTTATAATTTTTTTTAATGTGATTTTAAAAATTCCTAAACAAGTGACCATCCAGATAAAATCATTTGTAGGCATTCGTTTCAAGAATAAAATCTAGTAATTTATTCGTACATCTGATTCGCGCTTTCACTCTCAATTCAATTTCATTATTTACTACTCTAGTGGAGTCAAGGACTCTAGCGAATACATATTGTGACGGAACATAACTGATTATTATAATTATAGATTACGAAATAAAAAATTAAAAAATCTTTAAATAAAAAAAAATCGTACCGATCCGTAAAAACCAATAGCTGCATGCAAAGAAAAAATAATAAAGAAAAATAATATAAGAAAGAAAAAAATTCTATTCAAAAGTGTTAATATTAAATTTATAATTAAAACCCTTTATAGCGAACCTGAAATACCGGATCTTACTTTTCTTTTTTGCGCTTCTTCAATTAAAAAGCTCACTTGTCCAAGATTCTCATACCTCAAACTGGTTTATTAAAAAGCACTTGCAACTATAATCCATTCATATCACCATCGACAAATTTTTGCATAGGCAATTTGCAAAAAATAAGCTTTCTTGTCATTGTTTTACCCTTGATCTACTATCATCTATCGATTGCTTTTCACAAGTATTTGCTAAACGATCCATTTTTTTAACTGTTAAATCGTCTGCACAGCAGTTCACGAATATATTAGCTTTATCAGTTTTCCTCTTTGTCACTTCTTTCTTTCGAATGCATTCGACGGCTGAATCATTATCTCTCAATGGAAAATTATGAAAATTGTTAGCCGCGGAGCTTGGTTACATCTTTTGTGCAACTATGCAAACTCTTTCATTGTAAAATTCACTTGTAAAGATAGAAGACTTTCGAGATATTATGAAGTCTATTTTTCTACTGATACTGCTGTCGATTAATTGTGTACATATTAATCGTGGTTGTTTAGTTAATAAATTCGTCGAGTTGTGACTTGGATTGACTGTTTCGAATCTCATTTTCGAAGACTTGTCATACACAGTTTGATATTTCCATTTCAAAAGATTAATTAATACGACGTATGGAATGACAAACCTTGCTTGTAATCTGCTACTATACCTATATATTCTTTTTAGATCAACAAGCAACATCAAAGTATCAAAAAGTTATGTTCACCTAATATGTAAATACAACTAAGGTTCCGCATAAATTTGCTAAAATGTTACAATAACGTCCATTCATTATGTAAAAAGTAGTGAAAGTACGTAAGCAAATTGGACTCAATTTATAATTAAAAAAATAATAATATTTTATCACATTTTAAAATGAACCCACTGGAAAACTTATTTCAGTTATATATAACTGCTAGTTAATAAAGAATAAAAACATCTACATTTACATTAAAATGCAAGATGCTATCACTAAACGTGAGCCATTTTTTGAGAAAATGGAAAAGTTGCTATTACATCCACATCATAAGTTGTTTTAAGCTTACTTTTAAATGAATAAACATTCGAACAAGGAACATTATTATGTCTACAAGGATTAGTACTCATATAAGATAAGCTCAACTTTACATAGTATTATCGTTTAATGAATTTTTTCTCGCAAACACGACTCTATCTACAAGCATCTTCCATCGGAAAATTATAAAAAAAGTACAGCAAAGTATTAATATATAGATTTCTTACACGGTATTATAATTTTACAGAAACAACGTATTCGTAAGCATACTAATCCAAGAATTGTGCGGTATAGATGTTTCAACGTGAAAAGACTTTTTGCATTGTTGGTTTCACTCTGACTACTTAATCGTTCACTTTATTCCTTTCTAGAAATGCTGCTGCCAAAAAATAACACTAACAGTAACCCATTATATCTAGAAAGTTTGAGACAACAGAAATTTACCAATTTACAATGTGCTTTTGTTCGTTTAATCTGAAAATGGTTCAATGTAAACGAATAATAGATTTTACGAAAATTGAAGGCATTATCGATAAAAATTATGTTTTGAGAAAACAGGCTGTTTATAAGTCATAAACAAATAATATCGGTGTACTAAAAAAACTATAAAATTTCTTACAGTGCTATTCATCTCAGATCTAAGCAAGAAAATAACAATCACCAAAAAGTATTAATCAGAAGCTATATAACTTTGTGAAACTAATTCGGAAAGCCGCGTGTCACTTGCGAATAAAAATATTAAAGAAATTCCGTCATTGATGCACGTAATATTCTCACGCATTTGCAAAAACTGAAAAAAAGTAAAAAAAAAACTAGACTCAATTTCAAGTGCAATGCTGCGTAAGAAGTTAACCTTGATCGGTATAAGTTCACAGCTACACGGTGCTAGACGAAACAAATGTAGCTCCGTCTTATAAGTTAGATACTTAGATTCTTGACGCTCGTTGTGCTTTTTTTCAATTGATTACGACTACGCGATAATAACGGTTTATACATTGATTGAATTTGATTAATCGTGAATTAATATGATAATAGTAATGGATTATGTTTTCAGGATAGTAGCAAATATATGTTCTTGCATATTGTAAGTCTAATGGAATAAAACTAATGTAATTTATTACAATTTTTTATCAATTTAAATGAAATACTGCTGTATTTTATTTCTTAGTTTCAATTGCATAATTCTTTACTATACGGTGTTTACATTTTTTCAAGGCATATATTTAGACCATTGATTAGACTAACAGAATACAACTAAATGTGGCTCGAAATTACTCGTACGTGTACGGAAAATATAATTTACTTATGGAGTAAATGAAGCGTCCTACTTTATAAAGTACAGCATTCAGTAGAATACTACTAAGCATTACACATAAAAAAATGAAAAACAAGGGAATTACGAGACATCAAAAATTGTATTAGGTATAAATTGTATTATCTATTAATCGCGTCTTTGAACTTGAAAAACAATGCTAAGAACGTGATATTTCTTTAATGCAGCTGTTAAGGAAAACTATAAACTTTTTTCTAGATTATTATTTTTAAAAATACCCTTACACCAATATAGTAAATTTTCATGTAAGATACGGATACACAATAATTGTGGCAATTTAAAGATTTTCATGTCTGTGAGAAGCGACCAAATAACACTGTATTTCATATGCGTGTGCAGCACTCAAGAATAAAATCTGAAACAAAGGTTGTGGACTTTCCCCGAGGGATCTTGATGACACGCACATTTCCTTTTGTTTTTATTTTTATTAGATCATACGTTGATTGTAGCTGTAACAGATTGATAACAAGTTTTTTTTGTTTCAAATTTAATAAAACGACAAATATTGAATTTGTTTTGACGTAATTTATTATTCAGTATCTTCAATGTTGACTTAAATGATAATATTTGTAAACACGCATATAGCAGCAGATAATATCCGAATGTCAATATTTACTTTATAAAATGTTATTTTTGAGCATTATTCCTTCTAAAAGACATTGTCCATCAATAATTGCAAACTTCTGTTGAATGTTGGTAATTTACATCAAAGAAAATTTGCATTTGATCATAAATCGAGCAGCATACAAATTCAATACATTTCTTAGTGAATTAAAGATCACAGTGTTTGCAAGAAATATTTAATTTGATGAATTGCATATTCATATAGCATATATCGTTTTGTTCTTGCAAAAGCTATAAAAATTCTTGGTATCGTGTAAACACACGTGAACGAATTAAGTCGACGTAACCATCGATGCCAACAAAAAAAAATCCAAATCCAAAGGTAGCATAAGTCTCACGAATGGTAATTTTCAAGTGTCGTATAGTCGACAGCAAAACATCAGTTTAATCACCGTTCGTCAAACCTAAAATCGCACCAATACGCGCAACCGAATATTACCACGTTCTTACGTAATACTTAATTATAAAATTGACAAGTATCTATTTCTGTGGCAGTTTTCCTTTCCGTTTTGAACATACAAAAGAAGTATTTCATTTTTTTTTGTGCATTATGCGTTGTAACAATTTGTGATACATTCCGTGAGAGACTAATCGCACGGAATTATGTTTGTCGTTAATGAAATGACAATTAAATAAATAAATACATTTTCGATATAATGAAATACGATAGTTTATTCAATGATTAGGTATACGCCCGCCTTATTTAAATCGTGAAACGTAACTAAGACAAAAAAAGGTGTCGAGCATACTTGAATCTTTGTCGAAGTTTTAAATATAAAATCAATAGTGATAGCGGAAATTGGATCAGTAGCTCCATAAGAACGAAACGTAATCATCAAAGCTAAATTGCGTTACAATGTGTTGCGTAATACCTAATATATAATTAATATACGAAATAATATAATTTAAAAAGTAGTAAAATAAATAATTATGTGATAAATCATTAAATAATAATATACTAGATCATAAAAATATAAATGTCGAATAAAAAACACTCGTACATGCGTGAGGAAATGATTTTATTTTGTTCTGTCACAGGTTCAAAGATGATTTTAAGGGGTGTCAGTGGTCAATTCAAGTCCGGCGAATTAACGGCAATACTTGGACCATCGGGAGCTGGAAAGTCAACGCTTCTCAATGTTCTAGCCGGATACAAGTATGTTTCATTTTATACGTTTGATTTTTGTACTATTTTATTTTTCATTTTAGGTAGCTTTCTACCTTGAAAAAAAAAATTTCGACATTCAAAATTGAAATGCGATTTTTAAATTGTCAGTAAATATTCTAGAAAGAAAATGTCATGACTTAAAACAGTATTTTTTTATTTTTGATAAATCAACTTCTGCATTTTACCTTTCAGTGTCAACATGTTTTTCATTGTTTAATTCGAATTTAGAATTAAAAAGTTCGAAACAAATTTTTTGTATATCCATTATAAAATATTTATTCAAAAATTGAAATCCACATCTTCATTTTAGATGCGCATTAACCATTTTAAAATTGAAAAAATAGAAAGCTGAAAAATTGCACGTTCTACAAAAAAATACCGTATACCCCAATTCGTTTGCTCTCCTTTATTTGTGATTAAAAAGTTGAAGTAATTGAAGATTGAAATTATAGATGAAGAAACCTTTCATTGAATAAAAAAATTAATTTTTCTACCTAAATTTAGATAACAAACCATCTAACATTTCAAATTGGTATAGCAAACCGTTTGTAAAAAGTATACCGATTATAGTTGCAATCGTAAATATAAGCTGATTTATATTAGTACTAAATAAAATTCCTCGTTTAGATATACAAATATCTTTATTCGAACAACAGATTATTGCGATGCAGATCAAACATGTTAATACTATGTGAAAAAAGATAAACAAGACTTCTTGTTTGAAGAAAAATAAAGAAACTCTTCGTTAACAAAACTTGTTTGAATTGATATACAATCTTACATTTTTTATTTCAGTTAGAAAAAACGAAGCTCAGAAGAAGGTTTTTATACTAGAAGTTATCAATAAGACAATTATGATAATAAATTATAACGTTAGTAGTTTAATGATTAAATGTCTAACGCTTCCATAATATAAATTGATCGCTCTAACGTCAATCAATTTAATGATTTTTTTTATCTGCAGTTATTGCATCAGATATTACAAAAGCGTAAACTGAGACTAGCTATTACTTAATTATGTTATAGTAAAATTGAAAAAAAATTTCATAAATTTCAGAAATAATATTAAAAGCATGAGAAATTATGATAAAATCACATGCGAGAGAGGAATCTTCATATTTCTTTTAGAAAACGACTGGACAACATTATGTATCAATGTGCTTTCATAACTTGCTAAACATTAACATGCATATTAAATTGGTCTCGCGGCTAGAATCACGCCTTTTGGACGTGAGTGACCACTGAAACTACCAAGTAAATCGTAGTGACGCGACATAAACACTCGTCTCGTACATTATATTTTGAATACCATATCACATTTTTATCTAATAACTACCCTTATCAGAGTTACGAACGATCTTTGAACTAGTGAATCATGATTTTATATGAAAAATTCACTTATATAATTATGTTTTGATTGCCTTTATTTCAAAATACATTTAGTATGATGTAATGATTTTTTTTCCGTTTTTCATTTAATCTTCTTTTTCTTTTGCGTTACTCGCTAACAGTACTATGCTTCTTGCATTACGAAGTGCATCTTGAAGAAAAAAATAATCGAAGCTAGAAAAAAGTCCAGTTCAGAATATATGAATTTAATAAGTACGTGAAATCAGTGAAAGTATCTGTCGAAAACTAATTGGTGACCTTATTCAGCTCAAGAAACAATGTTTTTTCAGTCTAATATCGCAATCGCGTCCCGAAAACGGATTCACCTAAATTTTTTCGGGTTCTCATCGAATATAGTTGACGTTTCGAATGTCAAGCGTTCAAGTGTCTATGAGCTTGAAGAATACCAAATACATTACGAAAGTATATTTGCGAGCACGCGCACACACCCTTGGCCTCAATCATGGGAAAACTCCAAGAAGCATTATTGAAAAAGTAAAGCCAACGGAAACTAACGATATTATCACAGAAATGATATGATATCAGTTGTGACGTTGGACTAACATGACGTAGGCATGCAAACGAAATTACGATGATGTTTCTCTAACGGAATTTACACTATGAATGACATAACTATTGCTTCCATAAGGTCATGCATTTTTGCCATTCGGCCATTTTTGCCATTTTTGTCATTGTGATTCGGCAATGTTTTCACATTCGCATAGGACATTTTCAAAACAAAATTTGATTTTTTAAACAACATTTTTCGTTTTTTTGATTTTTAAATCTCAGTCATCAAAATTTGTTAATTATGTAAATGTATTTCTTTTGATGGCTTTGTGATACTTAAAGCGGACGACCTCACCGTAATCTGACAAAAAATATACTCCAAAAATAAATGAACGAGTAAATCTTAATATACATATTTAATTATCTCCATTCATCAAGAAAAGAATACGTTTGTAAAAACGAACTTATTAATCAAGGTCTCCACAGCGGAAATTCGCACGTGTATCTTAATACTTCAAAGACACACAATCATTTGCATAGACGTAATAAACGACAGATAGAGAGAAAGACAAAACAAAATAAATTGTTTTGTAAACATCATTATGAAATAGTACATTTACATAATAATTAAAAATTAAAAACAAGCAATAAACCAGGCAATTGGTATGATATCGACAAGAGACAGCAAATGTTTATATAAACGCACGAAATATTAGACATAGGTAAAGAAAACAATTTTTTTTTACTAGCAGGCTCGTAAATATATACGCGCACAATAATCGCGGGCGCTTTTAAGCCGCTCGGGATCACTGACCTTAGCAACAAGACACGTATGACAACAACCAAGTTCCGTCTATACTCCGACGGTTGCGGTGTCATCATGGCTTTGCTTGCATTAAGTCGATAACGCACATACACGTTGCACGCGCCTCGTCGGGTATTTTTCATCCAAAACTGGTTTTTTTCTTTAAGACTTTGCGTCTTAAGATTTGATACGCGATAGTGGATTAACCAGAAATTCGTGTATTTTTTTCTCCTTCAGAAAAAAAACCCAATATTTGTTGGTGAGAAAATACGTTGCTCTTAGATTGATGTGAACTTGATTAGTGGCGAAACGATATTGATTGAGCGATTTGAAGAAAACAAAAAAAAACATAGCATTTAACAATATAACAATCAACGCATTGTTAATAACAAGGGAAAGGGAAAAAACAGAAATGAGTTTCGAAACCGCAATAATGGCTGATGCAATGAAAAGAAAAAAGGTTGGAAACCGCCACGACTTTTGTTGATTACAGATGCGAGAACGCCGCAGGTCTGATCAACGTGAACGGGCAGCCAAGAGACTTAAAGGATTTTCGCCGATCTTCGTGCTACATAATGCAAGAAGATCTCGTGCAGCCGAAGCTCACAGTTCTCGAGGCTATGCGCTTTGCTGCCGATCTGAAGCTCGGCAGTCACAGCACGCCCGAGACTCGCTTCGCTATCGTAAGTTTGATATGATATACCTACTCTTTAAAACAAGTTCCATTAAATAGATCACGTTTGCGGAAAATTACACGACATTGGGCTTCTTAAGGACTTTATATTTTTTGTTTGTCCAATGTCTCGTGGAAGTTTCTTACCGTGAGTTAATGGTATACACGTACCCCGCAAAAAGAACTAACTTTTTTTTTGAGAATCTCTATTTTTACTTTCACTCTCTTAGTAATCGTCGACGGTTGCTATAAATAAGTATATTTTATATACTTTGTTTTGCGTGATAAGTGGATAATTTCTGTACAGTACTCGAATTAATTTTGACAAAATATCTTTGCTAATGATGCTGTTACGCACGTCATACATCGATTTAATTAAAAAAATATATGTTATTATTATTCGAAATAATTTCTATAATTAAATACATTAGAAAAACTCACAATATCGACATTTAACTTATTCACGGGTCTATTTACTATTATTATTACTATTATTTGTCTATTATACATATCAAATTTAAAAAAAAGTTATGTCATAATAAATAAAGACGGAATTATCAATGAAAACAACACTCTTATGATAGTCGATAGATTCGCACCACCGACGTCATAGATCTTCGATAGATATCGAAATACGGTACTTTATCGACTTTTTTTATTGCTAAACACAACGAAATGATGTCAATTGCGTAACGTATTCAAGTTCACGGATTTTCCATTTTCATGCGAATAAACTGTCTATATATCAGTATTTATCCAAACAAAATAGCTTCATCTGATACATCGCATAGTAGTAGCCTTGTAGCAAGGTTGCTTTCTTATTTTATTTGAAAAATAAACAAACTCCAATAATCACCGAATGACGATTGGATAAAATCTCTACTAATGAACAATGGATCAATATAATCATTGACATATAGGTAGCTGATTTTTACTAAGCGATTCATAAATTGTTATACAAATGGTAAATTTAAGATGTGTATATAACATGATTTACAACTGATGATTCACGCATTAAAGTGGTGGTCTGTTAATATGATTTATGTAACATTAACGGCAAGCCATTTATTAATACTTAATTTTACGAGTCTAGTGAATACTTATCTAGCAATTTTCCCATTTGCTTTCTTTCAAAATAACATCTTTGTAAAAGAAACTTTTGAATATTTTGATAAAAGCAGTTTCATATCGAATGATGCGGTTGGTTCAATGAATTTCGCTATGATTATAAAATTCTTTCGATAACGCTATCGTTTTGATTCTATCGTAATATCAGAATCGGAGCTAATTAAATATAACCGATGTACAACTCGACAAATTTCTCAATGAAAATGAGGATAAAGACGCTATGTAAGTGAACGAGTTAAGCAAAGAGCGTATAATTTCACAAAATCGACTCGACTTCTCGCGAAAGTGCATGTCGTTTCATCGCGTCGTAGTGTATTTCATACTATAGAGAGGGGGGGGGGGGGATACAGCCGCAGAAGCCGCAAACTACGAGTGGCAAATGAGAGAGCGCGCGCGAGAGCCGAGGCACTGCACTTTGCGATGCGCCAAAAGCTTAATTCCAACTCTCTCTCTCTCCTATCGCTGAGAAAATGCCAGGGCTTCTTTCAAACAAGCCCGTCACGCTCGCATTATTGCGAAAATCGGCATGGCCCACAATGCGAAACGATATAAGTTTAGCTTTCTTTGACACATGCACATGTAGGTTTGCGAGATATTGGAAACACTGAGGCTGAACACAGCGAGAGATACTGTGACCGAGAGATTATCCGGTGGCGAGAGGAAGCGCTTGTCCATAGCGTTAGAGCTCGTCAACAATCCGCCAGTTATATTCCTGGATGAACCTACGACGTGTGTATTAATTGGTTTTTTGCGATCTATAGCTTGCTACCTTTCATGATACTATCACGGTTGATTTCGAAAATGATTACAGTGGTCTCGACGAGATGTCGTCAGTACAGTGTATAGATCTGTTGCAAAGGGTGGCATTGAACGGACGAACCGTCATCTGTTCCATTCACACGCCAAGTGCCAGTATATTCGCCAAATTTCATCATGTGTACGTTGTCGCTGCCGGCCAGTGCGCGTACCGCGGACCAGTCAGCGATGTCGTTCCTTTTCTCGGTCACATCGGTATCGAGTGCCCCAAACATTATAATCCAGCTGATTTTGGTAAGTCTACTAGCCAAGAAAAAAAGAGATCCGTAACTAATAGGTAGCTTTGACAGTTGTTGAAATATCGTCTGGAGAATACGGTCAAGAGCTCGTCGACAGAATGGTTTCGAAAATCGATGCAAGATCGCCTATTGTGCCAATCACGTCGACGGCCAGTCACGGGCAGAAAATTTCGAAAGAGATGGTGAAGGTCTCGTCGTGGGACCAATTCACCACTCTGTTCCGACGAAAAATGCTTCAATTTTATCGCGACCGGGTAAGCCAATCGTTGTTGCAAAGGCAACGATATACGCTTTTCTGCATGTCAATTCATGTATCGATCAATCGGTATATTGCTTTCGCGTGCGTTTTATTTTTCGATTGAAAAGTAACTGTACATTGTAATTGATTGCAGAACTATATGTACCTAAAAATCTCGCTACACATCTTTCTTGGCTTCATTATCGGTGGTCTGTTCCTCGACATCGGCAACGACGGCTCGAAGACTCTGTTCAACTTCGGCTTCTGTTTTACATGTCTCATCGTTTTCCTCTACATCCCAATGCTGCCCGTGCTGCTGCACTGTAAGCGAGCAACGAATAAAAGTTTAAAAGCGCGACGAGTTTACAGCCGCGACTCGCTAACCGCTTGCGGTCACTCTCTCAGCGATACGTTTCACTGGCCTGTTTCAGTTCCCCAGGAAGTACAGCTGGTCAAGCGCGAACATTTTAATCGCTGGTACGACCTCGGGCCTTACTTCTGCGCCCTAACTATCTCCAACATTCCCGCACAGGTATAGACGTGTACACTTTACTGACACGAAACAGCGCGCACGCGAAAATTCGATCTTACGTGCCAGCAGCTAACTGTAAAAGCACGCGCTGCGTTGTGATCGCCTGCTTGCCCTCTCGCTCGTGCAACTTCAACTGGTCAAGCTTGATTTATTCACGCGTGCTAATGCGCAGTCAAAGTCCATTTCGATTTACGACCAGTAACTGCGCACGCTTCTTTATATTCGAGATCCTTGTAACGAGGAAGTATCAATGAACAGCTGTCTTATAAAGGACTATCTTACAAATTAGGATCGACTACATGATGCTAACGTTTCCACGATTTTTCAGCTTATTTTATGCATTTTCTATATAAGTATGGTCTACACAATTACTAGTCAACCTATGGAGTTGTATCGTTATGGAATGTTCGTTAGTACCTGCATGGTCTGTTCTCTTATTGCTGAAAGTATGGGTCTGGCTATTGCAAGCACATTGAGTATTGTGGTAAGTACTTTTTTTTATTGCATCTTTCATTGCATCTTCTTGCGGAATCATCATTTTCAATCTTTATGAAGTTAAAGTGTTTACCAGAAACTGAATCAGAATAGTACAAGTGAGAATTTGCATGTATTTCAACTAAAAGTGAGACACTTAAAGTCAGCAAAATTATTCGGAAGACTACTTGGATTTTCTCAATTAGACGCACACAGCCGTTAAATAGATATTCGATTGCGTTTGAAGATGTAATCGTTGTGGTTTGCTTGCTAGAAAATCGTATTGAATTTACATGCGATAATTTACAAAAGAATTTTAAAGATTTTCAATTACATACAAACAACGTAAAATTGTACTAAGCCGTGAGATAAACACTAATTGAAATTTTGTATTTATAGAACGGAATGTTCGTGGGACCAGCAATGTCGGTGCCGTTGATGCTGTTCGCCGTACAAGGCATTGGTGACGTGACTCCTCTGCCGATTTATCGTCAGATTGTAATGTACATCAGTTACATACGTTATGGCCTAGAAGGTCTCATCGTCGCAACTTATGGCTATAATCGGCCAAAATTGCCTTGTCCAGAAGATGAAATGGATTACTGTCACTACGCTGTGCCACGACAACTTCTCCGAGCTATGGGTAATGTCTATATTATTAATAGTCCTTTGAAAAGCGCTCCCGTTGCCGAAATGAAACCAAAATTATTCTTCTTATCCCTTTAAGAACAGGAGTTTTTTTTTGTAGGAAAACATTTAATGAGATGAACGTGGTAAATTGTTATTCTTTGTCGTTTCGTTTTTAGCCCGCAGATAATTGACAATCTCCGAGATAATTTTTTACATTGTTTTAAAAATTACATATTCGTTTTTAATTGGCAAAACCAACGACTAAAATACCACTGTAATTAGAGAGGTAATTCAGTCTGTTGCATCTTGATATTCATATCGTTAAATCATGATAAAACCGACAATTATAAAAATTCATCTGCGAAGTGAGTCATGTTTAATTACGTTCATACGTCAATGTTCTTGCTATTCGTTTTTACCTTATAATTCCGTTTTTAATTGCTGTCTATTTTTCTACTAAACTAATTGAAATTTCTGTTTTTAGGCATGGAAAGTATTACCTTTTGGGTTGACTTTGTTGCTCTTCTCGTCATTCTACTTATCTTCAGGAGTCTCACCTACTACTTACTTAGGCAACGCTTGAAACCAAACAAAACATTTAGAGCGCTTAATCTTGTTGGCCGATTGGTGAAAAATCACTTTATGAATTAAAAAAATAAAAATTGTTGTAGTTGATTTTTACAATCGGGAATAACGTGTAAATTAAATAGTAGATGTTAATTAGTCATGTAATTGTAAATTTGTAATTTATGAATTGAGTGTTACATTGTAAATATTTTTCAGAATAGATTATTAGTGGTTACATTTTTTATAAATAACTTTGGCTTACTGTTATACGACTTTTTTCATTTTATACGGAACAAAGTAAAGTGAAAAATTAATTTTACGTTGATTGTAAATTAATATCAAAGAAAAAATGGTTGTATTTCGCTTTACTTCCTTGTCCATCAATCTTCCTTTAAATTGATGTTTCTTTTTTTGCGAACTATCAATATTAAATTAAAATCAACATAATAGAAAAACGAGAAATTCCTCTTTTTAAATCTATTTTTGAACAGTAGTTTTAATTTCTCATAGCGAGAGTATAATGACTTTGATCAATTTGATTAATTAAAGATAACAATTTAGAATATGTCACGGTCTTTCTCCCTCCCTCCCTCCTTCCCTTCCTCCCGCCATTTATATAGAGCTCGTTAATTTTTTTATACGACGATCGACTTTTTTTATCTGCTGATCATTCAAATCACAAGTATTATTTTTCGTTAATTTTATTACAAATTTTTTTACCCGTTTTTGTAATATTCTCCACTGTAGTTTATCATATCCTGGACAGTAATCTGCTTTTAAGAAATTAACAATGTCTCTTTCACATTTTACATTTAATAATTGCAATCTTTCATACAAAGTATGATTTTGTTTCTTTATCCTTTTTTTGGCTTTGGTTTTTAGATTTTTACTGGATTTGTCATTACATTTTCCAAAAACCTCACGAGACACTGGAACTAAAATTATTACTATATAGTAAACAGATTACATTTTTGTATAAATTCTGTTATAATCTCACCTCCATAATCTATATCTTCTGTTATGACTGAAATATTTGCTTGTATAGGATTTTGTTTTGAACTTGAATTTTCAGCTGTTAAAGTTTCTATTACACAATCAGGTTCGATTGTATTAATTGCTTCAATTAAATCAAAAATAGATCGATCCCATTGACCTTTAGTTGAAAAACTGTAAAAGTATTTTGTCTTTTAATAAATGGTTTGACAAATTATCTTTTAAGTGATTAGGTAAAATGTTAGATAAAATACTTTTCAAAATCTTCAATCCATGAAAGTTTTAACCAATCAGCAAGATTTTCAGGTAAGACATAAGCATCTGGTAACCATGGTATCCCAACTTTTTGAAACATTTTAACGTACTTATAAACACTGTCATACCATGCACATGATTTTTTTATTATATGTCTTGAAAGCATCCTGTATTTATAAAATAATTAATAAACTTATAATTATATAAACAAGTAATAATTAGTTAATATTATTTCATTGAAGAATAGATTAAAATTTACCATATTCTGCTTATAACTCCATAAGCAACCATAGCAATAGGCCATGACTGTCCAATGTGTAACCTAGATTTAAAAAAATAAGCTGCTATCATACAAGTAGACTCTACTCTGCACATAAGTTTGGCAAAACCTTGTGTTCTTACTAAAACATATTCAAGAGTCTGTTGTGGAGGAAGACTGACGATGCTATTGTTAATTTCAGTACATTCCTTTAAAAGTTCATATTCTTTGTCTAGAGACATATTCAAATAGTTTAACAAGGCTCTGTTGACTTTTTCCATATGCTTCAGTCCTTTATCACTTCTGAATTTACTTTTCATGCGGTAAATCAATCGACTAAGAAGAGCAGCCTCTGCATGCATTGTTTTGAAATTCTGAAAGTCATTGAGAACTCTGTCAATGACTGTTAAAAATGTTGTTGGATCTAAACCATAAAAAGTAATAAGGCATACATTATTAGGTTTAGAATAGATATTGAAATACCGAGATATGTTCGATAATGAATTGGTTATAGCAAATCATAAAATTTAAAGGTTAGATTCATTGCTTACCAAATTCTCTCACAGAAATATCCCAAGATCTGCATGGTGGACGTTGTAAATTGACCTGGTTCCATAAAATATCCATTGTAGAGAATATTATTCATCTATATTCCAATAATAAAATAAAACTATAGGGCTGTCATTTTGTTGTAAACAAAAGCTAAAGCGAGTTTTCATATGCACATGATCAACACCATAGGCGTTCGGCACAAGTTCGGCACCTTCCGGCTCTGTACGGTCAACTCCACGTGTAGTAGGTTAACACCATTGTCTATAAATAAAAAAAGTCATTTTCAATTAATACCTATAATATTTTTGTAATAAATAATTTATTAATACTTTATATATGTGTTTTTATATCTGAATTTCGATTTTCGTTTCCGTTGAAAAATTACTAATTCTTCGCGAGTATTAATGAATTATTTACAAATGAATAATATTAGTGGTTAACGTACGTAACTAATATTTATTGTGATGTACTATTTTAGTTTTAAGAAGACCGAAGAAATATGTTTCTCCAAACGGCAGAAACTATTGCAATATTACAAAAATAAAATTGGATCGATTAAACATCAATAGATTTATTTAACTATTAATCATTTATTTTATCCATCATCAGCTGACATTTTATAATGTTTTAGTGTTTACTTTTTACGCCGCTTTTTTGATTTGAGGTTTTGGCTTTTTACATTTTAATATTATAGACATATTTTACATTTTGACTGTTGTTTATTTCTAGTTAATATATTTTTTGTTATAAAATAACATTATTTCAAATGTTTAAAGTTTAAATTTGATGGGATTGATAATAAATACAGATAGGTTTAGTATTATTTGGAATATTAGAAAATTTTGTTTGTGGCTCAGAAAGTAGGCGAGCTGGTATAACTTGTTTGCAGCAATTAGGGCATGTAAATAATACAGTTGGACAATAATTAATTGGAGCAGTACAAGGATTGCAACTGAAATAGAAAGAAAAAATATTTAATATTGATCAAATACCTTTTTTAATTTTATTTTTTCTTACATATTATTTTTCCGTAATAGTCTGGAAATATCATCTTTACGACAAGGATCTTTAACTATAACAGACATGTGTGATACTATAATTTATCAGTTTTTGAAAATTGAATTTTGCAAATTTTTTTAGATTAATACAAACTATGAAATTTTGAGAGTTATAAAAACTATGAAATCATTGTCTTTTGTTTCAAATCCAATTTTAACAAACTTCAAATACTATTTGTATAAAGAGCAATAATCAAATTTGAATTTCAATATTTACGAATAAAATATAAAAAATATGCTCTGCATTTCAATTATAACTATTATTCAGGTAATACATTCCACATAATACAACAATGTGCATTTATAAAAAATATGATCTATAAAACGTGCATTAGAATATAAAAAAATTTTTAAATAAAATTAACTTATAATCTATTGAGGTCTGATGAAGTTTTCATAAGCTTTGAGTGTATCTGGATGAGTTCTAGGGATAACAACTGATAAAGCTATCCTAAAATGTTCTTTAGTGATTTGTTCAACATCTTCTTCTACTGCTTTCATACCAGCTTCATTACAGATAGCTTTTATTTCAGCACCTGAATAACCTTCAGTAAGCTCCACTAAATCTTTTAAATTAACATCTTTATCAATTGGAACGCCACGAAGGTTTATTTGGAAAATTTCTAATCTTGTTTCAGCGTCAGGTAAAGGAACATAAATTAGTCTATCAAAACGTCCAGGTCGAAGCAATGCCTGTATAAGTGATTGTTTTGTGAATTATTATAATTATTGCTTATTTAAACTACTGTGTTTTCTCAACAAAGTAAAACTTACTGGATCTATCCTATCTGGTCGATTAGTAGCAGCAATTAGTGTAACGTTTCTTAATGCTGTCACACCATCTAGTTCAGTCAACAACTGAGTAACAATTCTTTCTTGTACGCTGCTTCCAGAAATACCAGAAGATGTGCCTCTTTCCACTGCCAATCCATCAATTTCATCAATAAATATAATTGATGGAGCTACTTGTTGTGCTTTTTTAAAAAGTTCTCTTACTGATTTTTCTGATTCACCCACCCATTTAGAAAATAGTTCTGGTCCCTAAAAAATATACTTTATAATTTATTTTTGATCGTTTCAACATTTCTTTTTTTTTTTTATATAATATTTACCTTGATATTCAAAAAGTTTAACTTGCTTTCTGTTGCCAAAGCTTTTGCAATCATAGTTTTAGAGCAACCAGGAGGGCCAAACATTAGAACTCCTTTAGGAGGTGTAGTATTAAATTTCTTAAATGCTTCTGGGCGTTTCAATGACCATTCTACTGACTGTTTAAGTTTAAGTTTTAGGTCTCTTTGGCCTCCTATATCGGACCATTTAACATTTGGCACATCAATAAGAATTTCTTTCATTGCCGATGGATTAACAATATTTAATGCATTATTAAAATTTTTCCTTGTAACCATAATTTTATTAGAATCATATGGAACATCAGAATGTAAATTATTTCTTATTGCATCCATTTCAGCTGTAGAGCACAGACCTAGTAAATCTGCAGCAATGAAGCCATGAGTTTCATATGATATTTGTTCTATATCTTCATCATTCAGAGTGCAAGGCACTTTTGCAAGTATTTTTTCAATAATTTCTCTTCTTACTTGTCTTGTAGGTACAGACATTTCAAATTCTTTATCTATTCTACCAGGCCTTCTTAGTGATGAATCAACAGTATTAGGTTTTGAAGTTAGTGCCAAGATCATAACATTTTTACTATCTTGTAAATTGTCAATTAATGTTATTAAACTTTCTAATACTTTGTCTTCGTGTTCAGTTTTAGAGTTACTTCTCTTTGGGCACAGTTTGTCAATATTATCTATTAAAATAATAGAAGGAGCTTTGTCAACTGCTTCTTTAAACAAATTAGATAAATCTGTTTCTATAACTTGATGATTCTTGCTGGTAATAGAATGAGAACTAATACGTATAATATTAGCTTCAACTTGTGATAGCAAAACTTCAGAAATCATTGATTTTCCAACCCCAGAAGGACCATATAATAAAATACCTCTACTAATGTGAAAGTTTTCCAAGGTACCACACTTTCCTAATCCCACTAATAAAAGATCTTTCAAATTTTCTATTAAATTTGAATATCCACCAAAAGAGCAGATACGACTATGTCTCTCCAGTTTCTTTGTTTCATTTTTTGGTTCAGTACTTTGGAAAATGGTCCATTTTGTTGAATAAAGTACTTTGTATAAAACTTTACATTCATTTGATAAATTCATCATTGAAAATTGGTTTATTAACTTTTCTTCAGCTTTTATATCTATAATTTTGAAAATAAGCTTTCTTCCATAATATGGAATACATATTCTATTTCCAATAGAAAAAATGTTATTATGGTTATAATTTTTAATCAAAACAGTAAGGTCTGTTGTTAAATGTTCTACACGATTTTTTCCCACTGATTCAATTATAACTTCGTGAGCAAGATGTGGTTCTGATTGTAGTTTTTCTAGTGTCACTGATCCTTCCAAATTGTTTAGTTCCATAGCTGTATAAATTATGAAAATATTTAAATTGAATTCACTTAACTAAATTAAGTACCATTACCATTTTTGGTTAAAAACACAGAATTAAAATTTGTAGTTTTATCACCCATAGGCCAAGCTTTTTTAACTACTACTGCATCCTTATTTGATATTAATACTGGATCCCCTATAGGAATTTTACATTGTTGTAATGCAAACTCAGACATAAAAATAAAGTTATTCAACTCTTTTGTACTCATGAACTTTGGGAGTTCTGAAAAGCAAAATTCAAACAGTTTATTTGAATTGAAATCGATAGTTTATTTCATATTTAATAAAGTTTATTTACCTGTGGATTTGTAAGGTTCCAGAATTGAATGCAGAACATCATCTTTTATAAATCCAGGTTTCCATGGCTCTGAGGGAGGGCAATTCTGTTCATGATCATTTATATCTTTTTGTGCTAAAAATGCTTGACATTTGTCACAATTGACCCACGGGCATGTACTTCTTCTTCCTTTCAAGTGCATGATATTCTAAAAGATACGTTTATTATTCATTCTACAAAAACTTATTAAATATATATCACTTTATAACCTACAAAGTATTATTTTTACATAATATTAAAATTCAGCTTTACGACCATAGCAAACAATTTTCCAATTCACATTGAAGAAATTTTGAGCAGTATAAATACAAGTGCATTAAGCAACATGTATATCTAATTTTAATCGTTTAATAATGTAAATTGCAAAACACGTGTTCATCATCATGATAAATTCGTAAACGAAATACGAATATTGTGCACAATGCGCATGCGGCTTCACTGCAATCGGTGCGGCCTGCAGCATTGTGGCAAAAGGATTACATTTATACCTATATCCGTACCACTTTATGTTATAAATTCATTATCGAAATTATTGTGTGCTTGTATAGTATTCTATTTATATGATTTGTATATTAATTGAATCAACGGGAAAATTACGAGAAAATTAATTAAAACAAAAAAAGGGATTAAAGTAAAGAAAAGAAAAGTAACGACGATGATCAACTTGCCCCGCAATGGAATACATATATGTATATAGGCGGTCAACAAGGCATTAATACTTTAAACCATGCGAGCGTCCGTCCGTTGTTATGATAGCGTGCGGTGAAGCGAGGGGATTAATGGCAAATAAGAGAGCTGCCTGTCAATGTATGCCACTTCAATTCAACCAAACCAGATCCGAAGCACGCCATACACGTCGAGATTCAGTCTTTCCGCGAGCTGGAGCCTACGCGGCCGCTTTGAAAGCAATAACAAACAAGTCGATTGATTTAGTAAATCGTCAATGAGGCACCCTCGACTCTCGCTCTTTTCGTTACATACATAAATGAAAATAAGCCGCGAGACTACTTGTAAAAGCGCTTGCTTGCGTTCTTTCGGCATAATCAATTATGGTTACATGCAGTTCTCGGCTTTGGTGAAAAGATTTACGTAGAATATGTCAATGATTCTTAAACATTTTTTCAATTTCTATTTAAACGTAGATTTTTTAATATGCTCATTTTTATGAAAGTACGTGATGTAAAAGTTGGTTTGAGTTCATTTGAATGAAGTCTTATGAGGATGCGATTTCCTCTGAAAAAGTCAAGTTCTACATTTATTACTTTAATCATTACAATTAGTCTGACCAATGTACATGAAGGTATTGTATGCATACCACTTTTAACTTTGCATCATACTTAATGCTTATTACAAATTTTAAACAGTCGACGGTGATAAGAAGACCAAACCAGAAGCCACAACAACCGAGACACCGAAAAAAATTCACTGCTGTGCGCGGCAGCAAAAAGTGATAGATGTTGGTCACGGCAAGTGATATTTGTTGTCAATTATTATCACGAAATGCATTCGTTCTTCAAACAGTCCTTTCATAGGCTACACTCTAGATTGCATTTCACAGATTCGGTCAATTGGCAATGTCAAGCTTGATATAAGTAATGCGCGCGATGTCCGGTGCATCGTGTTTCATGGCCCGAGTGGAATTGCACTCGTACTCCGTTTTACTTGAAAATGTTTTAGAGGATTTAGCCACTGAACTGCCGATCACTTTTCAAAAAGTTACAAAAGCATCCTAAAAAATGATCAAGGAATTATTTACACATACCAGTTGAATGTATCATTAACAGCTCGTTAGGAGTAGCATAATCGAGTAATCGTACTGAATTTGGAATTGCTGAATAAAACAAATATCGTCTCGTGAACCACAAAAATTTATTGCATTTTTGTAAAAATGTCTTCAAATAAAAGCATTTTAGCTGATTTGAGACGGGAAAATGCTAAATTTGAAAGAAAATTTAAGAAAGTAGACAGCATATTCAAAAACTTTATTTCCAGTGTGTCTATGTCCATCAAGCTGTTACGTTGGGCGATTACTAGTATTCAAAGAATTGTCAAAATAAGTTAATTTTCCTTTACCTATGAATTTATTTTAATTTTCCGAAACTCCCTCTCATATCCCTCAACCCTCCTTAACTGAAATTGATTATTAACTTAGTAAACTGTTAAGGATCGAAGGTCATTTGGTATTATTGCTGATATGAATTGACAGTTATTATAAGATAATGCGCTCACTATTTATCCCAAAGTCAAAATAAACGCTGACGGGACTGCACTTAAGTATGATGTAGCGGCTATAAAAAAACAAACTGTATAATTTTACAAGCCGATCAGACACGTTGAGAGGCTATAAATCTGAAGCCGCGGCATCCGTGCCCACTAAATAAATCGGGCAGGGCAAATTCTTTGGCCCCGCGGGCGCCACCGATCTGCTAAAAATAACCGCGAGTAGGCTATTTCGCTCGCTTCCTTATTACTCATTCTTGCGTTGCCTTTCTCCGCTTCCGAATTCACCACAAATGGACCTTCCCGAGATGTTCGCCTCGTGACTCCTTATCTTTTGTTCTTCAATTAATGATGAAATTTTGGTGCCAATTGGTCAATACTAATTGATTAATATTGAAAATTACAGGCATATCGGGCGATCTGATAAAAATCGACGCTGGCTATTGTAAGAGCTTTTGCCCACGACACTTGTTCGACGATCCTGGAGATGCTAGTAGACCAGCTGTACAGGTGAGACAAAAAGATCTTTCATTCACAGGTACAGTCTTATATGTTTTTTATATTTTATATACCATCAAAATAATCATTATTGTTCGCATATTAATTTGTTAAAATGAAGTCTCATAACTAATGAACCTTTTCTTACAGCCAGAAACTCTATCGGATTAGTATCAGCAGTTATAAATTTGTAAATTACTATATTTACACTTTGTATGTGAATTGCAATCGTATACATTTAATGGCTTCGTATACGTAGCATTCAGTTTTCTATGGAGCTCGTGTGTGAAACTTGAATGTCATATTGGTGTTATAAAGAATTTATATTTATCTCTTTGTTTATTTCCAAGTCAAATACATCATTGTAATACGTACTGGTGTAACACGTGCTTATTCTACAGTATAAAAGTAAAGAACAAAGCGAATGACATACAAATTAAGTATCAGTAGATTTAGCGCAAATATATATTTCTCTTATTATTGAAAAATTGATTTAATATGTAATCGAAGCGTCATATTTTTAATCAAGACATTCTTCCCAACTCGAGTTTGAATACCTTTGGAATGACTTATTTTCGTAGTAATCTAAATATAATTCTTACCTTAATGTATTTGTGGCATAGCACACATTTTTTCTTAGCGTTGGAGCTATTTGCGTACATCTCGGTGGTTATTTTATAAGCTGACCACGCGAGAAAGTTTCTGGTCGAACAAACATTCCTTAACGAAATTTCGAGGATAAAAGTCTTCCATTCGCGTCGCAGTCTGCATTGTATAAATATTCCATTGATGATGTCACGAATTAACAACAATGTTGATTTGTTCGATTCAGAAATGTATGCCGAACATGCTTTGCCGACCGAGAACGGCGAGATTGGAGAGGATCTCGACGATCCAAGGAGTCCGAACGATCGAGGTTGTGGAAACGTGTGATTGTTCCAGTGCTTACGCATGCCGACGAGATCCTTATACCATAGCTCTACACACCGGCACTCCTTATCAAGTTGAAATCGACATCGGTATTTGCATTGGAGCTTGTAGAAGTACGCTCGAAATTGCATTCTATTAAATGCTGCGATTTATATAAATTTGCGAGCTTTCACGATTGATTGCAGAGTACAGTTGCAAGCCATCCAGGAATGCTACGATCAGTGTGCGGGGACCGAATGGTAAAGTGTCTAATTGCTTTTAGCCGATACTTTATCAAACAGTGACTCGTTCGTCGTATTCTTCTAGGTGATGAAATTTATCCAATAATCGATAGATGCTCGTGCGCTGGAAATTGTCATAGAATGGATCACATGGAAACGGTATTAGATTTTAGTGGAATCGAAATTCGAGAAAGTATGAACATAGCAGATGCCAGACCAATCGTTAAGGTAAGCAAATGGCATTTTTTTAATTGATTTCTCTGTATTGTCAAACGAGAAATGTCAATTGAGCAGCAAATAAATGTTGGCAAATGCGTTGGAACTTGTTCTACAAATAACACGGAAACTTGCATAATACACGATAAAAAAAATCCCACCAATTGCCTTGCTGGACTCTTCACTGACAGTCAAAACTGTACACCTGCTAAATTCAAAGTGATCGAATACAGGTATGGATATCATTTTTAAGTGAATTTATTTTAACGTGATTTTTTTTTACAGAACGCGTCGTGGAATTAAACGTGAAATCATCCAAATCACGCAATGCGCATGTGTTTAGTTGAAATGTCACAGGGATGTCAAATTAACAAGACTGTAATAATACTGCTTAAATAGGTAGAAGTAATACATGCAATTTTTTATATATATAGCAGTCATTCGAATCAGTTTTACTGTACTAGTCATTAAAATTGTGTATGGTCACGAAAACATTTGTAGTTTAATTTCCATGCGAATTAAAACAATAAATGTTCTGGTGGAAAATTCAAGAGCGGCAATTCCTTGCAAATCTCTCTCTCTCTCTCTCTCTCTCTCTCTCTCTGTGTTTTCAATAATAGAGCTGCGTGAAAAACTGGACGGTTGAATCATTGCCAAAAATATTTGCCATATCACCTTGCACTTAGAAGATGAAAATTTTAGCAACGAAGTGTGTCAAATCGCTAAGGCCGCTCGCGAAAATCCTTGATACTCGGTGTGCCATTGGACCGCGCGGAGAACAAGCTTCGTAGCTTGAAACGACATGTATCGCCAACGCAGTTGGCATGATCAGGCATAGGGCTCGTTTACCGCGGCAATTGACGGCGAAGGAAGCCATAAACTGCCATACAGGCAATTGTCTCGCTACTCCACTTGATCTCTTGTAGCGTGTTGTTCACTCGCATACATATGCATGCGCGTATATACCATAACTGAGCATAAAGAAGTTGTTCTAGTCGCTACGTTATTTAAATAATTAGAGAACTGAACCAGTTTGTTTAATCTACCATAAAATACCAATACATCTTTCACGCATTGGTATTTTATTAAAAAAAGGAGATTCTCAAGATTAAATAAGAAAGTAATTTAAAGATATAATGGGTGCCAGCATCACGTAGACTTGAGAAAAATATATGTAAGTGCATATGTTACCTGCAAGGAAATAACACGAATGTATAAGAAATTAATCATCGAGCTATATTTAAAAAAGAGCACGGGATTACTTGATCGGTTCGTCGACCGTGCAACGCGTATCGTATCGAGAAAGCTTCAAATAAAGAAGAGGCGTCTTTCGCCGAGAGACTACAAGTTGCTGCTGCATTTTTGCACTAAGCTCCCTGGAATCTCGACGGGCGCCACCAAATCCAATACAGATATCCTTATACGCGCGAAGCTTCATAAATCAGCTGCTTCGATTTGGGCTGTATGAAAGCTGAACAGATTGAGATTTAACGCTCTCTCCCTCTCTCTCTCATATATATATATATATATATATATATAATATTGTTATTGTAACTTCAAAAACTACGTCCACGTAGAACGCTGCAGAGGTAAGCTAGGTACCTGTACGCATTAGTCTTGGTTCCCTGTAGTCATGAATATGCAGACTCACCTTCCCCACCATTTTTTTAAAATAATATAGCAGTTTATTTGGTTGTATTATATATAAGTTTATTATATTTATTTATATTATATATATTTGAGTTATATATATTTTATATATAGAAGTTGAAATATATATATATATATATATATTTAAATTTGGTGATATTATATCACGACTTGGCACTTGAATTATAACACTTTACCAGCTGAAAGTTTAAGGTCAAACCTGAAGTCTGTACTGCGGCTGACGCAATTTAATGCTGCATAAAGTCATTCAGAATTCTTAATGACTACATTCTTTTTCAAATTCTCCCTTCCGTTTAAATGTCAAATATTTACACATGCAGTAAAATAAACTCTTGTGCATACATTACACCTAATAAAATTTAATATATACTTTATTAACAATAGATTAATTCAAGTGTATAAACTACTATATAATTTAGCAAGAATCACTTGGACGCTTTATACGAAATAGTTCCAATATTACGATAAATCATCACATCCGAATTAAAAATAGGAATATAATTAATGATATTTCAAGAGATTGCTCGGAATAACTTTATTTTTCGATCTATGAATAATCCTGAAGACGAGAACGTTATAAGCTGAGATGTAACAATGCCAGTACGCATACAGTGAAATAAGAGGTTAAGTTTGCAAAAACAGATGGAAAGGTAACTCCTTATGTGAGCGATTACGTTATTTCGTATGTTGAAGTTAACGAAGTACGTTCTTGTAACTATCAAGCAAAAGGAAGCAAGTTTGTGATGTTTAACAGTTAGTGGTCACGAGCTTACACGCGGAGCATTTCGATTCCGCGTGGGCCGTCGAATGGTGCGTGCGTGTGCGCCGAAGCGCCGAGAGATTCGACGAATGAGCGCGAGACGCAAGCTCGAAAACACTTCGCGTGGCGCGGTCCACATTTCTGGTCGATTACTAAGCGAACGGCCTATTTGGCCAGCAACAAATGACTCTTGATCTTCTTGGTCTAAGCTCCAGGTTTACCTTTACGGCCTCGCATTTCTGCGACGTCAAATCCCATCGCTAGTTTGTCAATCATATCAACTGTATTCCTGATAGAAAGCTCACGGTGAAGAGCTCGTGAATAATCCCGCCTACTATTTCGTAATAATTGCTCTATTTTTCAAATCTCAGGTAGCGTATTTAGGATATTGTTCGAAACAACGGGATAATAATATTTGTATTTCGTAGGATAATTAATTGGATTCATTGTCTCCGATGAGTGGATAATTCTTATCAAGTGAGTAGGCACAATGAAATTAAATTGGTCGAAGCTCCGAAATAGAGCGTGCGTGCGTGGATGTACAATGATAAACAGGAAGCGCGAGCAGTACCTGGAAAGCGAATTTGAACCACGGGAATCGAACTCGAGGAATGTTAGTGGTAATTTCAAGGCAGTTGCACGTGTGGATTTCCCCCATTCTCGCAGCTTGATCTTGGAAAAATCTTGGCCTGAGAGGGGGTTGCGCACGAAAGAGCGACAGAGAGTGAGCGGGGGAGGCGACGTCGCATAAAGGTGACTCGTTGTGCCGAGCGCCTCCCACACGTGTCGCGTCAACCTCTTCATAATAACGTCTCGCCAAATTATACAGTGACTCGCGCTTCTTCTCGTCTCTCTACGCTTTATTGTACATGTCATTGTTGGTGCAATTTTGCGATAAAACGATGCAGTTGACACTTGTGCTCGCGATTGCATTTATGCTACGTGATGCCTCTACCAGTGCTCATGAGTTGAACGAGGACGTGGAGTCGGGGGTGCAGCAGGCTTGGCATCGCGTCCAAGCCAATGTCGAGCAAGTGCGCGACGAGCTCGACAGTTTGAAGAAAGAAGAAGCACTGCAAAAATTTAAAAAAGTAATTTTTCATAATTCTTCCTTGATTTACCGGTTCTGTATTTTTCAAATGGCCAACAAATTATTTCTTTACGAACCTGTGAAACGGCATTCTTACAAAAAGTTCAATTTTATGTTATTATGCTTGTGCACTTGACCTGATTAATTTGAAAAGTATTGAAAACTAATGTAATATTACAATAAAATAAAAGTTCATTTTTATGATAAATTGACATGCCCAATATTATTTTCAAATTTAAATATTAATGCTCGTTTGCTTCTGTTAGAACGAAGTTAATCATTAGTTTTAGTAAAATATTTGAGAACATAATGTGTATCATAAAAAATACGTAATTTAATTTTCACACTGACTATACGAATATGAGGTTTTTTCACGCTCAAAACTTAAATACTTGGTTAAATAAAGGAGTATACTCAAGTGATGGAGCATATGCTTTTTATTTGAAGATTTTGGGAATCCATAGTAGACAATCAGAACAACATCGCGAAGAACTTCCACCGCAATTCATGACGGAACTTTACAATACAGTAACAAACTCGGAAGGAAAAACACGAAGAAGAAATCCTTTCAATGCCAAAATCGTTCGAAGCTTTATTGAAAAAGGTATACATTTATCAATTTCATATTTTGCTGTAAACAAAACTCTAAACTTAGTGAGAACTTGAAACAGCACATCTCAAAATTGTATACTTCGACTCGTCCTTCCGTTACTCCTGCTAAATGTGGATATTTGATTTTAACATAGCAAATGACTTTTTGGAAATGTTAAAATGCTCTAATACGCTGTAAACAACTGCAATATTTGATATTCATGTACAGTATGGCTTGATATCCTTTTCAGATACTTCGTCCTCCAACGTGTATCTTTTCAATATATCTGATTTGGATGAAAGCGAAGCAATGTTAGAGGCGGAATTGCACTTGTATCGAAGGCGTTCATCACCAGAATCAATGCATCCGTCAGTTCTTACATCACCGCACTATTTGGTAGCGATATAGATTTCTATGAGCGTTTAAACAATATATGATATAATTAATCTAAATGTCGCTTTATTTGTCTAGATAAAAGTTTATCAGATTTTAGCCGACAGGAACATCAATGAGCCAGATCTTCATAGACTGTTAAATGTTCATTATGTCGGGGCATACGCTTCTGGATGGCAGGTAAATATTTTGACTTTTTTTTAGTGAAATTTGCGATCAAAGGAAATTTCAAAATTAGCATTTGCTCTAATCCGGAAGGTATTCAACGTGAAACAAGCAGTTCTTTCATGGCTCTCAAATTCAGCGAACCTTGGCCTCCTTGTAATAGCAACGACAATTTTCGGCGACAGAGTGACAGTAGACTTTTCACGACGCGGCGACGAGTCGCATAACAAACAACCTATTCTAGTTCTGTTCAACGACGATCGTGTAAATGATCAACCGCTACTGCTTGACGAAGATGAGGAAGAAGATGAGCTCGACGAAGCACTGATAGAGAGAAAAAAACGACAAATTGACGGACAGCTGGAATTAGTACCGGAATACGATGAAGAAGAGCGACCGATTTACTTCCGCAGAGAGAAAAAGAGTCGTGGACCTAAGCTACGCGATGAGAATGCTATTGAGATTCCTAGAGGGCACACTGGTGAGTTTTCACTTTTTATCATAGCCGAAGAATATTCTTTCCTGCAAATTAGATATTATGAAAATGTTTTGTTATTAGGAATAGTGTCAAGACGTAGAAGTTTTGATCAAACATTAACCTCGATGGACATCTATCAGCGAGCGATGCTCAGAGAAAAATTGAAGTCGCGAAAGAAGCCCATGCACGAGAGCCAACAACGTCGTCGACACAGCGAGACAGGGCAAAGATCAAAACGAGAAGTTGCCGATTCGCCGAGTCAGTGCCGCAAAGTTGAAACTGAACCATGCTCCAAACGTGAACTTTACGTGAACTTCAAGGAGATTGGTCTTACGGAGATTATTGCACCCGAGGGTTACGCTGCATATCAGTGCAGCGGACATTGCAAGTCGCCACTCAGTCAAGAACAAAAACCCACTAATCATGCGACCATACAGGTGACTTTTATTCCTTTAAATTCACGCGCTTTTCCATTCAATTTATTTTCAACTTTTTCTTTTATCTTATTTATATATTTATTTATTTTTTACTTTGATCCAAAAATTGTGAACACATGAATAATATTGCAGGGAATAGTGCAGAAAATGAATCTCTCTCAAAATGAAGGTGTCCAGATGCCATGCTGTGTTCCAGTAAGTTTGTCAAGTATCTCAATTCTTTACCACGACAATGACAAAGATGGAGTAGTATTGAAAAGTTATGAAGATATGTCGGTGGTTAGTTGTGGATGCCGTTAAAACACTGACGGTTATCGATGAACTTTTGTAGGGAAAATTATGCTTTAACGGAAATGTATATAATTTTTAGCCATTTAATTTAATAGAACTATGAATATTTTATTGCTTGTGTCGCTCAAGACTTTAGTAGTATTCGGAAGTAAGACAGCACAAGCGCATATAGAAAAAATTTAAACATTCCTAAAACAAACTTGATTGAATTTCAATGCGATATTCTCCAAGGATCGTTATCTTACTGCAAATGTAGACAAAACCGTGAAAAAATTTTGTATTTGTTGCTCATCGGCTTATGAATTATTTATACGTTTGCTTTGTATAAGTAACTTAATTTTTTATATAAGGCCCATAATTACATGAGCCATGGTGGTAAAATTAGAACATAAATTTATTGTCTATTTAAAATATAAACGTGAGAAGTGTTCAAGACGACTGGCATGATTTTGTAAAATTATTGTATTTATTTAATATTATTAAAATATAGAGTTGACGTAGATTTTCAACGAATATCATTATTCAGGCAATCATTTCATTACAACGCACAAGTAGCCGGATAATTTTTATGTCAGCATGGTATCATTCAAAGAGTTTCTCGAATTGGCTAAGAGCAAAAGACGAATGCCCGTCATTTTCTTAAGCAGTACATGAGACCAATTTTCCTTTTGCATTTATCAGGAGTTACGAAATTATCGAGTGAATTAGATGAAACAAGCTCGAAAATTCGCTTATTATCGTTAAAGCTTGGACGTTTTCTCACTCCTTTTTCCTTTTCCTACTTTTCTCGTGGTGTTATAGTCTTATATCTCTACGTCATCAACGTTTCGACGCCTCTGCAATCTTGAAATTCGCATCTCTCACTATTTTTAATTCGTCTTAGATTTATGGATTCGGCGATGCGATTAAAAATAGGCGAAGGCGGCACATTCCACGAAATTCGGCTCGATCACGCTTTTTTTATTTTCCTCAGCGTGGCGCCTTTTATTATTGTAGTATTAATTATTATGATACTTTCGAGTAAATAAATCCGAATCCCCAATACAACAAAGCTAAAAATATATATGTAGCGCCCCTGCCTTTAAGCGAAGTACATGCAGTGATCGCAGATTCAAACTTTCGAATAAAAAGTCACACATGGCGCTGACTCATCCAGGAGTAGGTAAGCGTGCACCTGCGCAACCGAGGGATATACGTACACGCTTGTGGGGTTCTCATCGTAGGAGGTGTACTTTTTTGCGCATACATACACGTGGCAGGGTTGCCATGGATACTAGCGTTTGCAAACAGACGCCACGATCCGAATGGCACTTGTCGTGGTAAGGTGGTATGGACTGGAGCACCTCGGACTTTGACGTCACTGGAAAAAAGGTGAGAGATAAAAGAGAGACGATGCACCGCTCGCGGCTCGACCGTTATACATGCCTCTCGCTTCAATCGCTTGGGAACAGGTTCTCCTTTCATCCTATCCTGCAAATTGCCGTACGCACTTACACACGCACGCACGCACGCACATACGGATAAACACACTTGTATACCTGGATGCGCGCCATATCCGTGGCATGCTAGTCGCGCACATCTATGGGTCGCGACATGATGTGCATATACACCGAGGCTTCAATGTTTCTTTATATTCATTTTTCTACCGTTGTTTGAGTGGCGTATTTCCTGTTTTTATTGCTTTGCTGCTTATCTTCCATAGTTTACTGTTCATTATGAGTTCAAAAGATGAAGTAAGATTTTTTAAGGTACGATTAATATGTACAATTTGAATACATTGAGCTCATTTATATTTGAATTGAAAATGTATCAAAACATTTTTGTTTTAATGATGATAGGACATCGTCATAGCAATTAATGTTGGTTTTATCAATTCTATACTATTTCAGCTTCACTCTTTAGTAAATTATTAGTCTTCTTAAGTTAATATAAATTTTTCAGATTCCAATTTTTCACATACGCGAATTGGTTATTTACATTTAAGCATGTGTGTGTGCGCGCGCGCGTGTGTGTGTATGTGTGCGTGTGTATTCAAGATTGATTGCGTTAATTAAAGTTATTATGGGATAAAAAGAAGTTTCCAAGTCATATATCTACTACATTATTCATCATTCTATACGCTGTGTACATATAACGAAATAATAGAATATGCAATGTCGTTTAACGATGATTTTTAACTAATTTAAAAAAAATCGTAAGTCGGTAATGATCTTGCGCGCGTTTCACTTGCAGCTAATTCCAAGATTAGGACGTCGAGCAAATCAAAGCAGCGTACAAGAGGAAAAATCCGACGATGACTTACTGGATAGTCCGGATTCATTGTCGTCGGGGAAATTATTGGCGAAGACGCAGGGACCGCCACCGGTACCACCTCGAGCTCGGAAAACTGGCTGGGGCGATGATCCCAAGAGTGCTAAGTAAGTTGATCTTGCGAGCTTTTAAGCAAGTGTATACATTAATTATCTTATTCATTACTACGTTACTGTTTTTCTTAGACATCGAAGTAACACGGCATCAATCGACCAGTAAGTCGAGTAGTTAAACTATTTTGCTTTTTGCTTTACAAAATTCAATAAGAAAAGGCATATTTGTTACAGTGAACGATTTTTAAGCAACAATAAAAATACAAAAGAAGATGGTAATAATTATAATCATATAGATTGCCTATTGCGATTAGAACCATTTTTAATACATCAATTGTTTCGTTGATAGATATCCCGGTGATACCAGACTTAGATGAAATAATTGAGGACACTGATGCACTGGATATCTCGCACATCCCAAAGTAAGTTATAAAATTACTTATTTTCAAAGTGCAAATGATAATTGTCAAATATTGGTAGAATTGGAGTTAATCGAGCAGCTGCGGCTTACAAGGAACTCGGCTCAGATCTTGACAAAAACAAGCTGTCATCAATGCTTGATGGTGTTGATCTAAGTCTTCTTACGGAACAGTTATACGCTGAGAATCTCGTTCAAGAACCCGATGAAGTCTGGACGTGGGAATCTTTGTTTACCCAAGTAGCTTCGGAAATAAACAGTGAATGGCAAACGAAAGCCAATGAAAAACCGCAGTGAATAACGTATTGTTAACAAACAATGTGTGGCCATGGAAAGGTTTAATATTTGTATTCACTATTGAATTGTATACAATCACTTTATCATAATGTCAATTGTGTAATTTATATTTCTGGTTGTTTAAAATTTGGAACGATGATGTTTGTCGTAAGATCAGCATTATCAAAGCTAATTTTTGATAAACTGTAATTTTTAAGACATTAGAGAAAATTCAGCTCTAATAATTGTAAGCTTTAGTGTAAAATATCTCAAAATAAAAATTAAATATGTTGCGAACAATATTAAAATAATAAAATGAATTGAATTTATTTATTCAATCAAAAGAAATGGCATACTGCGTAACAGCAGCGCCTTTCATATGGAAGTGACCAATTACCTCGTCTGACCTATTCGATTACCCCCCAATTTGGAAATCGCGGTAGTTCGAGGAGCGACGTGAAGACTCAACCGTGCAGACCAAGCAATGTCCGCGGCGTGATTGCTCCCAAGAGAGCTCACGTACACGGATCTGCCGGGCGCATCGGGAGCCCAACACAAGCTACTTGAAGCGACCACGTGACAACACCCACTGAGCAGATCTGCCATATATCTACTTTTAGCGATCAATGTTCAGCTGTGCCATCACTAGCACACACTTCCGATAGTAGTCGACGACTACTCCTCTTATATATGAATCGCCGACAATTATAGCCGCTCGCGGGACACGTTTGTATCGGTTTATCCATCTAGTGGACAACTACTGCCACTAAAAAAGAGCGCAACAAATCAAATCGTACGAGAGATTTACACATTTACCAATAAATTAATCGAGCTCAATTAACACTTTATATTATACATTTTTTAGTCGTTATTTAACAATCTACAGTAAACCAATTTATGAATAATTAAAATAAGTAACTGTTTGAAACAATAGTATAGTTGCAAAATGTTATTCTTGCAACTGCAACAAAATTCACTTAATAAAAACTGTTATGACGTTCCATAACCATAAACTAATAAGAAAGATCTATGATAAAGTACTGAAAGTCAATAAAACCATACTGAAAGTAAATATGGTAATAATATAGAATTTTAATTAATATATTGATGCTTTGAAGAAATGGGCTCACAATTTTCAAGAATAAAAAACGTTTCCACACAATATAAAGATTACCCCCCAGGATGTGTCCCTTGCCCACATGGAAACACCCCAGGAAATCCTGGTACTTTTGAAGAAATTCACAAGAAATTTGATAGTCTCAATCCCAAGCCTTTTCACGGTGTTAGAATTATAAAAAAAATTATTCTCAGCAAACATTTTTATGTCACTCACACAATTGGTATCAAATCTGATAGTTTATTATTGTTGGATGAAAAATCTCAATTCGACAAGGAAGAGCAGTTTGAGGGATATAAATTTGGAGCTTCATATGTTGGAACAAAAAGAGTTGGATATGCAGAGAAATATCCAATTCTTGATGGTGAAATTTTGCCAAATGGTGATTTAAAAGCAAACTTTGTTCATACTCTTGGTTGCAGATGTAGAATAAAAGTTTCAACGCAAGTAAAGAAAAGAGCTTATAAGAATCTCAAATTCACAACAGAATATCGATTAGACGATTTAACTTTGTCAGCTACATTGGTGGATCCTAAAATTTTAAAACAAGAAGGGGTCCTCATCTTGCAATACCTCCAAGCAATCACACCAAGAATAACACTGGGAGCTGAAATAGCATACAACAGAATACCTAATTTATCAAAACAACAATCAAATATTGCTTGTGCATTTCGGTACAGTACAGGATTCCGTACAATTTCTGCTACAGTAAGTCCTGCTGGATTTCGACTTTGTTATCATCAAAGACAAAGTTCACAGTTGCAAATGGGTGTAGAATTACAATCAAATATCATAAAACCTGATTGTAAAGCTAGATTATTTTATCAACTTCATTTACCAGCAGCAGATATGCTTTTCAAAGGATTTGTAGATACTCATTGGAAACTTGGTGCTGTTTTTGAAAAAAAACTCTATCCAATACCAGAGGCATCACTAATGCTGAGTGCACTTTTGGATCACTCCAAGCAAAATGTAAGTGTTGGCATTGGATTAAACATTGTTGGATAGTTATTATATGTCAAATACTAAATATTTATAATTAAAAAATAAAAATACATTGTAAACATTAATATTGTTGTAAAACTTTGTTATTAATAAAACTCAATTATCCTGGTATAAACAAACTAGATACCATTTATTTAACTTATGCTTATACTTTATTTTTATTTTACAACATGATGTCTCATTTGCATATTTCAGAAACAAACTTGTTATAAAATTGAATTTCAAAAATAAAGAAAATAAAGCATATACTTATATCAGATAACAAACTGATAACATATTTACATTTATCTCTTGCAAATGGTATGATTGCCAATTATTTAGCTTTTACTTGATTTTTTATATAAAAATGTTCAAGAAAGTTAGAATTTTAACTCCCTAATTTTAATTATTCATCTTCATTTGCTATCCTTTCATTATCTTCCTCCATGTTATTGTGCACTTGTAAATTTGACTTTGATTCATCAAAATTCATTAGAGCTTTTTCACTTATGAGACCATATGTATCATCCGCATGTTCTAGTATTTCACAAATAAGTGGTGATTCAACACCTAATACATATTCACATGAAGTAGGTTCAAGTAAATACAGTGACACACTAGATTGACTTCCCATAGGATTAGTAACACACTTCAATTTTACCTGTAATAAAAGTAAAGCAAAAAAAGTTATATTAATTTTCAATTAGGTATTACAATGTTTAAGATTATATTCAATTTTAAACATATAAATGAATTACTTACTTCTGTTTGACGAGGTTTTCCAGTTAAATCACAAATTGAACCATCACTGTAGAAATGAGAAACTTGCTTTCTCTTACCAATAGGTTTTGGCTTTTTGTTGGTATTAACTTCTATCCATTCTATATGTTTTTGTTTATTAAACACTCCTAAACTTAAAACTTTCTTGTTCCCTCCACTTTCGATATGGTATTGACTAACTGTACGACCATAGCAAAATTCGTATTTCCACCAACCATTACCCTAAAATAAAAAATAATTGAATTGATACTTTTCTCAATAAATTTATTATGTTCATTTTTGTTTATTACCCACCCCATTCAAACAGTTTTGTCCACTCAAAAAGTTTCGAATTGAATTGCTTTTAGCCAATTCATTTCCTTCTTCAGTTGATGGATTGAGAACATCATCAAGAGTGAATTGCTTTCCATTTGAATCTATTGGGTGAACTTCAACTCTCAATTGAGGCTGGCCATCCTACAAAAATTACAATCTGATTGCAAAACCTTCTCAAAAATCTATATTAAACATTCTAGATGTCCTATTGTAAAATAATACTTTGTAGTAAACTCATTGAGATTTGAAACAAAACAAAGTTTCAGAAATATAATGAAGATAATGTTAATAATTAATAAGAAAATATTAAACTGGTTTATAGGCTTAGTTTTTGTTGTTTTAGAAGCTTATGTTAGTAGAAGGATTAGTTTAAAAATATTATTGAAGCAGCTTGATATTTCACCTTGAACATAGTTTGTAATAAGCACTTGCCCGGTTAAAAATGCAAAAAATATTCTAACCTGACTATCCTTATCTATACGGAAGATCAGATTGACTTTTTGAGGCTTCTCATCCTGAAGAAAAAATAATCAGCACACATCCTTTTGCAAATTCTTATAAAAATTTGCACCAATGTATTATTTTTGTTTGAAACAAAGTTTTAAAAAATTGCAATATTCAATATTATTAATCAGTAAACTATACTATAGTAAGCTTGTTATAATGAAACAAAAAAACAGAAAAAGAAACAATCATATTATTGAAAAGAACTAACATAGGGTCTTGATACTGAAAATAAAGATAAAAATTATTAAATTCCTTAAGGTCTTATTAAATTACCATCACTTTCTGTTGCCTTAATTTTAAGCTTTCTGATTCCATAACCATTAACGATAATGGTTTTTTAGGTGCATCATCTATGGGTCTGCAATTAATCTTGTGCTCTCCAGTATCTTGTGGTTTGTAATCAGGATGGTTACACAGTAATGGTGTAAGAACGATAGTTTCATATTCACAAGTAGCAGTTTCTTTAACGGAATAAATTTCTTGTTTTCCATGTTGATAACACACATATAAAACTTTGATGGACCTGGGCTTATTGTTTATATCACACATAGTTCCATCTGACATTTCAATCTCAACATAGGGCATATTGACCCCATCGATTTTTTTTAAAGGAATCTCAGACTTCCTATTTGGATTCTTAGAATATTCATTATATTCTCCAATCAGTTTTTTTACTTGAAAAGCATCAAATTTTCCCAATTCATATTTCTGAACTTTAACTTTTTTCCCATCACGTTCTTCATGGTATTGCTGTACATATCTTCCATGACAAAGTTCATAAGTCCAGTAAGATTCTATCTATAATATGAATTTTTATTAAATATTATCAAAAATATATAACTAAAAGTCTATCATAATAACTTGAATTATTGAAATCACATAATATAAATTATTTACCCTGTAAGAGCATGCATTCTGATCAAACAATACTGATAAATATTCTATAGGGTTTGGCCCAGTATATACCATATTTGGCTTAAGTTCATTTTCTGATACTTCTGGAATGAAGCAATGATATTTCTCATTGTTTGCTGATGTTATCGTATATGACTCTGCATTTGCCTGAGTATCCTAAAAGAATAAATAGTATCATTTAAACAATAATAAGTAGTTAACTCTAAGTAGATACACAGCCGTTTAAAATAAACAAATAACTTCTGTGTTAACATTAAGAAAGATAATATTTGCTTGTATTGTCTGTTGCCTGTATATTAAAAAAAAGACTAGAAGCAATACAATTCTTGTATAACCTTAAAAAACTTTACAAAAATACAGCGTAAAAAATAAACAATTACTAATTTGAACATGATACTTACAAGTAAATCAGATACAGTTTTTCCAGGCCAGTTTATTTTGAACAAGACAGTATCATCAAAAGCTTTCAAATCGTAGCCAAATGTGGAAACAAAAATATTGATAATGAAAAAGACATGATAAATGTAAGTCCAATGCATTTTGCCAGTCTTTATTCCACTTGCTTAAACTTTTGCACTCTTAATTTTTACATATTTCGTCAACGAGAAGTGCTATTACCATTGTTAGGTATCAGTTTATAAAAAAAACTTGATGCATTACCGCGTTGATACGATACTCGCAAGCTTCACGATGTGCATGCGTGGATTGAAAACGACAGTTCAGCGTGCGTAGACGTTCTAGGGTTCTAGACGTTTTGCTTCGAGCTCGTGATTAAACTCACAACAGTCGATATATCAAGTCCACGTGCTGTGTTACGACTCGCTTATCCGCATATATTTTATTAATAATTGACCAATCAGGTTTTTAACACAAAAAGTTAAAATATAAATAACATTTTATTATATGCCAATATCACTTATTCAATAATGATAATGTTATTTATTGAACTAGAAATTTTAAAAGTTCAATGAACAAAACTTGAAATGTAAAATTATATAAGTATATACATTGTTAACATAAAAAGATATTTATGAAGAGAATAAGCATATACATAAATTTATATTTTGAATATATATTTAAAATACCTCGTTTTTTTTCATAGATTATACTACTAAAGACAAATTGAATGAAAATATATTGAACTGTGTAAAAATATGTATTTATTTAATTGCGTTACTTCATTAGCATTATATTACAATATTTTTTTAATTGGAAGTATCAGAAAATATTGACATATAGACTTGATTGAACATTGGCGCGCTGGCCGGAGCGCACATATACATATATATAATTACGCAAGAAAATGTATATAGCATAAATCTAACCTAACCTCTGCAGATGTCTGCGGCCGCGCGGAGAGCGCGACTCGCGAATCGGAGCAATAATCAACGAGCCAAAACCAACTAACCCTATCCAGCAAAGATCACCACAGTCTAACAAGTATAAATTGGACTGGGTGTAACAGTGCATACATATCCATAAAAAGTCTAAAAACGCTTCGCTTCAGCAGCAGAGCAACCAGTCCTCTTCTCCTTCTCTCACTCCAGTAGTATCTTGCAAACATTTTAATGTGCTCGGTTATTGCATTCCGCAAGAAGGATATATTTTGATTCGTAATCAATCGGCTGTGTTGGTTATTCCGCAAGGAAGACAAGCTAAGCACTACGATAAGCTAAGCTGAAAGTTTGATTGCCAGACGAATTCAATTGTAAAATGTCTGATCAACGACGTCGTCGAAAGTCCGGCGGTTCTGATGACCTTTCTGACTCTTACAACGAGCTCAATGTCTCTAAGGAAACACAGGTGAGTAACCCTCATATACCGCTCTTTTTCTTGGCCCAGCGAGCCATAATGATAAGCAATTTTCAAGGCTAATTTTTGACCTCGCGTCATCTTTTGATAACGATTCTAGGGTTCAAGCATGATTGCAAATATGATTTGATACCTCTCACAAGTAATTATCCAATTTGATCAATTTCATTCTTAAACTCCAATAATTCCGATTTCAGAGCAAATGTCGTTTATTATTGTTTATGTACTAGTTTTTACAACAAGTTAATCTTTCTATATGACTAGGTGCTTGTTTCAGAATATACATTTCTTATACTTAATAAATTAATAAATTTCTTTTTAAAAGTGATGCATGATAAGTTGAATTTTGGAATATTGAAGGAATCAGTTGCAATGGTTTTATAACTAATAGCAAGGAAAAGTGAATCTTACATGACCTAAAAAGTTGACCTTTTTAACTTTTCATGACCAATCTGGCCTTTGTGCTCCAATCGTAGATTTGTGTTTTATCAATTGATATAATACTTGTTATTTTCTTGAACTGCTATTTATTATTCAAAAATAGTTTAATAAATTTAAGATTTATTAAATTGTACTAATCTTTATTTTGTTGTTATAAAGATCTTCAATATGTTATTTACTAGTTAACTACATTCTAATTACTATATATTTTTATATTAAAATTACAGAGCAGTGAACATACTAAAGAGTCCCATGACTCTGAATATGATACTGCAGGGAGTGAATCAGATGCAGAATCGCAGGAAAGAGCTCAAAGAGAAAGTGGAGATGGTCAGGAAGAAGAAATACCTCAGAAAAAGTTGGATGATGATGAAGATCGCAGAAATCCACAGTACATTCCTAAAAGAGGTACCTTTTATGAGCATGATGATAGAACAGCAGAGGAGGTTAGCAAGGAACCTGTAGAGACACCAGCAGAACGAGAGGTAAAAGAGAAGAAAGTTTGGAAAGATAAGGAAGACAGATGGGATCATGATAGATACAACGATGAAGAGCAAGCTCCTAAAAGCCATGCTGAACTGATAGCAGTTTATGGGTATGATATAAGGAATGAAGAAGGACCTCCGAGAGCCAGAAGGAGAAGAAGATATGGGTATGTAAAATTAGATTACAAATGGTAAAAAATAGTGGGATTTTTATACAAATTTTTTCTTTAGTCGAGGTCCAAATAAATATACTCGTAATTGGGAAGATGAAGATGCTTATGGGAAAGCTGGAGGGAATGTGCCTGCTTTTAAAAATACTACTAGGAAACCTAATCGTTCTGGAGAAGAATTCCCATTATTAACACCAAAAGATAATGTAAATTTAATAACACTATTTATTAGATTTTATTTGAATTTTGATAACAAGTTAATCTTTTTAAAGGAGGATAATGCCAGAAAAATGGAAGATCAACCAGTTATTACATCTGCTTGGTACAGTAATAAAAATAAGTCCCATGTTAACAAAGCACAGAATTTCCTTGCTTTACAGCAGACTGAAACTCAAAAGGCGAAATCTAAACAGTTTGTAAATAGTCAATTGTAAGTACAATTCTTATTAATACAAGTTATAACATTTGTTTCATTTTAAAAAAATGTTTTGATTATTTGGAATAACTATTTATACAATTTTTCATTTTTCATTCTAGAACTGAAAATAAAACTTCAAATGAACGTAACAATATGACATGGAAGAAAGATCCTAAAAATACTTCATTGATTCAAAATGCAAATGACAACAGTGTACACAGTCTTGAGGCTGAAAAAATAGTAATCGTCAAAACGACACCGCGAGAAATCAAAAGACCACCTCAAGTACAGGAGTCCATTAGTCTTATTACAAATAAAAGTCGTGGTCGAGGTTTTAAAGCAAACACAAACAACAACCTACCTGGTACTAGAACAATAGAGTCGCGACCAAAGGGAAGAGGCCCAATGGCTGTTGACAACAGAAGAGTGGAACACGAACAATTAACGAATGATATGAAACATCTAAATGTATCGGCAGACGGTCCATCTTATCATCATGCTGCAAGACAAACGAGTATGTTCTTGTCCGCAAAAATTTTTATCCTAAAATTTGAATTAAAATTTAAAACAAATTATGTAAAACTTTTCACATCCACAGAGCAATTCTACTCTCAGCCATCTAGTCAACAACACTCGACAGTAGTTCCTCCACGCATGCATCAGGCTCATCCACAGCAACAGCAGGCATCTCCTTCGCAACAGCAATCACCGCAACAACCACCTCAGCAAGATATTGTTTCGAATCGACCGAAACGCTACTCCAGCCTTCGCCAAAGACCTGCTATCGCAGAGGGGCCCTCAGCTCCGGCTCAACCGAACTATCAACCTCCTCCACAGCATACTTACTATCCTCCACCACCTCAAGGTACAGTTTAATTAATTATTCATGACTCTCTATTAACGACAACATTCTAATTTTCTTATACTACTTAATTATCATATCGTTTATGCTTTTATGTAATTGATAATAATACTTTCTTTAAATTTTTATGACTAAAGAATTTCTGACCATTTACAGTTTTGTTGACTTTGTAGTCTTTTCATTTTTTTTATCTTTTGAAAAATACCTAATGTAAAATGCATCACTTGAAAAAAGGTTAACGATTGATGTTAATATTTTAACCTTCGTGTTCAAACAGTTTTTTAATTAACAAAAATTCTATATCCACATGTACCAATTAGGTGGAAGTTCGCGAGCAGTTTTAGAAACACAAGGTAAGATAACAGTAAATAAAACAAGCTGCAAAATTTTGTGTTACTCATTGTTTTTCTTTGTGCATGTGTGAGTTTTGATATTGGTCGTATTGAGAACGTATATCAATACGTATATATTCTCATCTTGCAATAAACTTACATATTTACTCGATTCAAATTAAATTCGCAACTCCATTGAAGTAGTCACGGCTCATGAACAAAAACGCGCACTTGGTTCATCGTAAAGTGATTGTTCAGTGTATTATTGAAATTGCATGCAACTTATCAAACAAGAGCTCACCTATTTTTAAGAATTGCTTGGCTACAAAGAGCGAAACTTGTCTAAGACAATAAAGCTGTTAAAAAAAACTCATTTAAATTTTCTTCGTTGCTTGAATCATGCTTCGAGTAGATTTGTTTATTTTTCAGCGTGCTTCATTATCCATTCCATCAGAGTATTGTTATATGGAAAAGTCATTTAGAAATTCATTCATTAGTGTAACCCACATATTTCTTTTTCAGGATACCCACCAAGTCCTTACGAGCAACCAACGCCTGTGGCAGCTCCGGCGGCTACAATGCCGGGACAGCCGGTAGTACCGATACCCCAGCCGCCGACTTATGCGCCTCACGGTCCGCCACCTTTCCTGGTACCACCACCACAATTTATACCCCCACAAACTGCTCCGCCTAGTATTATCAACTACGTGCCGGGACCTAACGGACCCATCTTCCAACCTAACTATCAGGGATACAATCCGGTGAATAATTTTAATTTTTTTAGAGTACTTTCAAATTAAATTGATGTTGTGGGAAGAATTTTGAATGGTTTTTTTAAAAGCGTTTTGATAAACGTGTACCTGCTATTTTGAAATCTTATAGGAAAATAACAATTCATTCATTTTAGTCACCTGGTCCACCAGCGCCGCAAGATGTAGGCCTATACCAGCCCCAAGGTTGTACCTATTATAGTCCAGCCCAGCAACAGCAGCAGCAACAACAACAACCAGTTCCTCTGAGACGACCGAAAGCTGCAATACCAATACTTCCACCACCCGACAATCTTCAGAACCCGGGAGTTCGAGTATCGAATCGCGGCGTTCACGCGCAACAAGACCATCAGCAACAACTTCAGCAAGAGCAATTGGTTCAGCAGCAACTCCAACAGCAGCAACAACAGCAAGAACAACTTGTGCAGCAACAGCTTCAGCAGCATCAGCAACAGTTAATTCAAGAGCAACAGCAAGAATTACAGGCCCAACAGGAAAGGCAATTACAACAAGAAAGGCTGTTACTGAAAGAGCGCGAGGAAAAGCTCTTGAAAGTGCAGCAAGAAAAAATACTAAAAGAGCAACAAGAAAAGGAACAACAGCAGCAACTGATCAAACAAAAGCAGCAAGACCAGACCGAGCAAAAGCAGACTGTTGAACCAAGCGATGAGTCTTTAAAGGACGACATGGTATATCAGAGTGTGACCGAGCAACTAGTAGAAGAAGCAATCGATGTAGATAGAAAAGTTGATGTCGAGAAAGCGGTTTCGGGTGCATCGGATATAAAAGCTGATTTCGAAGAGAAACTGAATACTGGATATCCCGAGGTTAGCTTTGTCAAGAGTATGGAAGAAAAAATAGTTGAAACACCCATTATTAAAGAACTCGAAGTTGAAAAGAAAGATGTTTTGTCGAAAATAAAAACCGTCATTCCCGATGTGGTGGCTGCTGTAATTGATGAGAAAACAACGATAGAAGCCGAAATTATAGCTACAAGTGAGGAATCAAAAGACCTTCCAACACAAACGTCAGAGCTGGTGAACGTTAAGAGCGAAACGGATTGTAGTGTTAAGGAAAGTACTGTGATTGAGGAAGCAGCAGCCTAAAAGAAGTTAGAGAAATGAAAGTGTTCTTTGCAGGTTTTTAGAATAACTCCTTTTTATTGTAACACTGTTACCATTGAACTTATATATATCATGCTGAGGCAATTGACATAACCACTTTTGCATCTTATGAAAATTCAATTATATATATTATGAAAATTCGTTGCTTTGGCCGAACGAATCAAAAATAATATAATAATAAGATTTATCTTTTTACAATCATGATAATAATATTGCCTTAATGGCAGTATATATAATTTATTCATACTTTCATCACTGTTAATTGCAGAAAAGAAACTATATTTTGTCATTTGGTTTGGTTTCCTTTCAATGGACACATATTGACGATGCGTGTAAATAAAATTTGAGACAGATCGTGGAGTCGCGAAAGTTTTTTCATATATTTTTTTTATTTGTACAAAAACAAATGTACATCGATTATGATTCGATCAATTCATAACAAGAGCTACGTAGTGCACTTAGTATCTTGTAATATTCCAAATGCGATATCAAGCATCCTAGACGCTTTTCAACAACTTTTTACTTTTACATGATCTTAACATTATACTAATGATTCTAAAATGTAGTAAAATTGTTATTCGAAATATTAGTAAAGTTTATAATGTAAATGAAAAGTTGAAATTGATTTAGAACAGGCAGCATTGAATTAAAGTACACACTGTTTCTGTTGCTACTATTTTAGGCTAAATTTTCAAGTCGTACTTTCAACAAAATAGTTAGAAATCTTGCGTTTTTATGTACTATCATGCACTTCAAAAATGTGTCATCTTTGCATAAGCATTGATTTTCTTACCGCAAAATTGAGTTGTACAAGAAAGTTAACTACATAATTGCATACGTCAGCACGTACACACAGATGTACCGATGTTCGAATAATTTACATATTACTGTATGTAAAAGGTCAAACGCTACACTAATGATTGTTACTATTGTACGAAAACATGATGTGTAAGACTTGTATATTTTGTAGTTGATCGTTCGATCACTGTACTCGATATTAATGAGTGATCCGTGCTTTTGTCTAAAATTATTGCTAATTATATAATGCGATAAAATACTATGAGTTATTCCGCTGTTCTCTAATACTGAGTTGCTTATTCTTTCTTTATTTGTACTCGATTTTGTATAAGAAACAATGACTTTCTTCATAATTGTAATAAATTTACGCCTTTAATGCCAGAAAGATAACAAAAATATTCACGATTCAAAATGTATATTGTAAATAACAAAAATATAGAAAATGAAGTAAATATTTAAATTGGTTTGTTTTTTTGTCTTTTCAATCTTTAAGTACAACCCTTTGATTGAATGATTTAACAAACTTACGTTTTATTTGTAACATTAATGCAGACACTTTTAAATGATTACATATATATTTAATTTAAATACAATTTACGTTTTATAATTAGTATCTATCTACACATATATATTAAACAATAGTATCTTATTATTTCAGCTAATCAATTATACGATTTGTCTCAAAATAATTACGTACTTTAATTAATTAGCATACACATCAATATGTCTTATCTTTATAACTTACATTAATAAGAAGTATAAAAGGTATACACTTATTTGTTCAAATGTTGAAATAAAAAAATAGAAAATAAAATTATAGTTATCTGAAGTCAGTCTTTATCGTATAACATAACAAACATGGATATTTTCTTGTCATTACTATAAATTACATTCATTAGGAATTCGGTTTAGTGTAATATTAATTTTAGTTTTTCAGCGATGTACGTATCTTCAGTGCCGAGCGTCCTCATTGTTGATTTTCAAATAATTTAAGGAATGGATCTTCATGCTGTTATGCAATCTTATAGATGACCTGGCTGCTGGAAAAATTTTAGTATCATTAATTACATTAAAAAAGTCTATGAAGGCCTAATAATTTCATTTACAACAGTTAAAATAGGTCTTAGACAAATATGTACATACATAAAAGTAAACTAAGAAAAGAAGAAAAATATAAGCTATATTAATTATTTTTTGTTTTGGCAAATCATTAGAGAGAAATCGTCACAATTCGTCTCGATAGTATAGTTAAATATTAATGGAGGGCCCTTAGAACTTAGATTTTAATGAAAAACATTATCGTTACCTTTATTAAAATTCAAAATCTAATATAGAATGTGAGTATCAATGAGGAAATCAAAGCGGAAAATTTATACGATTATAATTGTAAAATAAAAATTGAAAACATTGACGCCTACTATTATCGTTCATCTTTACAAGCGTACTAAATTCAAAAAATATTTGTTGTTAAGAAATACTCTGATTCGACAAATCCAATACACGAAATAAAAATTATGCTTTCATGAAAAAAAATATCCGCCATTTTTGCTAGTCTGTGTAAACATGCGCGCAAATTCCATTCTCTATGGCTATGGCTAGTGCGATAAGTAAGTGAAGAATGCAACAACGGAGATAAAAGGGAATAAATTTTGTGATAAAATTTGCCGTTATCGTAAAAGAGTCTTGGCTTCCTGGAGGAATGAGCAGAAGTTACAAAAATAGTAAACACAGGCGAGAGCGCGACGACAATGAGGATCGCAGCTTGATGAAGAATATCTAATCAAGATATCGAATGCGAGCGCAGAACTAGTTATCCGAGCTCAGTCAGCGCATACGTGTTCAAGGAAGAGGAGGATAAAAGAAAGCTTACCGGCTGCAAATAGAGTGCTGGCCGCGTAATCCCGATTGTGCATATCAGGAAAGAGCAGTTCGCTGAGTGTGCTGGTCGGTTCAGAACGGCTTATCGGTGCTCCGAGTAATGATAAGTCGGCTGGTGAGAGCTCGCGCAGACGGCGCCGCCGAGTGGGACGCACTTCGTGCTGTGACCAACATTGTTATTGTTATTGAGCTTGGTCTGCTGATGCACTGATCTACGATACTTGAGGTAGTAGGCGTAGCTCTGCGACATACCTGCCATCCGATAAGCCATGTCGCCGCCGCGGCTGTTGTTCAACGAGCCGTTGCTCGGCCAGCAAAACGTGCGCTTGAACTCCGTGCGGAACTTGCCTGGCCGTTTACACGGTCCACCACAGTCGCCAGTACGTGCGTGAAACATAATGTAACGTAGTTCGTTAGTCTTGTTTGCTTCTGACCGCATTAGTCACAAAAACTTTGCAAAAAGCTTGGGATCCAACCGGCTACACAATTCCTACTAACGTTTTATCAGTTACATAGCTTTCCGTCGAATAAATCACATTTTTTGCTTACTGATTAGATATTGCTCGCTAGCTTTGATCCTTTACCGCTGGGAATAACTTTAATGGAGTTTCAGATATCTCGGTTGAAAGTTAGCTGCAAGGAATTTCCTATATTGATCCACGAATTGGAATTTTTTTTTTTGCAACATGTGTGAATGCTTCTAAAATTAAGTTATAAATAGACGTCTTATGAAGAGACTTCAGCATTTTCTTTTTACGATTTATATACTTGTTTGAAAAATACGCGTTCGCCAAACTTATTAATGATTACATATTAATAAAATTGTTTAAACATGACTTCAAAAAGATTATCAATATCTATAACCGTGTCCTCTCGATGTCGCACTTTAATTTTATGTATACTTTAATAATCTTTTTATCTGTGTTAAGAACAAACGTTTTCAGCCAACTTTTGTCTCAGAGAGTTACTTTTTAATCAATGATGATGTAGCATGTCGAAAAAACTTTCGTTATTTGAATAGCGTTCCAACCGCGTAAGCATTCTATGCTATTTGTTTTGTTTTTAAATTTTTAGCTGAAGAAAACAATTCTTTAAATAAACGGGTAATAATATCAAGTTTTCTTTTTTTTTGGATAGAATATTAAAATATGGAAATAATGAGATACAAATTGAAAAAAATTTAAGCGGTTTATATGCGAATGTTCAATTTAAAGCTTTTCTGTACGAGAGCTGTTGTGTCTCGATTATTAAACAAATAAAAACTAAAATATGTAGATAAAATATGAGTTTTATATTGTTTATCTTTCATGACTGTATCGCTAATAAATAAATATGCAAGTTAGAAGATTTAGTACTCGTGTATAATCTAATTGTTTAATAAATAAACATATTAAAAATAGATTGTTTTCATTAATATCGTGTTCGATCAAGTAGAAAAACATCTTAAATTTATAGCATCTGTGTACTACGGTTTTCACTAAAATCGGAAAAATAATTACATCTTTGAACATACGATTACCATATAAGAGGCATATTTTTTAAATTATTTAATTAGCTATCTTATTATTGATGCTTAGTATTGTTTTCGTCTGTCGGCCATATATCAAGCGTATTCCTGATCTTTTGATTACTTGCACCCCCATCAACAACCACCGAATTGGAAGACAGTAAGAGTTATTTCATATCTCTCAATTAATTGAGAGAGAGAACGAACAGATAAGCTAGAGTGGCATTTATTGAGACAACTAGCCTTTCGAGACGCTCGCATACTCTATGAAGTTTACGTTCCCCTTATCGCCTCCTCTTTTCGACCTCATCCTTTAACACTGTATTGATTAAATTAGACAAAAATAATGCTGAATACTTGAAAAATCGTATAATAGTTAGTAATACTATAATAAAATGCTAATTGAATTTCAATGCCGTGCACAACTTCTATTTTAAATTATTGTAATTCGTAATTTGAATATTAATATGTAGTCTTATCGAGATTCACATATAATACAAAAAATTCATAGAAATAATAATAGTAAGTATCACCTCTTTATAATATTATATATCAGAATTGATGTAACAAATTAATTAAACTAATAAATATTTACAATTGCAAACTTTAAACGTAGGTTGCCACTTGAAACCCACTAATTGTATATTTAAAAGTCTGTGGCAAAAATGATGAAAAGTCTGACGTCCAAGAAAGAAGTTTTTTCATTTTACTAATTTTTCATACAGATTATATAGCCATGTACGAGTTCAATTACGTATACACGTACTAGGAATGTAAACATCAATTGATTTACAATAACAACTTTTATGAAATACTATCGGTTTAAGAAAAACATGCAGTTTCATGATCGATTTATGTCCATGGAACGCCTATAAATGTTTTAATGTAACTGCTCATGATATATAACGTAGTTTGACTGGGATAATATTCCACATAAAATAGACACCTGATACGAAGTCGTAGGTGGAAAACAGTATACAGTTTGTGTACAGTAGCTTATACACTAAGGGGTTACCAGTTTCATGGACAAAACGTGTACAGTATATTAAATTACAATAGGACCGGATTGAGATAATTACTCATACAGATTGAAAAATGTTTGTTTCGAGCCGCTATGACATCACTTTTGTAATTAAGCAACTATAATTGTTTTAATTTTAATTCTGCGCGTGTGCGTAACTGTTTAAAAGTTAAGTAATCTTTTTCCCACATGCTTGTGTCAGCTGTATACCAAAGGACTTTTTTATAAGAAATATGTTACTTTTTTAAAAACTGCAATATTACTAAAAGAACAAAAAATATGTTCAAATCAGCAGTCGTAAATAATGCATTTATACATGTGAGATCAGTGAGCTGATTACTTTTTTGCCGCCAGGCTATATATCAAATACATAATATTGATTTAGATTTCAGTTATATTTACAATTTTATCAATTGTACACTGATGAGAACTAACAGAAAAATGACTGCTTTAATCATAAGGATAGATTTAGTATTAGTTCAAATATTCCCATCAATATTGTCATCAATATTTGAACACACACAATGTATAATACATACACTTTGCATTTTCTAGTAAGGTAAAACAGAACTTTATTTTAAAAATATTTCATGCAAGCAAGTATGAATAATGAAAAGTTCTTGTTAATGCGTGCGTTAAAAAACGTTCAAGTTATTACAACATTTATTATAACAACAATTTTTTAATATAATCTGTAAGAGTAATCGAGCATTAAATGGTTAATTGCATTACTGGAATACTCTATTATTTATACTTTATTATTTACTTACCGCTCATGAAATTGTAAATTAGCGGATTGATAGCACTGTTGGCGTAAAGAAGCCAGTGGATAAGACAACTCATTGCGGTGTTGAACTTGGTTACTTTTATATTCATGTTTTCCCTGAAAAATGTTGAAATAAATACTTAGTGACACTGTGTGTTGGAGCATCTACATGATTACAATTTTCTGAAAGATGGAATATTAAATAAGACTTGACTGTGACACAAAGTAAGGTAGCATCATCGATAATACCAATTTACTCGATAAATAATTATCAATATTTATGCATTAAAATGATTGCGAGACAAGACGGTAAAGATGAGCACGTTAGATATCACTAATATCTTTCAGTTTTAGAAAAATTTAAAGTTTTTTACGTGACTTCATGCGTACAAGTTTCAAAAGTTAGCTTTTATAATTGGTGCTGATCAAAAGAATTATATGATATGAAAATGAAAAAATTTTTTTTTTAACTTCCCTACAACCGATTATATAATATGACACGAAGTGATTGGTTGTTGGAAAATTGAATGGACAAACTTTTTTATTTTCATATCATATAATTCTTTTGATCAGCACCAATTGCGAAAACTAATATTTTGAAACTTGTACGCATGAAAACACGGATAAAAAGTTACGTTTTTTTAAAACTTAAAGATATGAGTGATGTCTAACGTGCTCATCTTTATCGTTTTGTCTCGCATTCATTTTGATCAAAACTGTTATTGGCAAAATTGATTAAATTCGAAAATTTAACACGTAATAAATATTTTCATGAGTTGATATGAGATATAGTCAATGATCAGTAGTTTCAAGTTTTTGTCATCCCAAGATCTGTGTTGGAAAATTATCATTCAAAAATTAAAAATCACAATAAAAAATGTTTATATTACAACTTATGTTCTAAAAACATTGCAGTTCTCTATAATCATATTCTTTACGATGTAAATAACCTACTTCGGTAGATGTTTATGGTTTCGTATTTTACATAAAAAAGAAAAACTTGCAATATAAAAAGTATTTCATAACTTATTTAATGTCTTTTTTTCCTTCTTGTAAAGTCTAAATAACCTAGACGAAATTTTAGTTACGAAAAAATATTATACCTATAAATTATACAAAATTTAAGTGTAGAATAGCAATTTTTACGAATCTTTTGTGTAGAATATAACTTCTTTTTTCTATTGTTCATCAAGTGTGTAAGAAAAAAATGAGGCATAATTTTATATTTTAATTTAAAATATAAGTGTAGTACACCTCGTGTGGAATATTCAATTTAAGATACATTAAATAACTTGAGTGTGTAGATTGTAATATGATTTAACTTTTAACAAATATTTATTTTGTACAATAATATTACAGATATGATGTGTAGTACAGATATTATGTGTAAAGTAATATAATTAAAAAATAACGATTTTCAATTAATACGTGAATAATTCTCAGGTACAGTAATGCAACCTTGCCTAAAAATCGTGATATTATATTCTCAAATTGATCGAAATATATTGAACTTAATAACTACAAAGGGTTCTGAAAAAGACTTAATTACATTTATTAAATTATTTTATGTATTGATTGAAAGCTAAATCGTACATTTAGTATCACAAAAAAATAAAAACAAATTTGACGAATTAACAAAATTTGCAAAAACTTGATTTGGAAGAAATAAAAAATTGGTTAGAATGTAGATAGTGAAAGAAGCAAAATTTTCTCACCTGAGGATTAAGAAGAAATGTACTGGGAAGCAGCAAATAGCGAACATGAGAACCACAGCGACCAGCATCTTAGCAGCTTTCCTACGGGATTTCAGTTGCCCTTCGGGATTACCAACGCTCGTCTGCGAGCTCAAATCATTGGCGTTGATAATCCTTGTTGACACTGCAACCGTACCATTTTTCTCCTGTTAGAATATAAGCTTCGAGATGCTACTGTCAATCGGGACTATAAGAGACTAACACTATTGCGAGTTCACTTTTCCAGTACACTTGAGATATTTCTAGTTATTCTTAAGATAAGGAATTTAATAGCAAGCGATAGTGATATAATTAATATGAAAAACTGCTACCAATCGCATAGGTGGAGTGCATCTCAAAAGAAAGAAATAAGCTATGGTTTTTCCTTTTACTACGCCCAATAAGTAGAGTACAAATTTTTTTTTAAATAGCTCTTAAAAAAGTATACAAGTATTTGAATTAAATTTGAAGTCATTAAACTAAGTACAAAGACGAATTTTCATTTGAAGAAAGGCTTGAAATAATTTTTTACTTCATAGATCATTATCTGTAAGAATTTAAAGAAATATTACATTTATTCCATAAACAGAATCGCAACAATGATCTTCAGACCGCAAGTACATCCGCGAAAATATTTTAAATTTGAGATCCATGTGGTAGTAAAATTACGCCAAAAATCCGAACAAACATTTTCTTGAAAACAAAGCTTCTTCTTCAAGGAAGCAAAACTAATTAGAAATTTTCGATTATTCCAATGTCATTATGATAGTCAAAAATCTAATAATTGTAAAATAAAGTTATAAAACAAATTGGTGCAAATTTATACGTATGTAAATTAATTGCATTAAGACTCACGATTGTGATGTCCAGGGATATCGTTTCTCCAGAGCACTCGAATTATTTGGCAATACGCAAAGCTCATGAACGTAAGCGGCGCCGTGTATAACAATATAAATTTCAGGATTGTGAAGGTCCTCTGACTATGTATGCTCCATGACGGCGAGCACTGGGTAAACAATACTGTCACCGAAGCATAATACGCTGCCGTATCTCTTCTCGTTGTCATCACTATCAAATCTGGAATGTCTTCAAAAAAAAATACGTTGTTTATCATCAATATTCAATCTTTTTTAAAGCAAACAATATAACAACTCACCAAAAGTAAGGGCTACAGCCCAAATGATGAAGATGGCGGTTTTTGCACGACCAGTTGTCGATTTAAATCTCAGCGGGTAACAAATTGCGTACCACCTGTCTATTGATATGAAAGTCAATGTCAGCACGCTTACGGTCACTGAAACAGTCTAATTAGAAAAAAAACATAATTAAATAACGTTATTTTAACATTTTTCACACATTTTATAGTGTGAGTCATGGCAATGTATAATATTGTATATTCATATTCTACCTAGTTAACTTGATAAATAGAGAGGAGTATGTATTCGACAAAGTTAACTTTTTCCAAAATGAACTAACCGTTCTAATTCACATAAATATATATTCATATAAATATTTCCTGAAAAAAGAAAGTTCTTTGAAAATAATCACTTTATAGAGGTTGCTCTATTCAAATCAACATTTCATGTTGTTGCGAGAAGCTTAATTTTAGATATCATGTTCTAGAGATTATTGTCGAAAAATCTTTGGGGGTTGGTTAAATTGAAAAGCTCGTTGTCAGTTGTTTTAGTGTAAAAGTAATTTTATTTTTATTTTTACTTTGTCGAGCAGATTATATGAAACGTAAAGTAAATTCGTGATTACTCCAAATCTAAAAAATAAATAGATATATGTATACATAAACTAAGTGTGTAATCAGATCATTAGTTAGCATAATTAAACGCTTGGAATATAATTAGCTTCTAAACTCAAGATAATGAACTTGCTAAACTGCAACACTAATCTTGAGTATAAGGACAAAGATTAATACGACGTAATTGCGTCTCGGCATGCGTCTCGTGTTCCTCAAAAGTCTCAATTACCAGCAACACTTGATTTATCATCCGTTCGTAAAGATTAAAAAAGAGTTCAGCACTTCTCCTTATGTACACTTACATACATATGTTATTTGTCGCAGAGAAGTTATCCAATTTTATCACACTCACTAACCGTAGTAGCGGGAAAATTATTAATCATAATAATAATAATAAATTATAATCATGATTGTAATTATGAGAAAGATAAAAACAAAAATAATGCACATGAAACACCATCGCTTTGCATCGATTTTCCATTTTACACAGATAAGTGCATTGGCTCATCACTACCACTGTCATTTGCAAAAACAAAAGCAACAAAGCTATGCGTTAATCGATAGGGATATCTAACATAGCTACTCCTTAATTGCCCTTTCATAATATTCTTATTTATGCGGCATATATCGATAATTCATCTTTATATACATTTCTCTTTATAGCTGACAAGCTAATACTCTATTATTAATAAGTTTTTTTTTTGTTATATTGCAAGGATTAAAATAATTTATTGTGTAATAAAGATCGATGTAAAATACTATAAAGTACAAAATAACGAAGTTGACAACAATACATCTTCTTCTATAAAGAATAATGATTATAGGTTTTAAATAGAAACAATAATAATCTCCCAGTTGTTAATCTTAAAAATAGATTTACTTTATTTTAAGTTATTATTTTGTTATAGTACTTTCCATCTGTTTCTTTATTTTAAAAAAATTTTAGATGAAAAGTTCATACACGTGATTATAAAATAACAAGTGAACTGGCGAGAGAGTAATCCTTTTCCAATAAAACGAGCCCTTCGATACGCTACTGAATTTATTTATTCATATATATTCTTCTACAAATTTTAATCTACTGTTATCAGTTTTTTTAATACAACGAACGCTGTATTTATTTTGAATAAATTTATTTATTATTGAATACAAGGAGATATGCCATGGAGCGAAGCCGTGTTTCTCGGAATAAATTTGTGCAATTCAGTAATAACCAGTTCAACGAGGAATATTATTCAATTGCATTTCAATTTGACTATCCTTGCGCGTCCACATATCGGTTATAATTTTCTTTAGCATAAAACCACTTCGCGAAAATTGACAAATTAACGCTAGGTTATTGCGTTGTGATCTACATTCACTCGGAGAGATGTACAGGTATAACTATATGCATCGGGTGTTCGGTATAGAGTTTCCATTCCACGCTGATTTACGATGCTAACACTCGATGGTATACAGAGATAATATATTATTAACAAATTTAATAGCACGATTAATCATGTAATATAATTCAAATGAATCTTTTGTGAAATGGATTGTTTCAAAAATGAAGTTATTGTTAAATTACGGGCACATTTGTTATAAATATGCGACAACACCATCTTTTGCCTCGTTCTTTGATAAATTTATTATATGGCAATGATATTGACTGCATTTGTTCGTTAATTGATTGTTAGTTAAGTTAGAATTCATAAAGTATTTAAAGAGATATTTGTTGACATTTTTATCCGTACAATTTCTCATGTTAATAAATTTTCATTTCAAGTGACAAGTATGAGCAATTCAAATTTTAAGAGTTCTACTTTTGATTGTCATTATTATCATTGTTAATATTATTAATTTTGTTATTACTGTTACTTATAACAGTAACTTCGAGTGATCAAATAAACATGCAATTATACATTTTCTGTAATATTTCATTAACACTTATGCTAATTATTAAAATAGGTTATATCAATAGAACTACAATTAAATTTACTACTTGAGTTTCTGGTAGACGGCAATGACGACATTGTCATGAACTGATAAATTATTCAAATGGCTGACATATTAAGCTGGTGGCGTATTTACAAAAGGGGCCGCTGCCGCAATGATCATCTATTTGATTTACATCGTTTACCGGATACAAAACGCGTTTGGCCTATTCGTATACGCACCTCGCTGAGATTTAATTGATCTGATGATCGTGCTTCTGTTGTATGATGGTTTGCAAGATTCTTTTTTTTATCGCCCACATTGCTGCTGCTTAGTGTTCCGTGCAAGAGTTGATTTAGGCAAAAGTATCAGCTTTCTTTATATTTGTGTAACAAAATGTTGAGTTTTGTTTATCAAGCGATATTAAGTATGAACAGATTTTGTTTATTCGTATTTTTCATTATTATTACAGACGGTATTTCTAAGTGCAAGAAGCTATACATGAAAGAGAAATGCTGAACCAGCGATGTCAAAACAGGTATATAAGCTTACGCGGGGTGACAGCGTCGCTCGGAATTCAGATTTCGAATAAATCTCTGGAAACTTTAAGCTCAGGTGCCAATCAATCTTTCGCAATTCCCCATGGCTACTTTTTATTCATCAAAAACAGGAGATTGACGAAATCAAAATTTTTCTCAGATTTGCGTTATTTATATTTTTGTTATTTTATCATTTTTCCTATTTTTTCATATTTTTATTTTGTCCATGAAATGAGCCTTTTTTTACGATTAATAGACCTTATATCGTGCGCAGTATACACGCACGTATCGTCGACAGAAAAAAAACGGAATCTGCAAGCACGTGACAATCAATAATAGAGAATGCTCTTGTATACATCTGTATATATATTTGAAATATAAGTTCATAGATATAAAAAATACTATGGAAAAAAAAATTTAATATATCAGAAAGTTGTTGATTGAACGATTCGTGAAATCATGAAATACAATTTAAGGAAATTTAAGAAAACTATCTTGAAATCGCTGGAATAAAGTTAATTAAAAATCGACAATAGAAGTTCGTGATTAACGATTCGTATTAACTACATTGTTGTTGGTGGGTGTAGGGCAGGACGTAATAATTACATAGCTTTGGTTAGTATGTTTTAATCGCGATTTAATAAAAGGAAACAAAAGAACTTTAAAACAACTAGTACAAATTGCGCGTTACAATCGATTCGGATTCGTTGACAATTAGAAGCTTTCGCTTTTTCTAAAACAAAGACCTTGCCTGCCAGACGTCCAGAACTGAATTGTCCTTATCCTTTAGTTTTCATCGCTACATCCTTACGTTCACTTCCGACTCCGGCGACGTCCTTGTGCGAACGCCGAGCCGAATTGTGACCTGCCAGCGAGAGAAGCCTTGCTCCTGCGGTCACGAGTAGTCTCGGCCAATAGCTCGCTCGCCACCTCGCTATGCCGACAATGGAAAGTGGGCACCGAATTCGCTTTCTCCTTTGAACACGAACAGTCTCGGACCTCAGACATGACAAGCTACCCCCTCGGACGCTGAATACTTGCATCGGTCGTGTCTCGTGCATTCCTCGCTCTGCCTCAGAAATTCATACTCACAAAACCCAGGGACCCCAAGCATACAAGCAAAACACGAGGCCATCGCGGGTAGCTCGTCAGTTCTTCGGGCGTGCCTACCTCGAGGTTTCCTTTTTCCACAGACCATCATGCCGCGACCGTTTTTGAAACTATGCCTGTTTTCGTCTCTCGGCTGCTATGTCGCTTATCGCCAAAACGAGAAAAAGGGTGAGCCATGGATTACCAGAACCCACATCTGTCGATAGCATGCTCAGCAGCCGTCCCTCGGGCGTGTCCTAAAGACTCGGCGCTCACTGACCGCAACATATATGTTCTTAAATATATAGTTTGACTCGTTCGTATGTGTAACTATGCATCTCGATAACATTAAATACGATTTATGTACAAAACACTTTTTATTCAAATACTCCGAAAAGTGGTAAAAAACTATTTTCAGTTTTCTAAAATAAAATAGACGTTTAGTTCTAACACTGTCATTGTCATAGACTGAGTGACTAATAAACAAATAAACGCCAATAATAATTATTAATTTGTTGAGCAATTTGGCATAATATTATATTCGATAGCAAATGTAGTATTGAAAGACTGGCAAAAGTGATATTGAAATAGTTCTATGCTATTTACGAGATATTTTTTGCATCAATGTAAGCTTTATCTTTATATTGTTTTTTTTTGCTACACATAACAAGTAAAAGAAGTTAACTCACTCAAGCATAGAATCCGTTTGACTTATTTTGTTCAAATCTTTTTTCATGTCGACTTACTGTATTTTTGCATTGTACTTATGTAACAGCCATCACCCAAAAAAAAAACAGTTTTTTGACTCTTTCAATAGCGTTTTCATCGAATGTTCATTGGACCGTGAATTCGTGGATACATCGCAGCTTCAGGTATGGATGAGGCTGCGATGTGATTTCATGGGAAGAGAAACAGAGAGGGTGCTACTTTCTTATACGCTTCCCATTCAATTCCAACTCATGGTTAAAATTTAGCTGTAAAGAATAGTATCTGCATACTTAAGGAACGCGGT